CAGGATTGCAAAATAATCAATCTGTATTGTATGATATTTGAAATAGAATATCAACTCTCATATGAATTCACTCATGTCTACTGCGGTTTATTTGTGTTCAAATACATGCAGTTGCTAAGGTATTGTGGGTGGTTGCTAGGCAGTTTCTAAGGTATTGTGGGTGGTTGCTAGTGTGTTCTGGGTGGTTACTAGGCAGTTGCTAAGGTGTTTTAGTTGGTTGCTAGGGTATTTTGGGGAGTTGCTAGGGCGTTTCTAGGCGGTTGCTAGGGTGTTCAGGGCTTTGCTATGGTTTATTTGATGGTTGCTATGGTGTTAGGTGGTTAGTAGTTGTCATAGATGGTTACTATGGAGTTTTAACATAGTTCTTAAAATCTAGTAACGAGTGCCTTTAGTACAGTGTCCGTTAGGGCACTTAGTTCAAAAGTGTGCATATTTGGAGAAATGTTGATTTATTACCACGTTTGCAAAATATTTTGTCATACAGAATACCCTTTCTATTTATTTATTTATTTATTTATTTATTTATTATCCACTGAATTATGCGATCTGAAGAGCTGAAAGAGCGTTCAGAGTGAGCTCTGTCTCTCTTCTTCCTAATTTTCATCAGTTTATGACTTGTCGCACGTTCATTTGATCTCTATAGCTGTCAATCATTGTACGTGAGTCATCATAACCATAATCCTGCCCTTTGCATGACGCTGTCCTGTACAACCCTGTGCTCTGTGAAGAACGAACCAAAGAAACATTTCTACACTTTAAATAAGAAGCTAATAAACACGAATAAGATGGTTGATGGTTCGTGTGATTTTCATATTTCAGTATTTTTTATATGAATAAAGAATGTTTACATTATACATTCTAGCGATTAGCCGCACACTGTAAAACCCAACAAGTTCAGTTAACTAAAAACATTTGAGGACACCGAATACCTCAATTCAATTAATTTGATAAAAAACAATAGTTATGAGTAGGTACTCTGAACTTATTTTAATTGAGTCCACAAAAACAAGGATATTTCTTAATACACAATTAAACTGGATTTTAAGAAACCAATAGTTATGAGTAGGCTACTCTGAAGCTATTTCAGTTGAGGTCACTAAAAGAAGATATACATTGCAGTCAAGAAATTGAGTGATTAAAGTGATTCATTAAGTGATGATTGAGCATTAGTGAAGAGCACCTGCTGCTAACAAGCAGAATCATTAAAGGAACGAGAAATAACGAAAGAGAAACGCAGAACCTACAACTGACTTCATCCACAGCCTTAGATGAAATCCACTGAAGATAAAAGAAGACGTTAAATCTGTGAAGATCTCAGCAGAGGAGGATTAAACCACTCCACAAACAGCATTACCAGCTTCACTTATTACTAACCAGTTTGACTTTATTTCTGTCACGCATCTACAGAAGTTGCTATTGAGAATTAACAGGTTTATGTTGATGATTTATTGTTTCATTGAAGATGATGGAGATCAGCGTTTGCTTTAGTTGGGCTCTTGACCCTTGAATGTATAATATCAGTTTTCCTCTGGCTGCTGTGTTTAAAACACACTTGTTGTGACACAAAAGTCAAAAGAAAATATAATCAGGTGTGGTTGATGGTTGTGGTTTGATGATAAAACTCACAATTTAGTGACTTGATTCACTGAACTTATCCAGAGCCTAATCTCTGATTAAACAGGAGATATATTTATTAGTTTTATATTATTAATTACAGTATAAATGTGATACTGTAAGATCTATTGTTGTGACAATCAGATTTAAAAACCTCTGTGTTATTATGCTGACACACAGAGATCAAGAATCAGCATATGAATCTCAACAATGGTGACATTAACAGTTTCATGTCGCTGTGCATGCTGGGTACCAGCACAGGAACTCACTCCGGACTGCAGCATGCATTGTAGCATGAATACTTTTATCACCATTGCTGAGATTTATATGCTGATTCTTGATGTCTGTGTGAGTCTAAGTGATGCCATAGATGATAATCTTTTTGATAATCAAACTGTTTGTTAAATCTTTCACTTTATCTCTTTGCCACAAAACTGCTGGCTCTGATGTTGTAGAATCACAGTTTTACTATAATGAATAAAACTAATAATACATCACCTGCTTCACAAAAGAAAGCTTTTAGTTTGACATTACGTTTCAGCTGTTATTTTGTCTATGGAGCAAATGACATGAATATTGTGTGTATGTGTGAAAAACAACGTGATTACAAAGGCATAAAACTAGTTAGCGCCAACTAGGGGGCCGATTTCTTTCAAAATTTTCACACAACTCTAGAGCCATGAGTTGAACATGCTCACAGAGTTTCGTTACGATCAGCCTTTGGTAACCTTGTCTGATAGCTACTCAAATTTCATTGGTGGCCATGTTTTTCGAGATACGCCAATGTCCTCAAAGATTATCATGCCACCTCGTACAAAGACAGCGCATGCCAATTTTCAAGTCATTTGGGCTAATGGTTGGGAGGTTATAGACATTTCAATGTTTTTTGGCACCACCAAGTGGCCAATCGTCACGATTTTTTTCAAGTGACCTCAGATTGAGCTCATACACGTGTCCCGAATTTGGTGAAAATATCGAGTTCATAGACTGTAAAAAAAGATCTAGTTCCGTTCATGAGTTATAGCCATTTATGTAAAAGTGGCCGCTGACACCCCCTAGCGACCGTCGAGCGAAATTTCAAAATTTCTTGATAATTATTGACAATCAGACTCCAGAGAATCTTGCTGCACTGGTTTGGTTCCGATTGGGCCAAAAGCCGAGAACTAGCTAGTGCGCAAAAGTAGGTTTTTCACAAAAGCCAAAATTACTCAAAATTGTCGCCTGAAGGGTGAGCAAATCCCCAAAACAATTCCAACGATATAAGACACTTGAGCCTACGCCTAACGGGAGTTATGGGCCATTTTGTACCTTTGACCGCTGTAGCGCCCCCGTCAGGCGGATCGGAACAGGCCTTGGTGACGTTTTGGGCGGTGTGAGTAGGCCTACTACCAGCCCTCAAAGTTTCAAGTCTCCACGGTTCGTTCTGCCCGATCACTTTTAGGGGAGAATGCTGATCCTTGGAAAAATTAACAATAACAATATTTCAGCGCTGCGCGCTTGAACCCCTAATACAAAATAACTAGTCTGATCAACTAGCAGTTAAAGAAGGGGTAAACTTACATTTTGGAATCAAGTTAGGCTGACCTAAGTTTTAATAGTAGAAAACCTATAAGAAATAGTAGAAAACATAAATAAAGCAGACTTCTGGGTCCTTACCTTGAATTATTTGTCCCACTCTGTCACTGACTAGATATGTTAAAAAAAATAATGTAGGCCTGGTAACATAAGACATTTGGCATTATCAGGACCCTCAAATATTCCCGCATTGCATTATTATAAATGATATTCAACATTATATATAGAAGTTTAATGTAGTACTGGCACTAACCTCTGTAAACCTGAATTTTTTTCTCACATTTTCATTTTAGGTGAACTACATATTGTTGCATTTTTGCATTGCGATATATTGTGACTCGCCTAATAGATATGTTTAATAAGTCACACATAAAATTAGTTACATTTCTACTATTTGTTTTTGATGTTTTAAAGTTCTGTTCATTGATATTTCATTAAGTAAATTTTGTTAGATAAATATTAAGATTTAGTAAGTAGTTGTCGTAAATGTAGTGCTGGGCGATAAACGATCGATATATCGAGTTTGTGATAAAATTTACGTCGATAAACGGTGATAGGCTCTGGATATTTTTACTCGATATGGATTTATCTAACTATCACACAGCAGAAATAAATATGACTAGTCAGTAACTTGCATGTCGCTAATCATTATTAAAATATTTCTGTCTCTATGTGGATGAACAGCACGTTTTTCTCCGATACACAAACTCACACACATGTGGCGATCACGGTGTTTCCAGCATCTGCGTCTCGATATGTGGACATGAACTCATTCCAAGAGTCACTTCAAGAGCTTTTCACTGTTTCATTTTTAGAAAAACTACTTTCAAATTCGCACTTAAACTGAAATGACAAGTTTAGCTTAGAAAAAGTATGACAAATATATCAACTACTGCATGTTTACTAAAATGTACTTCTCAAAGTAGGCTAATAATAATATTATTATTTCTACATGTATCATACAATATATTTTTTTACCCATGTTTTAAAATTATATAGTTCTGTTGCACATCATCTTTTTTGACAAAATAAAACAGTGTAATCAAATGAAAATAGAACAATTTACAACAACACTTAAGTTTGACTGCATTTTTTAAGTTTATATACACATGTATTACATAAAAAACAGAATGCCAAAAGAATAAAATGGAAAAAACTATTTACCTAGTTGAAAATAAAATGGACATCATGGGGACCTAAATTAAAAGGTAACTCTGTGGAGTTTAATTCTGAACAAACAACTTTACATTCATTCTCAAGGTCTAACAAATATGCAGAAAGCATTTCCTTCTCCATTAATGGTAAATTAATATTGTAATAAATATTAATATCATATGGGGGAATTCTTTTTTTGACCATATCCCCCAGCCCTACATGAGTGTCTCTTTACTAGCTGGTATGCAACATGTATTTAATGATACTGATCCTTCTTTGACAACGTTAAATAAACCTAAGCTTTATTTCCAGACAGACACCACACAGTTTGGAGAGTCAGATGTTGATTCAGTAAATCTGATAGATTCAGTAAACAATTCTTCAAACCAATACAGGCCCATCCACTTTATCATTTAACATCTGGTCCCAAATTAACTAGACCCTACTGAGTGAATCTTTTAGGCTAAACTCACAGCTACGGTTACTTGCACCTGTTACCCACTCGTCACACATTGCTATAACATTTCATTTAGGATGGATTTAAATCCGTTTATCAGCAAACATTTTGGCAAACAAAACAAGTTCCGTCATGAGCTCAGCCATGTCATAACAGTTGATTAAAAAAAAGACAGTTGAGTTTGATAAAAAAAAGACAGTTGAGTTTCAGACAAATTTTATTACAGTTACAAGACTGATTATAAGGGAGACCAAATTACAAAATCCTGCATAACAGAAGTGAAACCATAAAATATCAAAACTAAAATCGAATGAGGATGACTGATGGCGGTCTTCCAGTGGTCCGTTGAACAGAAGTGGGCGGAGTCATTACATGGCTTCTTCAAATGAGACGATCACCAGGCTCAAAATACATGGAAAGGCTCATAACGTAACCATAACAATGACGTTTCTTTAAGACGCATAATAAAAAAAGAAAATCTCTCCTTTATTTCTAGTATATCAACAATTACCTGTTAGAACAACCATTCATAATTTGTCAACCAACCTCAAGAAACATTTACAGTAAAGCCAAAATGATTTGACATAAGCTAATCAAAAGACTTTCTATTGCAAAACTAATGAAACGATGCCACCACGTGGTCACCATGTCTAACTGCATGAAGGACTGAGTGTAGAAGATCATGAAACCGTACACTTCCCCAACCGCCTCTATTTCTGCCTTCTTCACCTCAGTACTGATGGCAGAACAGCAGCGGGAGGGTAGATGGGTAAGAACAGCGCTTGCTAGAGCCGATACAGCAAAGAATGGGAGATACAGGCGGGAGAGCTCATTCAAATGGAATCAAAGTTCATTTAGATTGTGATCTCATTCATTCGCTGTCGAATTTTATTGAGTTCACTGTGGTGGAGATGGCGCCGCCAACGTAACTGCCACGCTTCTTCTTTGTCTTTTCATGCCGGAAAGATTTGCCCTTGGTAAATTTAAGCACATTGTTGGCTTTCTGCCCCCAGTCTCCGTTGGCGCCCATCTTGAAGTAAATAATCAAAGAGTCAAACAAATGAAACAAAGCACTACACATGCACGAGGACAATCTCCTTACAGTAAATATTGGCCTAATATGCATTCACGTGTTTATAAATCTCACCTTTGCGTCAAATGAATTGTCTGCCAGTCGGGGGTCCACATCAATTTCCTCGTCTCTTACTCTACGGAAAGGAGCATTGGTTTCCTTTACAAGCCACACAACCGAGAAACAAACAGAAAATGCATTTAAGCAGAAGTGCATAACCAAACAGTCGTGACAATATGGCTGTGTGGCGCTTCCTACTGTGGGAACGGAGAATTTACCTCTGCTAACAGCCAATTTAATAATAATCATTTGAAAAAATGTGTTTTACCAGTTTTAAAACTTGTCCACCAGACAAAAATGTAATTCTTTTTGAAGACTTGGTCTAAACTTCTCAAATCATATTAGGGCAGCACAATTAATCAGTAAAAGACTGCGATCTTATTCCTAAATGGCCACGAAGCCATGTCTATTATGCCCGTTTCACATCGCGTGATTTGCCGCTGCCCATGTTAATGAATGATGCGTGTCCACTGGTGCGGAGCAGAGCGAGCGTTGGAAGTTGAGCTTCACGCTCGCGCTTGTGTAAAGCAGAACTTCCTGAAAGCGCTCGCTCTGCTTCTCGCCGGTTGAAAACTAAGGTTAAGCTTTGAAAGTACGATCATCACACTGCAACATTCAAATCCGCGTTCGTGCTTCCGCTGATCTGCACAAAGCAGCTGCTATGTAAATGTAAAGTATGAGGCACAAACAGTCTTTTCAACCACACATTAGTGTTATTTTTGTGTTACAAACATTTAAATAACGGTATAAAAGCGTACTGGGATAAAAAAAAAGTATGTTGACACTTGTATCGTATTGCTTATCGTTACACCAGTAGGTGGCGACAAACGAAAAGTGTTTGTCATTAAATCATTCATAGATTTATTCACAAAAACTCATTCATCCAATAACGAAACAAGTCTTGATGAATGAGAGGTTGTCCAAATTAATATATCTTGTAAACTCCAGGTTCTGACAAAACTGTAATGGCTTTAGTCTATTTAAATGTTATTTTGTTTATTTTGTCTTTTTTCTTCAGAATCGTGGGAGAATCGCAATCTCCATTTCTCACAAAAGAAATCGTGATTCAATTTAATTCCGAATCCTGCAGCTCTAATTCATGTGGATTACTTTGAGGCTTCAAAAGTTCGGTTTTGGTGGAACGGACTTTGAATAAGATGCAGAGAAATCTCTCAGATTTCATATCACTGAAGCCGATATACAGGTCCTTCTCAAAAAATTAGCATATTGTGATAAAGTTCATTATTTCCATAATGTAATGATAAAAATTAAACTTTCATATATTTTAGATTCATTGCACACCAACTGAAATATTTCAGGTCTTTTATTGTTTTAATACTGATGATTTTGGCATACAGCTCATGAAAACCCAAAATTCCTGTCTCAAAATTAGCATATCATGAAAAGGGTCTCTAAACAAGCTATTAACCTAATCATCTGAATCAACTAATTAACTCTAAACACCTGCAAAAGATTCCTGAGGCTTTTAAAAACTCCCAGCCTGTTTCATTACTCAAAACCGCAATCATGGGTAAGACTGCCAACCTGACTGCTGTCCAGAAGGCCATCATTGACACCCTCAAGCAAGAGGGTAAGACAGAAAGAAATTTCTGAACAAATAGTCTGTTCCCAGAGTGCTGTATCAAGGCACCTCAGTGGGAAGTCTGTGGGAAGGAAAAAGTGTGGCAAAAAACGCTGCACAACGAGAAGAGGTGACCGGACCCTGAGGAAGATTGTGGAGAAGGACCGATTCCAGACCTTGGGGGACCTGCGGAAGCAGTGGACTGAGTCTGGAGTAGAAACATCCAGAGCCACCGTGCACAGGCGTGTGCAGGAAATGGGCTACAGGTGCCGCATTCCCCAGGTCAAGCCACTTTTGAACCAGAAACAGCGGCAGAAGCGCCTGACCTGGGCTACAGAGAAGCAGCACTGGACTGTTGCTCAGTTTTGCATGTCATTAGGAAATCAAGGTGCCAGAGTCTGGAGGAAGACTGGGGAGAAGGAAATGCCAAAATGCCTGAAGTCCAGTGTCAAGTACCCACAGTCAGTGATGGTCTTGGGTGCCATGTCAGCTGCTGGTGTTGGTGCACTGTGTTTTATCAAGGGCAGGGTCAATACAGCTAGCTATCAGGAGATTTTGGAGCACTTCATGCTTCCATCTGCTGAAAAGCTTTATGGAGATGAAGATTTCATTTTTCAGCACGACCTGGCACCTGCTCACAGTGCCAAAACCACTGGTAAATGGTTTACTGACCATGGTATTACTGTGCTCAATTGGCCTGCCAACTCTCCTGACCTGAACCCCATAGAGAATCTGTGGGATATTGTGAAGAGAAAGTTGAGAGACGCAAGACCCAACACTCTGGATGAGCTTAAGGCCGCTATCGAAGCATCCTGGGCCTCCATAACACCTCAGCAGTGCCACAGGCTGATTGCCTCCATGCCACGCCGCATTGAAGCACTCATTTCTGCAAAAGGATTCCCGACCAAGTATTGACTATTGAGTGCATAACTGAACATAATTATTTGAAGGTTGACTTTTTTTTTGTATTAAAAACACTTCTTTTATTGGTCGGATGAAATATGCTAATTTTTTTAGACAGGAATTTTGGGTTTTCATGAGCTGTATGCCAAAATCATCAGAATTAAAACAATAAAAGACCTGAAATATTTCAGTTGGTGTGCAATGAATCTAAAATATATGAAAGTTTAATTTTGATCATTACATTATGGAAAATAATGAACTTTATCACAATATGCTAATTTTTTGAGAAGGACCTGTACTAGTGTTTGTCACATGTTTCCAGGAATCAGAATCCTCAACCCCTGGGTGTTTGAATATGCACTGAGCCAACACACACACACACACAAACAAACACAGGCATTTACCTTCTGTTTGGTTCTGGGGAAGGTCTGAGGTGTGGATGTGGGGACTTTTTTATTCTTGGGTGTTGTCTTGCTCTGTGTGCCTGTTGGAGGAAGAGAGACAAAAAACAAATGTGAGTGCTTTAAAAAGAAAGTTAAACAATTTACAATAAACACTTACATATCAACAGTTTTACACTGACATGTGAACTGCGTCCAGACACAAAATGGAGCAAACCAAATTTGCTGTGCATGTTTTGTAGAGTATCACATTGTTAGCTTACCAACATGTGAACTCTAAACACCATTGTATTCAATTATGACTTGAGTGTTCTCTTTGTGTAAGAGCAGTATAGGGCTGTAAAAAAAAAAAAAAAGCTGTAATAGGGCTGTCGCTATAACGTGTTAATTTAATTAATTGGTTATGGGGAATTGGATTTGGTTATTAAAGTTTAGAGTATTAACGCATTTAACGCAGCCGCCCAACCCCAGACCCCCGCAGGTCATCTTACGTTACAAATTCGATTGTGACAAAAATAGTCATGAGTTTTTCTTATTTAGAGTGTCATTTTAATAAATAAATAAAACTCATTTTGCATTCCACTGTGCCACCATTGTTTTTCTATGTAAATAAATATACACTTGATGTTTGTCTTTGACTGTTGTACTTGCATCTTGCAGTCAATTTAAAAAAGTTTAACTTTAAAAAAAAATAGTCTTGACTTTTTTTTCCAATTCCACTGACCTTGACCCTGTCTTGAGTGAACGCAAAAACGCGTCTTCTGTGAATGTGCTAAATGGTGCTCGCATCTCGCACGCAAGTGCCATGTTTTTAAAAATAACATCAAGTTAGTTAAAGTCTTATAAAATGTCTCGAGACTTAGCTTTTTTATTTTCAAGTGCTGAGTGGTGCTCGGTGTTGTAGGCGAAATAGTTGAAAGTTTCAATTTTTTTGTGTTTATGTAATACATAACACTCTCTGTTAAAGGTAATAAGAACCGGCCTTAGAGCCAGCAACACACGTTTGCATCAGCCAATACCATTTGTTGCAGAAGTGACCGGAGTCTTGGTTTCCTCTTCCTCAGACGAGTCCTCAGAAGAGCTGCTGGCTTTGGCTTTAGCAGCCTGTGCTTTTTTAGCGGGTGGAGTTTTGACAGCCGGTGTTTTAGACGGCTCCTCTTCATCAGAACTGCTGTCATCCGAGGATGAAGACTCTGCTGTCTTTTTGGCCGGCGTCTTCGCTGCAGAGGTGGGGGTTTGTTTCGCAGGCTTTCCATTGGCGACTGCAGGCTTGGCGGGAGTCTTCTTCACTTCCGCCTCAGAGTCTGAGCTGTCTGATGAATCTGAGCTACTGCTCTCGGCTTTCTTCACAGCTGGCTTCGTGACTGCCTTCACGACTGGCTTAACGACTGGTTTAGCTGCTGCTGCTGCTTTGGGCGTCACAGTAGCCTTTACTTTCTTCTCGTCTTCACTGGAACTGTCGTCTTCACTGCTGCTGGACTTGGCTGTGGCCTTACTGGCTGGAGCCGGTGGTTTAGCAGCAGAGGCAGGGCTCTTAGCAGTCGCTGCTGGTTTCGGGGTCTTAGCAGCTGGAGTCTCGGCCTCTGAATCAGAGCTGTCAGTCTCAGAGTCAGAACTGCTCCCGGCTGGTTTAGCTGCAGGTTTCGCTGGGGTAGCCGGTTTGGATACCGGTGTGGTGGCGGCGACTTTCTTCTGTGGTTCCTCATCTGATGAGCTGTCTGAATCTGAACTGCTTTCAGCGGGTTTAGCTGCAGGGGTAGATTTGGCTGAGGTAGCCACAGGTTTAGATTTGGATACAGGTGTGGTGGAGGCGGCTTTCTTTTGAGGTTCCTCTTCATCTGAAGAGCTGTCCGAGTCTGAGCTGCTCTCCGCTGGTTTATTGGTTGGTTTGGCTGGGGCAGGTTTGGATACCGGTGTGGTGGCAGGTTTCTTCTGAGTGCTCAAAGGCTTGGACGTGACTGCTGGTTTAGCTGGTGCCTCATCTTCAGAACTGTCCGAATCTGTGGGAGGTAAAACAGATCTATAAGCTAATACAATCTTGATCATCAGCACTCACTCTGGATCTCTTTACTTATACTCGCATCATTCCAAACCTGAATGAACAACTATGATGAAACAAATGTTAGTTAATCCATTCCAAATAATGGCAAAAAAATTCAAAACTGGCAGTTGAGATTTGCTATAAAATAACACGAGTACTGCATGGAAGAAAAAAGTAGCTAGAAATAATGTATCCAATTTGAGTATATGAAACTGTACGATAGCTTACATTTTTGCAATGATATAAGCAATAACAAAAGTTATTATATAGTAGGGCTGTGACGGTATGGGATTTTTTCTTACCGCGGTGAAGCAGCAACAAATCTCGCGGTTTGGCGGTTAACCAATTACATTTTAATACAGTTTAATTACATTTCAATCTAAGGATTTGCTTGCCCAATTTCTTTTTTAGATTTTCTGTTTTTTACTCAAATTAGATATAAGGTATCCAAAATACAACTTATTTAATATATATTAAATACTATTATTGTTCAATAAATAATAATTTATATTATAATGTTGACGTACTTGGTATTGAGAAACGGTCTGATGGGGGTTTATCAACAACTTCAGTGCAGGCTATATAGTTGTGCCAGTAGGTGGCGGCAAGGGACTGACTTTGAGAGCGAGTTAGTAGACCATGCAAAAAAAAAAAAAAAGCCGATTCATTCTGGAACGAAGCAAGGTTGTAAACAAAGAAATTATTATTTTAAACTTTGAACAACACCTTAGGCGCAACCTCCAAGCAAAGCGGGGTGAAGCTGAATCTGATGCTTCACAAAGATCAATTAATTGACTAGTGCCGTCCCAATCATGGGAAATCCCCTTAACCATTGAAGGGATACCATGACAAAGATCTTTTTTCTCATTTAAATAGATTTTTCTTCATGAATATATGATTAGGGATGCACCGAATATTCGGTCACCGAATATTTTTGGCCGAAAATGGCGCAAAAGTGCATTTTCGGTTTTCGGCTGAAAGACTTATCACCGAAACAATTTGGCCGAAATGTTGTGATGACGCAAACAGAAACCGCGACCTGCATGTGCTCGTCTCAAGCAACATGTCTGCGGTGTGGACGTATTTCCATGCGTATTTCAGTATATCTGAACCCACGAGGAGACGGAAGCCTTGTTTATACTTTCGCCTTCCTCCGCAGCGCGAGTCTCCACAGACAGCGCGTGCACCTCTCCAAACGGTCGAGGCGTTTATACTCGACGCGCTCGCCGTTGTACTATTCTTTGAAACGACAGGGGGCGACTCAAGTAACTATCCTCTAACCATCAGGAAAATTTTATATTAAATTTATGCAATTGAAATGCCTTGATTTTAGTAAAGTTTGTACACAGTCATAGCCATAAATGCAATGGTACTAATAATTGGCATAATTTCTTTCGGTGTTGCGGTTTTCGGCCTTGGTTTCCTCTTTTTCGGTTTCGGCCAAGAATTTTCATTTCGGTGCATCCCTACATATGATACCTGGAAAAAATATATGAGAAACGGCTCAATATCTATATCAGACAGGCTACAGCGTTAATTTAGTGTGAAAATATTATATTTGTGGGGGTTTTTTTTTATTAAACTAATTTTATATACATTGTCTTTCAATAATTCAAGCACTTTACAAGTACCTCTTCATAAATATGGCTTTTTCAAGGGTTTTGCAAGACTTCATTTAAAAAATAACAATCAAGCACTTGAGATTTGCTATATAGTACATAATGAGAGTGCACCATATGTTTCCAAGTAATTTGGAAATAAAATAACTGGACATAATGACAACAACAGACCTGAACTTGAGGAATCATCTTTCTTAGCAGTTGTTTGAGGAGCAGCTTTAGCAGGGGTTGCCTTTGGAGTAGCAGCTTTTGCAGGAGTTTTCTTTTGAGGAGCAGCTTTAGCAGGGGTTGCCTTTGGAGTAGCAGCTTTTGCAGGAGTTTTCTTTTGAGGAGCAGCTTTAGCAGGAGTTGTCTTTGGAGTTGCAGATTTAGCAGGGGTTGCCTTGGCCGGAGTAGGCTTTGTGGCCGGTGCGTCGTCTTCAGACTCTGAGCTGGATGAAGAAGATTCTTTTGCAGCAGGCGTGACTTTAGCTGGCGTTTTCTTGGCGGGCGCAGGTTTAACTGGGACAACTTTAGCTGCTGGTTTCTTGGCCTCTTCATCGTCAGAGTCTTCAGAGCTAGAAGATTCGTCTGCAGCTGGAGTGACTTTAGCGGGTACGGCTTTAGCTTGAGTGACTTTAGCAGGTGTAGATTTAGCAGATGCAGCTTTTGCAGGTGTGACTTTGACAGCTGGCTTTGCTGCTTCGTCCTCGGAGCTTGAAGAATCTGAGCTTGAAGAGTCCTTTTTCTGAGCAGGAGCAACCTTTGTAGGAGGCTTCTTAACTGGGGCTGCTTTCACGGGCACAGCTTTGACCGCTGGCTTCTTTGCTTCATCCTCTGAGCTTGAATCTGAGAAAAAGAAAGTTCATTAGCACTCAAGAGACACAGAGGGGAAAAACAAACCCCCAATAGTGACCTGGTGGTGATAATCTGCAGAGAGTGACGTACCAGAGCTGTCAGAACTGGAGTCCTTCTTAGCAGAAGCTTTGGGAGTCACAGTCTTAACTGCGGCCGCTTGGAAAAAGGATAGGAAAAAGAAATTATATTTTGCTTGAAGAACTTGCACCTATAATTTGGACATCTTAATAAGCAAGCACATTTTCTAACCAATCCCTATGATAGTAACACATTAAAGAATTATATATAAACTAAAGACTTTGTACATCATGGCAGTTTTGTTATAATGCCTTTAAAAACTGCCTTTTTTTAATTCAAATGTACTAGGACTGGGCGATACGTCCATCTCGTTTGCCTAGTATTCTGCTCTGGTATCGAAATTACAATGTAGATGTCATAGCAACCTTATTTCCAGCAAATATATACTTATAATATACACTCACCGGCCACTTTATTAGGTACACCTGTCCAACTGCTCGTTAACACTTAATTTCTAAGCAGCCAATCACATGGCGGCAACTCAGTGCATTTAGGCATGTAGACATGGTCAAGACAATCTCCTGCAGTTCAAACCGAGCATCAGTATGGGGAAGAAAGGTGATTTGAGTGACTTTGAACGTGGCATGATTGTTGGTGCCAGAAGGGCTGGTCTGAGTATTTCAGAAACTGCTAATCTACTGGGATTTTCACGCACAACCATCTCTAGGGTTTACAGAGAATGGTCCGAAAAAGAAAAAACATCCAGTGAGCGGCAGTTCTGTGGGCGGAAATGCCTTGTTGATGCCAGAGGTCAGAGGAGAATGGCCAGACTGGTTCGAGCTGATAGAAGGGCAACAGTGACTGAAATAACCACTCGTTACAACCGAGGTATGCAGCAAAGCATTTGTGAAGCCACAACACGCACAACCTTGAGGCGGATGGGCTACAACAGCAGAAGACTCCACCGGGTACCACTCATCTCCACTACAAATAGGAAAAAGAGGCTACAATTTGCAAGAGCTCACCAAAATTGACCAGTTGAAGACTGGAAAAATGTTGCCTGGTCTGATGAGTCTCGATTTCTGTTGAGACATTCAGATGTTAGAGTCAGAATTTGGCGTAAACAGAATGAGAACATGGAACCATCATGCCTTGTTACCACTGTGCAGGCTGGTGGTGGTGGTGTAATGGTGTGGGGGATGTTTTCCTGGCACACTTTAGGCCCCTTAGTGCCAATTGGGCATCGTTTAAATGCCACGGCCTACCTGAGCATTGTTTCTGACCATGTCCATCCCTTTATGGCCACCATGTACCCATCCTCTGATGGCTACTTCCACCATGTCACAAAGCTCTAATCATTTCAAATTGGTTTCTTGAACATGACAATGAGTTCACTGTACTAAAATGGCCTCCACAGTCACCAGATCTCAACCCAATAGAGCATCTTTGGGATGTGGTGGAACGGGAGATTCGCATCATGGATGTGCAGCCGACAAATCTGCGGCAACTGTGTGATGCCATCATGTCAATATGGACCAAACTCCCTGAGGAATGCTTCCAGCACCTTGTTGAATCTATGCCACGAAGAATTGAGGCAGTTCTGAAGGCAAAAGGGGGTCCAACCCGTTACTAGCATGGGGTACCTAATAAAGTGGCCGGTGAGTGTATATCACCATCGTAAAAAAAAAATATATTACTATAAGGATTTGGTCATATGGCCGAGTTAAATAATAGTGATTATAATACTGACCAAAATAATAGTGATTATGATTTTTGGCTTAGTCGAGCAGCCCTACAGGACACCTCAAACTCTTACCGGGGGCTTTGACTGGAGCACGAGTTGTCAGTGCTGCAGGGGGCGGGACGGCACTGAATTGTCCTGTGAATAGAGATGCTCAATTTCACATTGGTGTCCTTTTTCAGAAAATAATTTTTGCCTCATATAAGGTGCACTAAGGTTTTCTGACAAATGTTCAAATGAAGTATGTTCATGACAGACTCTAGTCATATACTGTCCTGAAAAGCCATTTAATGTTATGTTGAGATCACATGATCTGGTGAATGCTGCACCTATGGTGAAGTTTTCAGTGTAAAGTCCAAGATCACTGTAATATTGGTGATATAAGCCAGAAAAACCCTCTTTTCAGTGCACCTTTAAGACAGATGTGAAAGAAAAGCAGTAATACCAGTCTTGGCTTTCTTAGTAGGAGGGGCATCTTCCTCGTCTGAGGACGACTCCTCACTGCTGGACTCTGCAGGGTCCGCAGGTTTGGCTGGAGGGGTCTTCACCGGGACTGCTGCTTTTACTGCTTTCTGTGATAAAGTGAAAGGAACATATCAATCTCAAACCATCAACAAAAAGAATTTTTTTTTATATAAATATGGAACTGTGAAATTTGTGAACGTTTCTTCACTTTCACATTAGCGTCTAAAGTACATAAATCATGGTTTATAAGACTAGTTTATTCTTTTTATCTTAAATAAAATTCCCTAATGTGAATATTAAACCTCAGAAAAACTGCTATTTAAATACAAAGTCCCCGGTATGTTAGCCAAAATAAAAAGGAATTTTTCAAAACTCATTTGATTACATTTTAAAATAGGGGTGTGCGATATCACGATTTTTGATCATGGACAATTAAAATGTCTCCACGATCTGCTTTTGAAGAAATGTCGTAGTATCCTTCTACAGTGCATTCTATCAGTTGCAGTTCTGGCGCCTCAGTCTCAACATACTGTACGACGCAACGTATATTTACACGCAGAGGTAGAGTTACACTCACGGGACACTGCTAGGGGTGCTCCGATCAGGATTTTTGGGGCCGATCACCGATCGCCGATTACTGGAAGCTGTATCACCCGATACCGATAACCGATTACAGGGTCTATTTGAAGACTTCTTTTTATCATGTAGCATTACTTATTAAACTATATTTAACAACAATGTACATTAAGTATTACATTTAAGAGAAGACAATGCATATTGAATTGACACCTGTGTATTTATTTGCAAGCAACATGTATTAACATAGAAGCTTGGTTATTGGGAGCAGCTTAGGGCTTGACATACAACTTTCCTGTAGAATATAAAATAAAATGAAGTCTTTAAATTTAGCTTTAGACTACTTTAAACATTATTTTGACTATAGCCTTTTTTTGTTGCTGTTTTTAGTTTAGAGTCAGTCAGCCATCAGTTTTTCTAATACACTTAAAGGACCACAGGTAGTAAAGTGCACAGCAACAAAAAAAAAAAAAAAAAAAAAAAAAAAAAAAAAAAACTTCCATATCTGTATCTATAACTTTGCTTTTTTCTGGGATGCTTCGTCAGATTTTGTGGGCATTTAGAGAGGAAGAGAGAGGTAGACAAACCTGTGTGTGTGTGTGTGTGTGTGTGTGTGTGTGTGTGTGTGTGTGTGTGTGTGTGTGTGTGTGAAGAACCCTTGCAAAATTATTTTAAACATTAAGAAAGCCACCACTACTGGTCATATCTATGTTTAGATTGATTTTTTTAGATCCAGTGATTTTTTTAGATCCAGTGAAGTCTGTCCCACCATGTACCTAATATAAATAAATAAAACATCTTCAGTTAACTAGCAGATTATTCATTTAGTTCGCTATTAAATAAGAAATCTAGCGCTAAAATGTGTTTTTGAACTCAAGCTGCACGCTCGTTGCCGCGGCGATCAGTTGCATGGATACAGTGCTCTGTGTCTCGCGCAGTCTTCACTCGGACACGCGCTTCAATCTATCGCCGTTGCGGACTCTTATTCATTCCGGTGTAATCACAAAATAAAACACAAACGTATCCTTGCTTGATATAACTGTAACCGCTGATGAACATATTCAGTTTTGATGAGAGAAAATATGTACGAGTGATTTGACGGACGCACAGGGAGGGGGGGTTGGATACATTTTTGTCATTGGTTGTTGCGTTAAATCTTACCCAGATACAATAGTGCTATTTTCTGATTGGCTATTGTGTAGCTCGACGAACAACACCAGAGGAAACGCGCTTGATTCATGCCGGTTCCACAGTGAGAGCGGCGCGGCCAGAGTTTTGGCCGCTGCGAAATATTAAATATATTACAAATAGTTTTTCAGCGTGAGAAATACAATGTGTGGCGGGAGAGCGTGACAAAAGACCTAAATGAGTGACTGTCACGCTCAATGCTTGATACTTGAGAGCCCTGTTGTAGAATAGAATTGCCAGACCGGTGAAGCCATTTTTACCAGTGCGTAAAAAAATTGTCTCGCGAGTTTTGCCTCATCTGATCGGCTTTTCTGGATCGGCCTTTATAGAGACCGCCGATCACACATCCCAAAGCAATTATCGGCCGATTATGATCGGCGACCGATCAATCGGAGCACCCTTAGACACTGCAATTCACAAAAGTTCATTATTTGCATGGTTAAACATTTCATTCGCGTGCTGATGCGCTGTTCTAACATGAGCTTTACTGAGCGCATACACCCGAAGCACACAGGCACTATAAGCCTGGAAACAGCGACTGGTTAGTAAGTAACTAAGTTATATTTCGAGTCTTATTGCGCTAATACTGTCAAATACACACAAGGTTTACATTAACACAGTAGGTTGTGTCAAAAGTGAAAGCAAACATTTAAGAGAAAATCGAGTGTGTGCTGTCATATGCATGTATATTAGATGAGTGCAGGTCTTAAAGGGATACTCCACTTTTTTTGGAAATAGGCTCATTTTACAACTCCCCCAGAGTTAAACTGTTGAGTTTTACCGTTTTTGAACCCATTCAGGCGAACTATACTTTACTTACAGGAACTATACTTTCATTCCTGCGTAATAATCAAGAAACTTTACTGCCGTACCATGAGTGCAGCAGGCGTAATGATATGACGCAGCGCCTGAAAATAGTTCCGTTGTGTTGACGGAAGGTGGCCTATTTTCAGGCGCTGCGTCATATCATTACGCCTGCTGCACTCATGGTACGGCAGAGAAGTTTCTTGATTATTACGCAGGAATGAGAGTATAGTTCCTAGCCATATCAGCCTAGAAAATCGCAACTTTACATTTTCCGTCGGTCTTAGTGCACGATGTAACTACAGAAGAGTCAAGTTTTAAATAGGAAAAATATCGAAACTCTTTGGTCATTTTTTTTTTAGAAATGCTAATGGTCTTGTCCACTTCAATGATGTATGCTAAGCTATGCTAAAAGTGGTACCGCCAGAACCGGAGATCGGCTGAATGAATTCAAAAACAGTAAAACTCAACAGTTTAACTCTGGGGGAGTTGTAAAATGAGCCTATTTCCAAAAAAAGTGGAGTATCCCTTTAAAGAGACAGTAGCCCAATAGTAAACATGCTGCCGCTTGTCCTTAAAGGGACAGTTCACCCAAATATGAAAATTCTGTCCTTATTTACTCGCTCTAATGTTGTTCCAAACCTGTATTAATTTCTTTCTTGTGCTGAACACAAAATATGATATTTTGAAGAATGTGTGTAACCAAACAGCTGCTGGTCTCCATTGACTTACATAGTAGGAAAAAATATATTATGGAAGTCTCTGGGGACCAGCAACTGTTTGGTTACACACATTCTTCAAAATAACTTATTTTCAACTGAAGAAAGAAACTTATTCGGGTTTAAAACAACTTGAGAGGGTAAATGATGGCAATCTTTATTTTTGGGTGAACTATCCCTTTAATGTTCATAAAAAAAACAGAAAACAGAAAATCACTCACTGCTCTTAAAGGCTGATTTATGCTTCTGCGTCGGACCTACGCCGGAGCCTCTATGCTGTAGACTACGCGTTGGTTTTCATTTATACTTGTTGGACGCAGAGGGAACATGTGAAACCCGAGGGAGCGGTTCTAGCAGACCAATCACAGCGCTTGCATCCGCGTAGAATTGATGCGTTGTTACATTTTTGGAGAGGTGCACGTCAGGGTACGCCGAAGGGTACGCGCGCTACACACAGCCTACGACATAGCTACGGCGGGAGGTCGACGCAGAAGTATAAATTGGGCTTAACTTAAGTCTATGTAGTGTTTTATTTTTATATTTGTTCTTAATTTATCTTAATCTTTCTTAAATGTTACTGTTAAATACACCTACTGTAGCTGAAAATATAAAGCACTGTTTATTTCAGTTGTAGATTATGTTGTGTGTATGTAATGTGTATCTTTGTTCTTATCTTTTAATAGCAAAGAAAATAATGACAAAGATTTTTATTTTCGTCACTTTGGCCTAAATGTCTGCCATTCTTTTTTATTTTATATTTTGTTTCCTTGTAAGGCTAGGTTTTTTTAAATAGGGACATTAGTTTGGCTGTAACGCCCAGTCACTTGCAAAATAGTAAAACCATCATGAAAAAGAATCTTGATAATCTGAAAATAATCGTGATATTAAATTTATGATATGGCAAAAATATCCTATGATCTAAAAATGTAACTATGTAATAAGCAATTAAAACAATTTGGGAAACAGAAAAATAAATAGTGAATTCTAATGCATGTTAGTATGTTAAAAGACCTTAGCTGGAGCCTCGTCCTCAGATTCACTCGAGCTGTCCTCACTGCTGCTGCTGTCCTGCTTCTTCTGAGCTGCAGGTACAGGAGTGGACGCCGATTTAGGGGTCCCTGCCACAGGCTTGGCCCCTGGAGACCACAGATCATCACTTTGAACATGCAACTGACTGAGTAAGCCCCGAGTAATACACAGGTGAAGTAGTGATTGAGAATATGACCTCGAGCTTCAGCTCACCTTTAGCTGGAGTTTTGGCGGGCTCCTCCTCAGAGTCAGACTCTTCACTGCTGGAACTGGTGTCTTTCTTTCTGGCTGCTGCCACTGGCTGAACAACAGGTTTCACAGCTGCAGGTTTCTGCACAACAATTCAACAAGCCGAGATTCAGGAAGAGGCATTCTAGCAGAGAAATCCCACACGCTCATGTAAACAACATCAACTTCCTGACCTTTGCTGCTGTTTTAGCCGGAGCTTCATCCTCAGAGTCACTGGAGTCAGAGCTGCTGCTCTTTTTAGCAGCTACAGCTGCTGCTTTCTTTGGAGCAGGAGCTTTCACTGGAAACACACAATTCTTCATATCAGTGTTGAAAAACAACCATTCAAAAGTTTGGGGACAGTAAGATTTTTTTCCCTTTGAAAGAAATTAACACTTATTCAACAAGGACATATTAAATTGATCAAAAGTGTCAGTCAAGACATTTATAATGTTACAAAAGATTTCAATTTCAAACACTGTCAAATGCTGTTCTTTCTATTCATAAAATAATCTTTTATATATATATATATATATATATATATATATATATATATATATATATATATATATATATATATATATATATATATATATATATGCAACACTTTTCCACAAAAACTATTAAGCCTCACAACTGTTATTACATTGATAAGTTATTTTGGCACCAAAACAACGGAGAATGATTTATAAATTACATTAATAGAAAAGAAACCAGTTATTTTAAATTGTAATAATATTTCTAGAGCCCGACCGATATATCGGCGGGCCGATATTATCGGCCGATTTTAGGCATTTTCCTAACTATCGGTATCGGCATTTATAATGGCCGATAAATTAATATTTTTAAAAAATGCGTCCGTAGTGCTGAACTGTTGCGTCTGTAACATGTTTTTTTCCTCATAAATGCGAACACGAAAAATAAAATAAAATAAAATGAATATTTTATGTAGCCTGTGGAGAGTGAGAGCCAACCCTTCTTCATCCGGTGGGTAGTAGCCTACTTGTGATTTGCGCAGTGTAATTCCCAGAATTGATTTCTCTGCTACCAGCCTCTGTCACGTATGTGATCTTTGTGACTATTGCAAGCGTGCAGCTGAGAAGTCCTGATTATATTGTCTGCTATATTTAGGCCTACTTATTATTTATTAAGGCAATTGGTTGATGAAACTTTGATTAAAATGCGTGGCGCGATTGATCTCCGACAGTAAACTGATTCTGCTTTGTCAGGGTAAACTGTTGCGACGCGAGCAGTAACGGCCGCGTCCGGTGTAGACACCGTGTTAAAGCTCATTCTGCCTGATAACGCTACGTTACAACATCAAGCAATATTCCAAACATTTATATAATTATAACACTTTATATAGGGCCATTTTGCATTAAGAGTAGCCTAGTTTCACGTTTAGTACATTTTGCTTACTAATTATTTAAAATACTATAAAAGTACTGTACATATGTAATTAAAAGCGTTTTCATTATGATATTATTAATTTTACTTTAGTAAAAAGATCTGAGTTCTTCCTCCACTGGTAGAGATTAGAGGAATTAAGAGTAAAAATAGAAGATAATAAGGTTTTGTCAGTGACACTTTTTATATATTTATTGATATAGTTATGACTAAATTAAAAGACAAAGTCGTTAGTGAAGATTATGCAACAGTATTTAGAATATAATATAATATAACATGCAATGCAAACTAGTTTGGTTACAGCTCAGCTGGATAATTCTCATTCTATCATTCCCCCTGCCTCCATTACATATCTGTGTCACACAAGTGTTTGATTACCACATGTGAGTGATCATTGCAAAACGTGTTTATAAAATATATTTATTCTGTTTATAGCTACTGTGTAAAGTACCCATCAAAAGTTTGTACACACCAATAGGAAAGTGTCCAAACTTTTGACTGGTATACTGTACTATAATACACATAAATAATATTGCTACTGTATTATAATATACACATAAATAATATCGGCCGATATATCGGTATCGGGCTTTTTTTACTCCCTAATATCGGTATCGGCCCCCAAAAATCCATATCGGTCGGGCTCTAAATATTTCACTCACAATATTAATGTTTATACTGTATTTTTGATACAGTATACGCAGCCTTTTGTGAGGGTAAGAGACAAAAACAGAGTACAGTTTGAAATCAAGAAATAAATACTGGAACCCGAATTATGTTCATGAATATTTTCTTGAGACAGAACACTGCAAAAAAATACATTCCTTTTCTACTCTGCAACAACATTTTTATTGCTATGTTTTTCTCTGGCAGCACCAACAATACCAACATACAGTCCAACCAATTAAATCTAATTTGTGAATCATTGGCCCCGTTTAGACTGGTATTAAGATGTGTTTTGGTCAATCGTATAACAAGTAGACGAGGGAGACATACACATTTACACCTGGGGCCTCATTTATAAAACTTTGCGTAGGATTTGCGTCAGAAGTGGCGTACGGATGAAACATAGGACGTGCGTAATCACAGAAATATTCGGATTTATAAAACCGTGCGCACGCACATCCTACGCATTTTTCCCTTAATAAATCACAATCAATTCTAAATGTAGCGCAGCTTTTGCGGCTTCATGTCACGCCCATAGTTGCCCATAAATAGTCTGTGAAACGCCCACAAGTTAATATTCATCGATTGCGAAATCATGGCAAACATAGAAAGGAAATCAAAAAAACGTAACTTCACTCAATGTGAAGTAGAAGTTATCGTTGGCGAGGTGGAAAAGAGGAGAAAAATGTTGTTTGGAGGGCACAGTGTGGGCATTACTAATGCCAAAAAGGCACTTGTGGCAAAAGGTTGCAGATGCCGTATGCTGTAGCCTCACAACCTCGGACTGTGGCCGAAATAAAAAAGAAATGACAAGCTACAGATGTCGGTTATAATCTACTTGGAAATGGGAAATAGTTCAGCACAAATGTAATTTCTTGCAGCTTTCTGATTGGTTGAGACATAGGTCTACGTCATACGTTATTTTATCAAAAATAAAACAAACTAGAGGCATATGCATGAATACCATGATTCCGTAGCTGATAAAGACATTTTACTATGAAAACAACTTTACCCAGAGGACAAATAATACATCTATCTATCTATCTATCTATCCGACTGACTATCTAGCTATATCTAGCTATATCTGCTCCGCCAGACGGACACATTGGCGAGAATATCAGATGCAGATCGATCAAACGGGTGTTCGTGTAGGCTGTTAATTGTAAGACTTGCTTTGTGAAGTCTTCGTGTTATTTATGAGAGGCAGTATTGCCATTTATTTTACACAACGGTCTAGTTTCACACACTTTCACGTGTTTCTTCCATCTGCCGACGGTGTCGCCATTTCTCATTTCACCCGTTTTTGTGCGTACGCCTGGGTCAGAGCTTGCGTGAAGGACCGCACATTTTACCGTCAAGATTGCTTTTTATAAATACCAATTATTGCGTAGAGAGCGGCGTACGCCTTCTTTTGTGCGTACGCAACGTTTATAAATGAGGCCCCAGGAGTTTTAATTTGTCTCTTTTGTCCACTTTCAAACACTTCTATCCTGATTTCTTCGAAGGGATGGTCTATGAGCGGGTAAATGTATGGGATTTTTTTAGATCTTTCGATCTAATGGACAGAATAAGCTCACGCAATTTACATATGAATGCTCCCGGAGACGACGAAATATGGAGAGCAGCAGCTTTAGTTTCTGTTCTGACAGCCACAAGACCAGCCGAACAAACTTCAAACCAAACTTGAGTCTTCAGCCGACAAAGTTTATATCCCGTCTGGCTAGCGCGTTTCCCATAATGTTCACGCATTAGGTCAGTAGGCGGAGGAGATTAGACGTCTTTTGGAACACATGAGCGTTTACACCACGAAACCAATCTAGTCGAATGAGTGTTCGACTACCTCTGGAAGTGGTCGAAAGTGGAAAAGCTCAAGACATTTTAGACCTAGGGTTGGGTTAGTGAGAATCTATTTGGTTTAAAATTATTTTTGTTTTGTTTAAAATGGAGATCATAATTACATCTACACAGAATAATATGTTCCAGTCTATTTAAAAAATAAAATTAAAAAACTAATTTGATTCATTAATTCAAACACTTTTAAAACTAATTAATTCGGTGTCTCATTCATAAATACCTGTTTAATGAATGGATGATTCTCTGTTTTTGAATTAATCTCCCGAGTCTTCTTGAATGATTCAATGAAAAAAAATTGAACAGTCGAGTTTTGCCACCTACTGAAGTAATGTAATCAACAATCTTTATTTGAAGAGACTCCTTTCACTTGAACTATTTTATTGGTTATTGCTTAAAATTGGAAAGAATAAAAGGTAGTAATATTTATTATTCAAGATTTTGCCCTTTGTTTTTTTATGTTTTTTTTTAAATATTGGAATCGGAAACAAGAATCGATAAGATCCGGATTCGATAAGAATCGGAATCGCTCCAATCGAAACGATACTCAACCCTCAGCGTCCTCCACTTGTTATCCGATCGACCAAAACGCATCTCGATACGAGGTGTAAACAGGGCCATTAAGTGGAATCCTAATAAGAAACTTGACAGCTATGTACCTTGTACTGCTTTCTTGGCAGGTGCAGCTTCCTCTTCACTGCTGGAGTCTTCACTGCTTGAACTCTCTGCATCTTTCTTTGCTTTCTTGGCTGACGGGCCATTGACAGCCACAGGGCCACTGGTGACCGCTTTACGCTTTTTGGTTTCTGGGGACCTTGAGGAAAGAAGTTGTAGTGATTACAACCCAACAGTGGAAATGACAGCAAAACTACCGGCATGAGCAAGAGTGAGCAACAGTTGCCAATGCCATACAAACAATTAAAAGACAGCTTATACTTACTTCACCCAGAAATTGAAGATGTCCAGGAGACTGTCGTCATTTTGGTCCTGGGGTTTCTGATTAGAGGAAACAGATAAGATTGCAAACTATAATACTTGTAGTACAAAATTGTACAACTTAAATACACAAATGCTATATGCACGCACAGGGGCGTCATGCAAGCCAAAATTCTGGGGGGGCACAATCTGAGACGTTGCAATTGTTTTCTGACGGGTGATATGGATCATGTTAGGAGGGGTCAGGGGGGTTTCTCCCCCTGAATTTTTTTTAATTCTGGCTGCGAAACATACTATTTCAATGCAGTTTGGGAGGGACAGAAATACCTTAACGGAGCTAGCAGCAACCCTCCTCTATCTGAGGACTAAGTTAAAGTATGTGTATCTGTGCATTATAAGATGTTTTGAAGGCCAAAAAAACTGGATACAAACAGCTTTAAAACCATGTCACGCAGCTGATTATTTTTCTCTCCTCATCTCCATCACACTTTTTCTCTTTGTTTTTCTCTTGCCCTGTCTCTTCCCCTCCTAAAGTTGAACTTTGACTGATAGGCTTTCCATTTTTGTCTGTCAGTGAAGAAAGTAAACATAGGGTCAACTGATAGGTTGATTTATGAATCATTTTCTCAGACGAGTTACTGAAAGCTACTAGGAAAGCTAGGTAGCCTAACTAAGTTTATTAAATTCATTCACAGTACATATTCATTATTGATCTTATACCTAATACAGGGCCGTAGACAGGGCTTTATAATCAAAGAGGTCCTAAATTTGAGGTGGGTAGGGGGTTCAAATTTTTATTTCTCTGATATGTGCATTTCAAGACGTTTGAAGGCCAAAAAAAGGATAAGAAATAGCCTTAAAACCATGTCAGCGGACAGTAGATTATTTGTCAATACCTGCTCTCACTTCTTATCCATCACTCTTTATTTTTCTCTCAGTCTCCTGATCTTGCCTTCCCCTCCTAAAGCTGAGCTTTTTTAATTTACTTAAAGGGATACTCCACCAGTTTTTCTTATTAAACTATGTTATTCCCTTAACTAAGACGAGTTGATACATACCTCTCTCGTCTCAGTGCGTGCACTATATCGCTCTGTATTGCCGCAAAACTATGTTAGCACTTAGCTTAGCCCATGCATTAAATATGGGCCAAGCAGAGAAGCGACCAAACACTTCCACGTTTTCCCTATGTAAACACAGTTACTCGAGTAGTGTAACTTGACCTGGGCTGGTGACACAAAATAAACCGTTGCGCTTTTCTAAGCGTTTAAAATTGATGACTATATTGTATGGCGGAATACCATAACAAGTGCTTTTGAGCACTTCGACTTGGCGCAATAATATCTTCACTCGTGAAAAGTCCCGGCTCCCGCTTCCTCTCCCCCTCCCTCTCATTTCCGTCAATACAACCAACGTGACATGCGCCGGTAGTAGTAGTTTGAGCGGAGTTGACGAAGTAACAGGTTGTTGGAAGCTAGTTTGTATACAATCATGGTTAAAACGTGCATCGTAAAGGGTTGTGAAAATAAGGAGAATGTACATAGTGCTGTCATTTTTCACCGAATTCCAACACACCACATACAGCGGAGAGCTTGGTTAGCTGCTTTCGGGAAAGCTCCGGTCTGTTCTGGATCATATCTTTCCCTCTCACGGTCCATAAGAGCTAATTCCTCCTCTGTGTACTCGGGTTCAAACAGATATGGCTCTGGGTCTTCTACAAAGAAGTCATAATCATCTACAAAGTCCGCCATTGCAAATGATCTGCAGTTTGCTAATAGCACAGCACAGGTAGTAAAAGTCACGTTGGTTGTATTGACGGAAATGTCAGAGGGAGGGGGAGAGGAAGCGGGAGCCGGGACTTTTCACGAGTGAAGATATTATTGCGCCAAGTCGAAGTGCTCAAAAGCACTTGTTATGGTATTCCGCCATACAATATAGTCATCAATTTTAAACGCTTAGAAAAGCGCAACGGTTTATTTTGTGTCACCAGCCCAGGTCAAGTTACACTACTCGAGTAACTGTGTTTACATAGGGAAAACGTGGAAGTGTTTGGTCGCTTCTCTGCTTGGCCCATATTTAATGAATGGGCTAAGCTAAGTGCTAACATAGTTTTGCGGCAATACAGAGCGATATAGTGCACGCACTGAGACGAGAGAGGTATGTATCAACTCGTCTTAGTTAAGGGAATAACATAGTTTAATAAGAAAAACTGGTGGAGTATCCCTTTAAGGCTACAAATTGTACTATATTAATTCTCAATATGTATACATTCATTATTAATCTTGTGCCTGACAAGGAAAACGGCTTTTCCCCTCACAATGACAGTAAACTAATTATTAGCCATTACGAGTCACGTTACATAGGCCTATTTTCAGTTCAAAATGGCGAAATTAGACAAAAGTATATTCGTGTGCCTGATTATTTTCGTCATTCGTTTAACATTTATGAACTAAAAAAACTGTCAAATATGAAATGTTTACTTTAGCAACTTACATCTCGCACTTGACTGTACACTGACTGAAGCGTCGAGTGAGTCTAAAATTCGCGCTAAGCTTCTGTGAGCATAAAGCCCGCCTCCTTTGATTTCATTGGCCATCTCAAATATTCTGACATTGACGAGCAGTGACAGACCAATGAGGCTCAGATGAACACACACGCGCGCACACACACACCCTGTCCTGTGTCCTCTGTTTCTGACGTGCGCTCTGCTCGGCGCCGCTGCGGATTGAAGATGAACAACGTGCTGAATCTGATTATAACAAGTAATTTAAAAAAATTATCAGGGAGGAAAAATCTGAGGGGGCACGTGCCCCCTCACTTTGAATGGGCATGACGCCACTGTGCACGCATGTATATAAATGTAAAGTAGTAGAAACTCCAAATTTGAGGGGTGATCATCAGCAGCAGAGACACTCATAAACTAGAAGATATTAAGAACTCTGTGGCTATATAAAACATTTGTAAGAATAATGAATATGCAGCATATGTCAGTTTTGAATTCTCGTTTATTTTTGTCAACTGCAATATTGTATAAATGTATTAGGCCTACTCTTCATATAAATGTATTACTTAGTTTTGATATCCCAGGCTATATATGTTATACTGTAAGGTCTGGGAAATGTTATACATTTACAGTTTGATTCCAACATTGTCCAACACTGAACCTGTTGCAAAAGTCTTAGGAGAATAGTGATGAATATAATTACTTCTGGACTAAGAATAAAAATGTAAACGAATAAAACACTGCTGTAATAGCACAGGTTACAAATTATAAAACAACCGGCAGAAATTAAATGTATTATTAAAGCACATCTTATACAGCGGCTCGTAAACACGTGTTCAGGAGAAACTGCGTGTCAGTCCCACGCGTGTGCAGATCTACGCGCCCCGATCGACACATCCCAGGACTACTGCCTCCGCGCGCACGAGGGCTTCTAATAAACACGTGAAAGGCTCTTACCACTTTAGACTGCTTTATAAACTCTTTCGCAGCTTTGGCGAACTTATTCTCCACGAGAAAAGAGTACACATGCTGGTAGAGATCGCTGGGCACCTTGCCGTCTTGCGCCATCTTCGTTGCACTCATGTGGAGGAGGAGCGCGATTGGCTATTTCAACGTCACGTGGAGCCTATGAAAATGGCGCACGATGAGTGCGTCATACTAAATGTACGATTATAACATTTTCGACTTTTAGATAGGACTTGCTAAATTCTTCATTCATGAATTCAGGTTTTTGAAACCCCACTACATCCCCCTCCTTTAATCAACTTAAAATTCTTGCTTCCATCCCTCTGTACTCTCTCTGATGAAAAAGCTATTATACCTACTAAGGCCTTGTACTTAAAAAAATATAAGCTAACAATCAGACAAAAGAAGGCATGTCATAGATTGTGTACAATAATTTGTTTTTAATAATTTTGATCATGTTGATAATTTAGAGTCCTTATGAATTCATGTTACAGAAGGCTTTACATGGTTAATAAGGTCTGAAAACAGTTTTATACAGTTTGTAGATTTCAACAGTGTAGCTAAATTTGTTTTGATTTTTTTAAACTGTTTACATATTTTCATTATTAGCCCATTTTTTGTGCTTCATAGTTTAAAACTTGCTACACACACGGCAATAACGCAAGTAGACAAGATTTTATTTATATATTTGCACTATTTTTTATTATTATTTTTAGGTGTATCGATTTCTCCCTCAAAGCCAATTCAAAGGTCACCACCAGGTTAAAGCATAATCCTAAGCAATGGATAAAGTGGTGGAGTGGGGTTATGATTGGGGATTTAGATTTTCTATAGAAAAGACTCAGTCAGTTGTTGTTTTTTACTAGGAAAAGAGTTCAGGAAGGAATAAAGCTAATAATGTATGGAAGAGATTCAGAGAGGGTTTTGGAACTTTTACATTTTTAGGATTTAGTTTGGATTCACAATTGATATTTTCAGATCATATAAGGAAAATGGAGGAAAGGTGGCAAAACGTAATTAATGTGATGAGATGTCTGAGGGGAAGAGATTAGGGTGCAAGTAGATCATCACTGAAAATAATATACTGTATGTGGCATTAATATGATCAGCTCTATATTATGCAAGCATAGTAATTTGATGGGGATTTGGGGTGGTGGCGATACCAGATAAAGGAATAGGTATCAATAGGATAACATCTAATAAATTAGGGGTTTATACAGGGGAAATGCTGGCAACATTAATTGCATTATCCGATGGGTAGAAAAGACGGGACAGAACAAAGTTTTGGTATGCTCAGATTCATCATCAGTTTTAACAAGCCTTAGGTCATTCAATTCAAGAAGTCGACAAGATATTCTGTTTGAAGTACTCCAGTCAGTAAAAACTAACAAAAATAGTAATCCAAGGAAGACAGGTAAAGTTGATATGGGTTCCCAGTATAGGGATAAGGGGGAATGAAAAGGCAGATGAATTAGTAAAAAGGGCGTTAACAAAAGGAAATATAGAAATGCAAGTTAGTATTAGCAAAGTAGAGGTTAAAAGTGTGATATGGGAGAAAATAAATCAAAAGTGGCAAGAAAGGTGGGATGGAGATGGGAAATTCAAAGGGATGTTAAAGATACAAGGGTTGGAAGTGGAAATAGGAGAGAAGAAATTGTGATATGGTTAAGATTGGGACATTGTTTATTAAATAACACATTAAAAGGGTTATTGAGCAGCGATAGGGCTCGGACTACTATTCTTATGACTTTCTTAAGAGAAACAGGGGTTTTTAATAGGATATAAATATATGTAGTATTGAGGAGGGTATTGTTGTTGTTATTATTAGTATTATTATTATTATTATGTAGAAGGACTGGGATGAGGTGTGTGTGTGTGTGTGTGTGTGTGTGGGTGTGTGTGCGTGGGGGAGAAAGAAGGAAGTTAAGTCTGTAAACCTACTTTCTGATTCACACCCATAAGAAAGTTTACCATGATAAACTATAGTACATACCATGGTATACCATAGTAGTACCATGGTACCTTCATGGTACATACCATTTGTACCTCAGATATTACCGTGGTACCATGGTACATTGTATGGTACTGTAGCTGTTACTATGGTACATAGTACCTCAACCTTATGGTATTTTCTGTTTCACACTCCGGAGCAGAAGGTGGCGGAAATGCATGCCAACCACCGTAAAATAGCAAGAAGAAGAAAGCATAATCCTCCGATGCTGTAGATGGCGCACTGCATCAACCTCCACATGTGTTTCGACAGTATCCTTGAAGCAGACACACATGCACTTCAGAGCAGGCTCTGACTGTGTGTGACATATTTCCACCGAGAGAGATATTTGTCTTTTAGATAACCTCTCTATTCCCTCAGCACCGGGAGATGCCGCGTTATGAGCTGTCCGTGATCCTGAAGGCGATGCGGAGGCCGGAGACCGCGGCGGTGTTGCGGCGCACGGTGGAGACGCTGTTCGAGCGCGGCGCGGTGGTGCGGGGTCTGGAGAACCTCGGGGAACGCAGGCTGCCTTACAACATCTCCAAACACAACTGTCTCCACACGCACGGAGGATACTTCTCCGTGGACTTCCACGCCTCGCCGAAGATCCTCAGCGGGCTGTTAGATCACCTCGAACGAGACATTGACGTGCTGCGTCCGACTGTTCTCAAGAAAGACGTCGAGGTTTCCGAGGCGCAGTGCTGTGGCCTACAGAACGAGAAAGCAAAGAGTAACGTTACATCCCGTTAAATGTGAGAATCTTTGTTTTTCTCATCTGTTTTTACTCCTAAGATTTCTGATAATCGGGTTAGATATTAAAATACTATAAAACTATGAATAAATTGTTCAAAATGAAGTAGTATTCGAACATTATTGGAGTTAAGGTCATGAACTCTACCCCACCTGTGTGGACTTAAGGAGAAATGAGTTAATCGCTACAAATCACAAGTTGAAACGCAAGTTGCCATAGTCTTTTCTTCCCAGTTATCTGAAGCAGCACGAACAAGAGAAAACGCAGGGCCATTAGGAATTGATGAGTGGGGGTTCAATCTTCAGCTGGCTGGCAGGAGCCGCCACTGGCAGTTAGCTGCCAGTCTGAGCCTGGCATGTCACGTGACCTGCCAGTGGCTGGCTAGTTGTCCAAAGTCTGACTTTGGCAAGTTTCAGAAACCATTGATTTTTGACAGTTTTTGTGTTTTGTGTTCCTCCCTTTCTAGCTCATTTATTATGCATCTGTTGATATGATTATGTTCTTTAGTATGATTGCTGTTTTGGGGACTGTTATCCCAATATAACCAGTCAAATGGCAGTGATCCGACTGGCAGCTTACAGACGCTTGCTCGACGCTCATCCAGTCAGTCGCGGCTGATAGTGCGAGTATAACGTGTTGCCTGACACTGATCGCTGCATGGAAATAAATTGTTTTCTTATTATGAATATAATGTCACGCGTCTATTCTTCTTTGCAACTGCACACTGTGTGTTTTCTATTGCCCAGACAGCAACATAGTGTCGGCCCAGATCCGGCCTACATCTGGTACGCGTTGAATCCACATGTACCCGACACTATGTTGCTGTCTGGGTGGTTGATCTTATGTGAGTGACAGGTTGTCCCACCCTCGCGCCAGTAAACACTTTTTACACTGAATTAATAATTTGTCACATTTATATAGTGCTTTTTCTGGGTACTCAAAACACTTTACATGGAAGGGGGAATCTCCTCAACCACCATCAATCTGCAGCATCCATCTGGATGATGCGACGGCAGCCATATTGCTCCAGAACGCCCACCACACACCAGCTTACTGGTGGAGAGGAAACGCGTGATGAAGCCAATCAGTATATGGGGATGATTAGGAGGCAATGATGGACAGGAATTTGGGCAGGATGCCAGGGTTGCACCCCTACTCTTTTTCGAACGACATCCTTGGATTTTTAATGAACACAGAGATTCAGGACCTCGGTTTAATGTGTCATCCAAAGAACGGATATTACTTAAAGGCTTCACAAAAAGTACGTTCTTGAAAAGTACGTCTTGTCGTCTTACTATGAATGTAGTCCGGACATACTACATTTGCCATGTCATTATCTCGGGACTCACCAGCGTCAGTTGCATTGCTTCACAAATCCTCTCCTGTGGCCTCATGGGATAGTTAAGTGTCCATTGTATTGCACACTTCAGAATCTCACCGGAAGTAGTAGGACATCCAGTTACTTTTTTTTGACTACTCTTTTATGAGTACTGTGAGTTCAGAGTGACATACTACTTTTGTCACATACTGTTTTCGCCAATATAGTAGGGAATTATGCAATTTCGGATGCGCCCGAGATGCCGTTGCAAGTGAGAGGCGAAGTTATTTAGATTACAAAGGGCACATGACTTAAAAAAGAAGCCGTGCAACGTGCACGGGTAAATCCTTTATAATAAATACTGCAATATTCCATAAGCAAGGGTTAAGTTTGATTTTATTCAAATAAGACAAATTAAGTTAAGGTTAAAAAATAAAAAAACTTTTCAGGTGCCACCTGGATTGATATGCAATGAAATCTGTGCCAAAGTGTTCAAATGGTTTTGGGTTCACACAGTCACACTTCTGCTGTAGTTTCTGTGTCATTTTTGAATAAGACTGTTGTTGATCACATGTTCCACAAGTAAATTCCTGTCATTTCCCCCTAGGACTGTGAAGATCACCTCATCTGCTGGATTATGTGAACGGACAAGACAAGCTAGTAAATGCCAGCAGCCTTTTTATGGTTTTGCAGCAGTGCATTTACTTCAGCTAATGGTGTGTATTTCTGCAAAGAACTCTGTACATATGATCTTTTTGCAGGATCAGTGTTGTTTTTGGCGTATTTAATTTTAGTATGACAGAATCTGCTTTAATAATTACATGCTCAGAAATAAATAATTTGAAATTCTTTCAGTCTGTAGCATTCATTCTCTTCCATTAAACGGACACACATAAAGAACTACATTTAAGTGGAGTAGAGGAAAGCTATATAATAAATGATTTATCCTCAGGACACAGTCATGTGAGTTTGTTGTGCAAGACTAAAAAAAATCCATTCTACTTTTCCTTGTAGAGAATGTAAAAAAAAAAGGTCAGCAGAGAAAAGATAAAAAAAACTGCATACAAAAGTTTTTAATCGATTCAAAAGCAAATCAAACAAGGTGCTAAAATGAACAATGCAAAGTTCTTTTTCAAAGTTTTTTCTCTTATCATATGGTTCATAACTCGAACTACTTGCTTTAATCTCGTTTTTGTTGAGTGGTTAAATTCATTCTTTATCTCACGCAGAGATGTCTCCCTTAACTAATGTCATCAACATCAGTTGAATAAACATTGAATAAATTGTCTTAATCTTATAAGGTACTTGTATTAATAGGTTAAAATTAAAGAGGTTGTCAATACTACAAATGCGTCATAAGTTTGATTTATAATGAATGGGTTATTTGATATAGCATTATTTTCGGACAAGCTGTTCCTAGTCAAAACAATTTTTGATAAAAAATCTTATTAAATGAAGGGAAAAGCCACAAAAGTGAATGTTCCAAGGGCACTTGAAAATATGGTAACACCATGCATGGTACTGTACTATATACTATTTAAATTGTTGTATACATATATAATGGTTTACATGGCACATATACTGTGTTACTACAGTAGATGTTCAACAAAACATGGCAATATAATGGTGATTTTGTAATTGTAGAAATGGCACTAGCAAATGGAAATTAAATGTAACATTAAAATACAGTTGGTCTTTCACACAATGGCCTTTTGTGACGATTTGCACCAATAGCTGGTCATGTTAGGGTTAACCCTAACCCACTCCATATGGCGAATGAATGAATTTGCCACTAAAATCCTAGGCTTTTTTTAGCGAACATTAAACAAAACAATTCATGAAATATCAAAATGGTACTGTAAAAAAGTATCAAACCATTGTTTTAATTTTAAACCATTGTAAAATTGTGAACAATATATGACATAAATGACACCAATACTTTGTAAAACTCACAAATAGGCTACTACAAAAAGACACAATTCAAGTGATCTTTCATTTGTTTGTTGAATATTAACAGAAAAGCAGTCATAATTGAAAGATTTACAAACAAAGACTGAGATTGTTGCATTTTCACATCGCATTCTACACAACATACCAAAAAAATATGTTAGTTATCAAAGTTATCAAAGGAAAGAAAAACTATAACTAAGTAAATGAATAAAAAGAATAGGAAAAGTATAGGAGTAGGATTTAAAAAATAATAATAATAATTATAAGACAAAAACCCTCCAATAAAGAATACAATAGGCTTTGGGACTTTTTATCCCTCTCAATGTCTCCAAATATATTAGAATATATTCCAATATCAAATATATTCCTCTTTAAAAATAATAATCGCGGAGGATTTTTGAAAATTCTACATTTGTGTATGTAAAATTTAAGCAAAAGCATCAAATTATTTATTACTTAAAGAATACAATAGGCTTTGGGACTTTTTATCCCTCTCAATGTCTCCAAATATATTAGAATATATTCCAATATCAAATGTATTCCTCTTTAAAAAATAATAATCGCGGAGGATTTTTGAAAATTCGACATTTGTGTATGTAAAATTTAAGCAAAAGCAACAAATTATTTATTACAAGATACATTTTTATCCTTAATTCCAACCGAATGCATCATTCCAGAATCCACGCACCACTGAAAAAACGATATCAACTGGCATATTTGACATAAATTTAAATCCCTAACATTAAATCTTATTCTTAAAATACTTCTTTTGCAGGGTTTATATGATTCACAATTTCAAAGTGCGCCTCTTTACATTTAGGGTTAACAGGAAATGAAAGGAAATCGGTTCTAATTTCACACATGTCTTTCTTCTCATAATCACGGAAATATGTTCTCTTTACAGGTCCTGGGAAACATTGTTGTAACTAAACAATTCCTCAAAAATTTGTTAGAGCATTTTCTATCACCAAAGCTTACATTTTCTATAAGATCGTATATTGCAGGCTACTATCACTGAATATTTCAAATGTTCCTTTACTCATTTAATCGTTGGCATTGGAATACGTTTGATGATTTTATCATGCACTTTAAGGAGCAACGTAGATGAAACACAAAAAGCATCATGGCTCAATATGTCCACACAATTGAAATGATCAAGGTCTCTGGTCATTTTCCCTCATAAAGCCACGCCCCAGTCACGCGGTCAGCTGACAGTGAGATCATCAGCATAAAGCCTCATCATCACACGACCTCGCGATTCACTGCAGCACAAACACCATCAGCAGACCCAGACCAGATACACAACACGACACTGCTGTTCGATAGAAGCGTTTCCGAAGACATGATGCTTCTCACGCTTCTCTTTATCTCCACGGGTAAATATATATATTGGTTTTACTGAGCTCCACATTATTGTGTGTATTAGTTCCTTGTAAGAAGTGTGTCATAGCTGCAGTTAATGGCGGAGGAAGTGTTTGGTAAACATGTCATGTAGGTTACCGAAAGTCGAGCCCGCTTAAATGGAAATGTTATCTTCGAATACACGTCCTAACTTATTCCTCTGTTCCAGAAAGCTAGAATAAAGAATCTTATCTAATAATGGCGATATTAATATTTTGGTCCCGTTTTGTTTATTGACGTGCTGTGCTAGCTGGCTAACGCTAACAGTTAGGTGTTATAAACAACAGACGTTCCGGTATTTTTAAAAACATATCCGAAATTATTTATTTGAGTTGACTTATCTGGTATCTGTATTTTTTTATACGCATGTAAGTTGTGTTTTTTGCGCAGTCAGATCTTTTCAACCTGTCTAAACTCTGACTGTTGAGTTTTAATTTTTATCTGCCGATTGTTTTGTCTGAAACCAATGTAAATGGGTTGGGTTTATTATAGTCACGAATGTACTATTACATTTTAATTTCCTCTCATGTAACGTTACTTAATGCGAATCATGTCCGCATTATGACTCATCACTTCTTATAACGTTCGTCTCCTGCATGATCGATTTAAATGATTTCATCACCTTTATCTCTTTTGTTTTGAGCTCTGACAGACGACAGTGTCTGGATGTTGTTGACACAGTACATGAAACTTGTTTATCAGCGTTGCCTTGATGCTGATGTACTCAGACTGTCTTTTAACCCGAAGTTTTCTTTAATCTGAGATCTGACCAGTTATATGCGTTATCATTTGCATCCAAGCAAGTGTTGTTGCTCGTCTGTTCTCACTCCCAGGTATCAGATCTCTGCTACACCAGTAGTTGCCACATCCTCTTCTGTGTTCCTCTTTAGGATTTCTGCTTACAGTCACAATTTAACTTCTGATCTTTTTGCAGAGAGGTCTGAAAGTCTTTCATGCTATGTCTTTCATATATGTATGGTCAAGTCAGAGCTTCTAGTTTGTGAAAAATTATTATATTTAAAACCACAAGTCATTCAACCACAGAATGTTCTACTTCTCATTGGCATGCAGCTTTCTTAGGAATTGCACAAGAGGAAGCTGGACACTATTGGCCAAATAGACCTGGAGCATGACTATTTATAAAAGTTTAGTGTTATGGCATCTTGAATATGTGATTGTTTGCTCTTGACTTATCACTAGGATCACTTCCGCATTTCAGGTAGTTAAATTATCATATATATATATATATATATATAATATTATATATATATATATATATATATATATATATATATATATATATATACACACACACAATTTTAATGTAACATCAAGTGTTTTTGTTTACTCAATCCATGTCCAATTTGTATTTCACTTTTTGCAGTTCACTCCTTATTCCATGTCTCCATTAATATGAGCTCAAACTGCATGTACGCATTTATAAGAGAATTTGAAAAATGTTGTTTAGTGGTTTCATGTCATTACTTGACATGTTATGTCAACTACACATTCACACAATGAGTCGAATCCAACCAATCTGACTTTGGGTACTTACCAAAATGTGGCTATAAGCCAATCAGAAAACAATAATTTTTTTAAAGTCAGTTTAATGATCAATCGTCGCTGTCATGTCCAAGTACTCTTGCACATCCCTATGAAAAACCCCACGGTTTGTTAAACCACCAGGCTTTCACTTCTGCTGTGCAATTCATATCAGTTGTCAAAATCAAATCAGAAAAAATATCTTAATATGTGAGAAGGTGCAGACAGTACAGAATATGGGAAAGCGCCATGCAATAAACATATGGCCTAAGAACTGGCTGTAAAACTGGGTATCATTCAAGTAATGAAAGTGTTTTGCCCTACACACCATAAAGTACTTACATTTTACCAGCACTTATGATAAATCCGGAAAACCGGCTTTAATCACACTTGCATAGACAGTTAGATGTGCAGCGCCAATCTGTGGACCAAAATGCCCACCCCTAGTTTTTCATTGGTAATGGTATACTTGGTGCCTTTTGGTTTCTTTGTTTAAAAAGAGTTTAGTCCTTTGGTAATGTTTCCAAGTTTAAGTTGGGAGTACAAAGTATGATTTTTGTTGTCATACATTTAAAAGAATAAATACAAATTCTCTCTTGGGAGAAATTGTGGTCACGACTTGTATTGTGTGAGGAATTGTGTGCTGAATCGAGTACTTTACAAGCTCCAGATAACTTTTAAACCGGTTCAAAAAATTCTGGGAGTCGGTCCAATTTTGACCAGTGTATAGGCTGTCCCTTATTGTTAAATCATACACCACAAAGTCATATAGGCCTATGCTAGATCCATGAATATTATAGCCCAGTGACTTCAACCCTGCAGTTTATGCATACACTCGTGCACACAAAAATACTTTCTAGTTGTGTCATAATTCCAGTAAAACACTAGTGTTAGTCATTTGTTAGTAGTGCACTTGCAGTTTCACATCTGGGTTTTGTCAACTTTGTCTTTTGTACAATCAGCTATAGAGGGTGAGCTGGCGGAAACGGAGACTGGATCATAAGACTGCTCACGCTCCTAGTTTTTGTCAGTGCATGTGTCATATGTCAGAATATCTTGCCTATGAATTTTGGACTGGAGTCTGCAGGTTTTTTTTTCCCCCAATGGTAATTTCAGGAGTAGGAGGAATAATTCTTCAGATCCAAAGATGCCAGTGTGACTGTGCAACTACAGTTCAGTTTCTGATGTGCTCGAAGTGGAAAGAAATCTGCTGTCACTGGCTTCACATGAGCCTGTTTATTCCTGATTTGAGACTGTTCATGTCATGGAAAGTTTTAAAGGAACTATAATGGGGTGTTGTACTTGGTGGAATCAGTATTAACTGGGTTAAGTTCTGGGGACTTTCCAGGCACATGCTCCCGAATTTTCAAATCCAGTTTCAGTTCTGTAAAGTAGCTTTGCTCTAACATCTTAAACTAGTCTCAATAGCAGTGTAGGCTCAGATATTCTGATTGTGAAAGCCTAAAGTTTGAATAACCTGTTATAGGTCACCTGGATGTAATTCTACCTGTATACAAAGGTAAAGCGACAACAATACTATTAGAATGCAAAACTTTCTCTTTTTGTTAACCAAAATTGAAGTGTCATAATTCTTGGCAGGCTGATCAGATAAGAAAAATATGGTACAGATAGAAGTGCTATTTGATGTTGCATGGGTCATCTCACGTCTGTGTCCATCGCAGCTGTTCTGAACATATCTGATGTTTTCTTGCTAGCTGTGGCGAGTCCCCTGTTGGGTACGGAGCAGTGTGCCCGCGGTCCCCCCTACTGGTGCCAGAATGTCAAGACTGCTTCTCTTTGTGATGCCGTCCAACACTGCCAACAGAATGTGTGGAACAAGCCTCAGATGGTGCGTTGACCTGATTCTCAGAAGCTCTTTAGTATGCCAGTGCATAATTCATGAGCACTAAGTGTATAAAACCTTCTTCTCGCAGAAAACTGTGCCATGTGATCTGTGCAAAGAGGTGTTGATGGTGGTGGAGCAGCTTTTGAAGGATAATGCCACAGAGGTATGCGAACATGATAACACTGGAGTTGAGTGCTTTTAATCGAGGTCAAAGTCTAAATTCTTGTGTTGAATCTAGAGCGAACTCCTCGGATACATGGAGAAGGCCTGTCAGCTGATCCCTGATGAGGGCCTGGCTGGCCAGTGCAAGGAGCTTGTGGACAACTACTTCCCCATTCTCATGGGCATCATCCAAGGAGAGCTGGTGAGCTGAATACTTTCCTTCCCTTTTAACTGACTAACAATTTCCCTTTTAGTTGATTTGTGATTCATACGTGGTGAGTGTTTAGTAACAGTACTTTCAATACCTCTTTCAAACAAGCTGCCTCTTTATGAGCAGAAGGACAAATGATTCATGCTGTTACAAACCTATTTGCTCAATCAAGCCCACATTTTACTTCGGTTTTTACGGGTAAACGAGGCTCTGCGTACAGTGTGCATGGCTCAAATTTCTTCACCAGAATATTCTGCGTGCTGCCCGATTTTTGTAACCGTGCATACTTTGTACACGCAGGTCACATGCACATTGAATTTGTTTTGCAGTTGTTCCACAAGGTGACAACACCTTCCTGGGACATTGGTTCATGGTAGAAAAATGCAGTTTCCGGTATTTTGTTCCATCTCTTTAGTTTCGCTTTGAGTAGGGTGCACGAATAGTAGAATATTTGATCTGTAATTATTCTAAAAATAAAATACTATTATAACTATAAAACCAAATGGTAACACTTTACTTGAAGGGGTGTGCATAAGACTAACATGACACCTTCATAATCATGACATGACATGTTATGAATATGAAGGAAGTTTTATGCATGTTTGTGACAACTGTCATTAAGTGTCATTCGCTCAATTATGACATTTTTAATGCAAATATGACATTGTTTGAGATGTCTTTATAACACCTTGACATAAACCAATACATCATAACCTGTCAGTGTCTTTGTCATGACAACTTGACATTACTAAGACAACACAACCTGTCATAAACATGACATAGCAGATTAATTATCAAACTTAAGAAACCACTTAGCTTTATTGGTTAATATTACATTAAACTGTCATGTGGTTGGTTTTGACATTGGCTGTCATAAGGCCATTATAACTGTCATGAATATTTTTCGTGACCTCAACTACAGTGGTACAAATTGAATTTGTCATTAAACAGTTATAATGGCCTTATGACAGCCAATGTCAAAACCAACCACATGACAGTTTAACTTAATTTAATGTCAAGTTGTCATGACAAAGACACTGACAGGTTATAATGTTATGGTTTATGTCAAGGTGTCATAACAAAGACATCTCAAACAATGTCATATTTGCATTCAAAATGTCATTACAGAGCGAATGACACTTAATGACAGTTGTCATAAACATGCATAAACCCTACTTCATATTCATGACATATGTCATGTCATGGTTATGGAGGTGTCATGTCAGCCTTATGTACACCCCTTCAAGTAAAGTGTTACCAAACAAATTAACTATGTTATATTGTAGTAATTTTACATTTAATCTCAACATTAATGTAGTAATAACAAAGTCAGTAGCCTATATTTTAAATGTTATGTTTAATGGCTTTTTTTTTAATGATGTAGGGCTTGTTGATATCATTTTAATTTAGGGACCGTTTAAAAGTGTATATATATAGATATAGGTCAACTTGTGACGTCAGAAGTTGCGTAGTGCGTCATGGCGTAGTGTAAAAATCAGCAGTAAGTTGCGCTTTACACTTAAGTGGAATCCGTTTGGCCGGAAGCTAGTTATTTTACTTTATAAAGTTTTTAAAATGTTTTTTTTTTTCCTTACACAAACGCATCGCTTCGCTTCTATCACATGCAAAATCTCTGAGGTAAATGAAATTATTTTGTTATCCACTCCAGATATGCACTTTTCAAAATGATATAATTGTAATATGTAACCCTAACATGACTGTAAGAAAAGTAGCCTTTCTAAAAATATAAAGCTAAACATTAAATGTGCAAAAAAAAGTAAACTACTAGTATTTCCAAGTCGTCGAGCAGCAGTATCTTTTAAGCGACTATTCGAATAGTCTCGCACATGCCGATAATTAAATGGCTGATAATTTCATCCATGGTAGTATCTCATTTGACTATTACATCAGACCTTTGAGTGCACCAATAGAGTAATTCTATTCATAACTACTTCATCAGAATGTTGATTGTGGCTTTTACAAAACCAAATCGAGAAGTTGCTCTAACAATGGAATCATTGTTCTCATTAACTGCAATAAAAGAACTGGGGAAAATTTGAAACCAAACGCATACATTTTCATGACTCCAAATCTAACTAAAGCTTTAGTGTGACTAGACTTTTAAATGGCTAACCATCTTAGCAGCACTAGACCAAAGCAGCCTTTGTGTAATTGTCTCTTCCTTCCTGTTGAGCCTCATCTGTCATTCAAAGCATCAGTCACAATCCTCTTTAAAGAACTGAAGGGGGTCAGTGTATTCAGCTGCAGATCCTATTTGAGTGTTTGTTTTACAATGCTTCTGTTGTCCTTCATCTTGCAGGATGACCCCGGTGTGGTGTGCGCTGCTATGGGCCTGTGTGTGTCCCAGCAGGCAGCTCTGGCTAAAGCTCAACTCATGTCCAACGAGATCCCTCAAGTGGACCTGAACCAGCATGAACTCAACCCCTTCCTGCTCAACATCCCCCAGCTGCTCTACCCCCAAGAGAAAGTCAAGGAGAGCACAACACAGGTGAAGCTGTCACACCTGTGTGTTTTAATGGGGTAAAAAGCCATGGGGGTTCTAAATGTTGACTTTGATGAATATTATGTAGTGTTGCCATGAATTTGTCATCCTGTATGTTCCCTAACTGGCTGTTTTTCTCTTCTGTGTGCAGATGAGTGGAGATGTAGTGTGCAATGACTGCGTTACGTTCCTCACTGACACTCAGGAGGAGGCCAAAGCCAACGCCTCATTTATCAGCGCTCTGATCGCACAAGTGGAGAGCCAGTGTGAGCTTCTGGGACCTGGCATGTCTGACATGGTGAGAACATGAGCATTGAGTTTGTGTGCTCAATGTAAAGCTGCCATGTTTTGTTCTGCATTGCATGTCTGGTACATATCTTGCTATTTTTTTTCATCTTTTTTTTTTTTTTTCAACAGTGCAAAGAGTACATCAGCCAGTACGGCCCACTGGTCTTTCAACAGCTCATGTCTATGGTAAGTCATTTAGCATTTTGCATAAGGTCTTCTCATTTGTGTAGGCATTACAGTAGTTTCATTCTTCCATTCTTCACTACCAAAATGGAACTTGAGTTCCACTCTCGTGACACACCACAGTGAGTTATTAAGGGGTCATATGAGGAATAAAATTAATTTACTTATCACAGTGTTCTATATAATTTCCAGGACTCTTTCTCCCCAGTGAAAGAGCATTTATTGCTAGTTGGATTAGTTTAAAAATTAAACTCTTTTGCAGATCTCTTGCTGGTGCCCACATAAACATTACAGGGTAACACTTTACAATAGGGTTCCATTTGTTAACATTTAGTTAACTATATTAGTTAACCCTTAAAAACTGAGACAGCTGCCCGTGGCTAAAAAAAACTTTTGATAAATGTTTAATAATTTAACCGCTAATCCAATCTGTATGCTTGAAGTCTTGTAAAGAGGAGATTCTCAGTTGGACATTCAGAGGCTCCGTAGTGAACGTGATTGAATCAATGCTGATCAATACTTGATGATGTAATGAAACCCATGTGGTCCGGAGAGAAACCCAACCCGTCCGGAGAGAACTGACATAGCCAAGAGTTCCGTTTCGTATATGTTAATACTTATATAGTTTGTGAAAATCAATTGCACTGTTTGTATTTTTGTTGCACATGACAGTTGTCACAGTTGTTTACACTACTCGCTGCACTATTTGTGTTTGTTCATTTGCAGATTTTTGACACTTTGCTTCGGTGTTCTATTAGAATCATTGTTATATAATAATAATAATTTACTTTCTGACTTTTTTGACACATTTACTTTTACTTTTTGGACATATACATTGTCAGTAAATAAACTAGTTTTTCAGTGAAACGCCTATAATAATGTTGTTATAAATGGCTATAACTTGTTAAGGGATTGTTACATGTAGACAATTTAATCTGGAAATCTAGAATATCCAAGTATAACTTTCTAAAGGCAAAAATCCAATCTTCAGGAGGTTCTGTTTGAGTAGAGTAAAAAAAAGAGCATTTTCTGCCGCTTTTCTTAAATCTAGTAAATCTCCTCTATTCCCAGACAAAATTAATGTAAAATTGGGAATTTAAATAAACTAGATTGAAACTTCAAGTTCTCCTGTTTAAAATGATATATGGCACTGACTGCTATAATTGGTTAGAAAAACAGGCGAGTCGGGTGCCCCAAAAATGTTCTAGGTCTTTAAGGGTTAACATGAACTAACAATGAATACCTCTGAAGCATTGATAATCATAGTTAATGTTAATTTCCTCATTTACGAACACATTAGCAGATACAACTTTTGGTTTAAATCATATTTAATGGACCTAAGCTAACCTGATCTAGTTATTTTTATTAACTAATGGTCACAAAGGTTAATATACTGTAACAAATGTATTGCTCATTGTTCGTAAATGCATTAAACAACATTAACTAATGGAACCTTGTTGTAAAGTGTTACCCATTATCAGCAAAGTGCATGCGACATTCAGAAACTTGGCCGAAATTATGACGATTGTCACGGTATAATGCAGAATTTGCGACTAGGCTGATACTGAGGGGGATAAAAACTGTTGGGATTGTTTAATAGAAACATCCTCTTTGCATTGTAGACTAAAGGCACAAGCAGCAAAAGCATCCTGTTTAAAGGGTCAAAGAGAGGGTGGAAAATGGTCGTGAAAATTAATTCTGACTTCTGCATAAATGAGCTTTTATTAGTGGACCGCAGGGGGAAAACACTATTAAAATATGACCCCTTTAATTTGTAAAGCTTGTTGGACATGAACAAAGCTGCTTATGTTCCCTTTTCCTGTTAAGACACTCAGCTTGTCTGCCAGCTTAATCCACATCTCTAATCACTTGTCTTTTTTCCCCCCATTCTTTACTCCCACCTTCATTTTTTTTTTTTTTCTACTTGTGGTTTTGTTTGCTCTGGTCTTCAGGAGCAGGTAGGTTTCTCTGAGCTGCTAGTCTCATCCTAGCTTGTCTTTTAATCTGTCCTGTGGCTAATCACCTGTGCTGTTTTCTAATCCAAGTGACCATTGCTAATCTGTGTTGTGTAGAATAGCCACTCACACGCTCTTAAAATAGCCCTAACCTTGAGGGTTTGATTGTAGATGTAGTACCAGAGTGATCTTCCATTATCATAACATTTATCACCCATAAAACACTATCTGTGAGTAGGGTTGGGAACTATGTACTGGTTCTTATTCAGTAACTGGTTCTATTTAACAACAACAAAATATGGTTCTATTTAACAACAACAAAATATCATTAATTTCATAAAGGCTCTGTCTTCATTCTTCACCAGAACGATGGAAGCGACACTAAAATGTGCTTAACCATTGGTCGTGCACATCCGCCATGTTTGCAGTTTAACACTTTAATCATGTTTGTAGTTCTGAACTTAATCCTCCTCCACAGCACAATGGGTTGTGGGCAATATTAGAGTATGCACAGATCCACACTTCAAAAAAAAAACCTACCAGAAATAGACCATCTGGGGGCTTTTGGCATACCCTTTTCAACATACTATGCTTTGGGTCACACTTATCTCGCATAGTATTTAGGAAACCTTTTCATTCCGTTAACTCTTTTGAAGAAGTTTAACAAAGTTATTCATTATATAGTTTGAGTTTTTAGTACAAATTAATTGTAAACGACTGATCGTTTTACCATAAATTCTAGGATGGATAGCCTGCACATTTGGACGCAGGGTCAATTTATGTTTGAATTGGTCTTGCATTGACTCCCTCAGTGACCGAATTGGTCTGAACGCATCTTGAATTGGGGCCTGTCCCAATACCCACACTTACAGTATTTACACCTCTCTTTGCATGATGCATTTCTGGTATTTGGCCAGTGTTCAAGTGGGTGTGCAGAACTCTTGATTTATCTGATGGGACACTTATAGTGATCAAGTAAAGTTTTTACAGAGCTATATTTACACATTTTGATTTTCAATACTGTAAATATCTGAACAGTCATTAATGGGTAATGGGCAACAGTTTATTAATTGTGGTGCTTTTAAGTTAACAAATCCATTGCAAACAATTTTAAATGCATACTAATCTCTGCACCAATAAAATGTGCAAAACTTTAGGTTTACTACCAAATTAAATGTAATATCTAATTAAAATTACCCTGCAAAGTTTTCCTCACTCACGATATCGGGTCATGTGAGTTCTTAAACATGATGATGCGCTCAGCAGTGGTATTAGATATAGTGTGGTGTTAAGGGCACAGAGTTGAGTTTTATCAGACATGGGACAGTCTTGTGCACTTACTGGTGTGTGCATGTCATCTCAAGTGGCTAAGACCACAAGTGTGGGTGTTGGGAAAGGCCATTGAAGTAAGTTGCGTTTGTGCCGAATTATTAAAAGAATTGTTAACTCAATCATTAGAGAACTGATTAACCGTTATTCACTTAACCACATGAGTTGGATGAACAAGTTGGTTCATCAGATCACACTTGCGCATATGTAAGCGTGGTAGTCCCCAGGCTGGCAGGGTGACTGATGTGGGAGACTGACTAACTGATTACCCATGATCCTGCTCCACCTCATGCCCACAGAGGTGTGTTCCAATGGATGCTGCATGATGCCATCCTGATGTTGTATACGCATATCAGTCAGTGCATGCCTGAGATTTTGCTCATGTTGACCCAACATGGTGACATGTAACTCAATGAATGTGTCTCTACCATTCCTCCAGCAACCCAAGGATATCTGCGCTCGTGCTGGCTTCTGCCCCATTAAGAAGTCCTCTGTGCGCATGGAGAAGCTGATGCCTGCCAAATCCATCACTGCTGTCAAGACGTTTCCTGCAACCAAACTTGAAATGCCTGTCCTAACCAAGCCTGCTAAGGTACAAAATATAGCTTCTGCATTCTTAACAAGAAAGTAGGAAACATCCCCACATATGTTAGCACTTTTTTCAATTTTGATAATGAAAATGAACTGACAAGTTGTTGGCAATAAATGTGAGCTCTAAATATTCAAATCAAACTCAAGTGGGGAAGCTGTGTAAAACTGCAGGATATTTTCTTGATGCACATGCATTTGTTTTGACAGAATCTGGTGCGAGTGCGTGAGTCCCCTCAGTGTGCCCTCTGTGAGTTTGTGATGAAGGAACTTGAGGGCATGATTGAGGGTCAGACATCTGAGGTATGAAGCCAACATTGACAATCTGTTATTTTACGAGTTTAAAAACCCCATTTCGATGCTACAGCAAATAACGAAGAGTACCAGTAGAATGCATGGAAATAAATGTATGAGTTTCTTTCTTCTGCTGAACACAAAGGGAGATATTTTGAAGAACGATTGGAAACAAACAGTTGTTTGGCACCATTGACTTCCATAGTATTTTTTTTTTTCTACTATGGAAGTCAATGGTGCCAAACAACTGTTTGGTTCCAAAAGTTCTTCAAAATATCTCCCTTTGTGTTCAGCAAAAGAAAGACCCTCAAGTTGTTGCAAACCCGTTTGAGTAAATATGACAGAATTTATTTTTGGGTGGAGTATCCCTTTAAGGGTTGATTAAGCCAGCGAGATAACCTTATCAGGAGGTGGGACTGTTGTAATAAGCTCTTCTCCATTCATTGAAGAGAAAGCAGATTTATTAAAGTGTAATGGCATGCATGCTGGTTTTTGCAGTCAGGCAATTAGCCAACAATCCGTTGCAAAAAAAAGTCCAACAAACTAACAAGTTTGGAGACTAACAAAAACCAGTATGAGTAAATTGTGTTTAAAAATATCTTCAAAACAATTGGAAGATATTTTTAAACACAAACGAAAGCAAATTAAGTGACACCTGGGGCCTGTACCATGAAGCTCTGTTACAGGATTGGTATTGATCCTGAGCTCATGGTTGTCAAATAGAAACCAGAGTTGACAAAGTTGATGACCAGCATCCGTGACAAAGCCTGATTGGGTTGATTTGGTTAACTAAGAAGTGTGTGCACATTGACCTCTTACCCAGAACAAAACCTGCCTCCAAACAGGTTAGCCGTGGAGCACAAGTATGGCGTCGAACACTGGTATAAGACTTCATGGTACAGCCCCCTGGATTTGTCCCTCATTGAAAGTCTACCCAAAACATAATTTTTTTTTCTTTTCTTTTTTTGTGCATCAAGCACAGTTGTGCTTCTGTTCAATATTTAATGTGTGTATGTGTCGACCAATGCTTATGTGAAATAAGACCTAAATTAGTTCGATTCAGATTATGACATTTTTGCAGCTGAAAAGTTTTCTGGAATGGATTTTCAATGGAGGGACATCTCATTGAAGCTGACATTTGTTGTGAATTTTTAGGCACAGATTGTGCAGGCTGTGGAGAAAGTCTGCGATATTTTGCCCTCCTCACTCAAGGCTCAGTGCAAGGACCTTATCGAGACCTACGGGCAGGCCATCATTGAGCTGCTTGTGCAGGAGGTGGATCCCAAAACACTCTGCTCTTTACTCGGGCTCTGCAATGGGGTCAGCCATGTCCGTAAGTGATGCGTTTGTTTTCAGCATAATGTTCCATTTTGTTTCTCTGTTGGATGCACTGTATTTACATTATTGCCTTGCTCTTGCTTCTTGTTCCTGTCTCGCAGCTGTAATGGAAAAGGAACAGTTTGAGGCGGGTGGTTTCTGTGACGTGTGTAAGATGGCAGTGCGTTATGTGGACGGGATCCTGGAGCAGAACGCCACTCAGGCAGAGATTGAGGAGGCCGTGATGAAGGTCTGCAGCTTCCTGCCTGAAGCAGTCAGAGATCAGGTACATCAAACCTTTCATGCTTAATCTTACATCCATACTTCACACTTGCAGTACTTCCAACTGAAGAACAAATGATTCAAATTCAGTCAATTTGTGGGTTCCATTTTAATGGTTTAATTAAATAAAAATCCAAAGCATGTCTAATCATCTGAATTCATGAGACTTTAACAATTTAATATATTAATGTTTACTATAATAGGCCCCTTTGAAATGTTTGTTTTTTTCATAAATTGTCTTTAATTTCTGGATTTATGATTTAATGTAAATGATCAAATCTGATTCTATCCGTGCTTTCCACATCACATAAATCATAGGGCTCTAAACATGCAGTCTAACATCTGATTTGCTAAAGCTTGTACTTGTTAGTGGATTGAATTGAACAGCATTGAGAATCAGCCATTATAGATTAGCGTCTGTTTTAGGCTTGTTGTGGTAGTCGGTGTTACACTGTTTGGCCGTACGCTGATTGCAATACTTGCCCACTGTGGCAACGCCCCAACTGTCATTTTGCTTTTTTATAGAAATTAAAATCCATTTAGTTCATTTAGACAACGGACGCTTCAATTTTAAACTGAAAGCGTCTGCTCAGAGTCACAGCAGGAGTCAGATTTCCCTTATGTTAGAGTAAAGAGAGATGACTGAAAAGGATCTGTCGCGGACCAAATCCTCCGCCATCGTCTGAGCGTCATTATAGGCCTATATACAGAGGATTTGCAAATTCAAAAGTGAAATGTATATACTGGCGTGAAAATATCCCTACGGTGTGTGACCGCTCTCCTCTCTGCAGTGTAACCAGCTCATTGAGCAGTACGAGCCTCTGCTGGTGCAGCTGCTGCTCCAGACACTCGACCCTGACTTTGTCTGCATGGTAAGATTTACACTGCACTCTCATGCTGAAGTCATGTGATCAAATGATGAGCCCAGACTGAGCTGTTGTTGTTGTTGGTGAATCCAGAAGCTGGGAGCATGTCCTGAGGCAGTGCAGAGGCTGCTGGGAATGGAGCAGTGCAGCTGGGGACCAGCATACTGGTGTAAGAATGTGGAGAACGCTGCCCGCTGTAACGTGAGTATTGCCTTTCTGCCTCCAGAAGATGCCCAGTCATGTTTGGAGCATATAATGTTCTTACAAACACCGAAGCTTCATGTACATCACAGCCTGTTGTTGTGTGTGTTGTAGGCCATGGACCACTGCAGGCGTCACGTATGGAACTAAAGGATGAGGAGAATGTTCCAGAGCAATCATGGGAAACTAAAGGAGAATTGCTGTAGCGCTGCTTTTCTGTTTTGAAATCAATACTTGGGTTTTCTTTTAATAAGTGACATTTGAAATCGATCTGTCACATCTAATTTAACAGCCTTGTTTCAGGGGGAAGAAAGCTTTTACTGAAAGGACATGTACACTTTTGAGGGGGCAGGGGTTTGGAGGGAGGTGTAGGTATATGAGAAATACTTGCACTGAAACTGGATTTTTTTTTTTTATTGTTTAAGTTGTACAATCCTCCTTTAAATATGCACATAGCATCTAAGTTGCAAGAGAAGTTTATATGGAAATAGATTGTGCCTTTAATGGAAGAGGTGGTCTGAGACCCCTGAGAATAAAGATGAAATGATTTAGGATGCTCTAATATCCCTGCTTCCCTTTTTAACGGCAAATACGCCTGCAAGGCCAGTGATTTAAACTTACTTTTAATGGGTGACATTTTGGTCCTAATATAAGTTGATTCTCTAACTTTGTCATTTTGTGTCTGTTATTAATGAGCTGATGGTGAAAGTGATGTTGACATTCTTCATTTGATCCACTAATCCCTCACCGATTGATCAGTCACTGCTCCCTAAATGTCAGATTTTATCCTCATGCTTCACACTGTTCAGACTGAGCCTTTGTTTTTAAAAAAAATAAAATAAAACCTCAAACCCCTTCTCTGTTTCTTTGGTTTTAAATGCCTTTTCTTTGAAAGTTAAATAGAATTCAGTTCCTCTGTAGAATTTATAAACATTGTAAAAGCTCCAGTCCGTATCTTTTCCTCTTTGTCGCCATCTCTCTGTTCGAAATCTGTAACTGCAGTGATTCGCGGAATTATCATCTTTACGTGGGTTGTAAATCGGCATGAAACAGCGCGGATGAACACAGTGCTTTGAGGCGAGTGCTGCTGTCAGTCACCGCGCTGTGTGGATATAATGTCATACAGAATCACAGATTCACTTTTTGAAAGTTTGACCAACATAAGAATTTTCATAAGAAAATGTCTTCTGAACAAGTAAGTAAAATCCATTTTTGTTCTGACCAACTAAGGGGGAAAAAGCATTCGACATGATAAGCTTCGTTAGATTTAATCAACGTGATTTACAGCAACCGTGCAAATTATAGCCTACTTTGTTCTCAAATTGTTCATGTTAACATCAGCATTGCGTGACTAATGTTAAATTTAATGTGTTTTATGGTTACCTGTGTAGTTCAGAATTCATATTCTCCATAATATAGCAAAACGAGAAAGGCACAACAAAGGAAACTCCATAACTGTGTGAATTAAGAAAACGTTACTGTTACACGATTGAACTATTGAAATGTCTTACTTGTTCAGCAGAAAAAAGCCGTCTCTTCTTCCGTTTTGAACCCCTTCAAAACACGGAGTTCACGCACTTTTCAAAAGCCCCGCCGATGTTTAAATCCTTGTGTTCGCATGAGACGGTTTCTTTCTCTAGCCACCTTAAATCCGAAGTACGAAGTCTTTTGGGTTTTATAACTGCTGAATCTCCAGTTGACACTAATGATTGTTGTTTGGATCTTTCTGGATGCCATAAGTTTAATCATGTAAAGTGCTGCGAGAAAAGCCTATACATCTAAACATCTCGTCACGCGCAGTATAGCCGGCTAGCCGAAACTCCTTCTTTATGTGTACGGGTGTGACGTCATGACGCAAAGACATGCTCGAATTTCCCGCGGAAACCCACCAGTACCACTGGAATTAAAATCATTATTACAAGCTAACCGTTTTGAATCTAGCTATGGCAAGCAGATAGTTTTGACCACTGGCAGAATAAGTTTTTTTTTTATATAATTATTTTGGATTATTTTTAACTTAAAGTTACGGACTGGAGCTTTAATGTAATAACTTGATCTTCCAATGAAAGCATGACTTTTCCAATTTAGTCTGCTTAAACCCAGCTATTTCTTAAGTTGTGGTCATTTACTGTTGATCTGACAAAATTGCTAAAGTTAAATTTCAGTGTTATAAGTTAAATTTCAGTGTTAAAGTTGGTCACACAAATTCACCACGATGAGAAAACCCCAGAAAGCTACTTGTTTTGAGTGTCTGTGTAAGCAGTGCTTCAAGAATTGATACAACACTGACAATAGACCTTTTTATTTTGTCTCTGATTTCTGGTCGAAAGTTTTGTTAATGTGATCACACCTCAAAAGCAAATTTACATTCAGACCTGCCTTTTGAGTGCAACGTCCACATCTCCACCGATGGATAAACTAAGGCTGCGTTTAATGGGCTCTATGCACGGCGGTATTTCCGGTGAAGGTCTAAGGAAGCTGGATTACTTCCGCCGATCGTAGAGTCCAATACTATACCGAGAATTTATATTGGTTTTTATACTCTATTGCTATACTAAAGAAACGTTAGTCACAAAAACAGACAAAACAGACACCCTCATTTTGTTTATGCTTCTGTGTTTATTATATTAAATAAACATAACTATATATAAAATTACATCTAAACGTATTAAAGTTTCGTTTCAAAGACGAGAGGACAGTAAATTTTGAAGACTCTGCCATAATCCCGTTTTCCTCGGTTTTCCTCCGCTTTAAATCTCCCCAACCGGAAACGCAAGAGCATCCTTGCGTCAAACGCGGAAGTTATGCGTGCATATAGCCCATTTCCTCACAAACTTCCATCTCGTTAACTCGGATGTACATCATTGCACGAGTGCCCACTACTGGCTGAACCCAGCAATGTGTTTAAATGGATTGCACTGTACCCTTGATCACCTGGAGTTGGAGCTGATTTATATAATGTTCTTTATAAATTTGTTTAGGCAACCTTCTACAGGCCTGTTTGTATGCTTGGGCTGTTCAATTTAAATATAAAAAAATGCACAAAGGAAAACAAAACAATGAACTAAGAAAACTCAGCTTAAGGTAGCTACAATTATTAATGTGGTTAAGTGTAAAAATAACTAGTTGTGGGGGTAAATTATGGGCAATATGCTATGCTGTGACGTTGCATTGTGGTCTATGGATCTGCCTGAAGTGTACATATCAAGTAGACTTGATCCCTCGGTCAAAATCGAGGGGTCGAGGGTCTGTCAAAATAAACTTCTCTGAATGCACTTCAAAATGGCGGTGGGATTCTCCCGAGGGGAAGTGCTTAGTGAATGTATTTCTAAAAGTGGAGTTAAAAAAGCAGCCTAAGTCCCTGTCTTACTACTATTATTATGTTTTTCCCTCTAAGCCATTTTGCTTAGTTATATGTTTGGAAGAAATAATATGATGTTACTTGCATTTCATTGTGAAGAAAAAAAAAACTAATTAACTTAGCGTCTGTAAAAGCAATAACTCAACCCAACATTCTTGAAATCACATCAGGTTCCCCCTTCACTTTCAATATTTTGCATTGTTTCTAACCAAATCATGTTGGGGCAAAAGTGTATCTAAGGTTTTTACTAATAGTTTTAGTAATTAATAAACCTTGCCAATAGATGCAGCATGTTTCAAAAAGATGAAAACGATACAATTTGGCTTTAAATAATTTACCAAACAAATAAAAGCACATGTAAGGCGTAAAATCGTAATATCCTTTTTCAGGTTCACAGCATCTGTATTCAGTTCGCAACAAATTAAAAATGTACAAATATTCATATAATTTTATACTTCATGCCACGGGTAGTTTCAGAGGTAGAAGATACGAGGTAGTGAGTTAAGTGGACACTGTGTAAGGCTGACATTTCAGTCTTTATGGTTGACAAGCTGAAAAGTATAATTTCCTGATTACAGGGTTCAGAATAAAAAAACACACACAACCAGTGTCATTCCATCACTTCCAGCGATTGATCCGACGCAGCTGCACGTACGCCAGAATCAGACACGTGCTCATAATGCCTGTCAGAGCTACCTGGTTCTGCCAAAAACCCCAAGCGCTGTGGTCGATCTCTTGATGATCCAGGTACATGTCTCCTGTCATCCTGCCGGTCAGAGAAAGAGAGAGAGAGAGTTTCTTAGGTTTGCGTCTAAACACTGGCACTGACCTCTTGTGGCCACTTCGGCTCAACAGATTTGATTGTTCTGCTTATTTCCAGTAGGTGGCGCTGTCGAGCGTGAGCGAGTCCTACCTGGTGTAGTCACTGGTGAAGACTTGATCTTTTAGTTCATTGATGGCAAGTGCCTGAAGAGAGACAGTTTGAGTGAGTTACTGCTGAACTGCAAATTTATATACAGCCTCAAATGTGTTGTAAAATGTTTTATGGTCTTACATTGTAGCCATATCGGAAAATACTGGCCCATTTCAGCCAGGACATCCAGCTCAGCATCGAATTCAGGTTCACCAGGAAACCCCCAAACACCTGAGAAAGCAGGACAGGAAAATCAGAGCTATGACCCCAAAACATTCTGTGCATGAATCCCATGAGGGTTAGACTCTAGACATGACCTTCAGCTCAAAAATTGACATTTACTTCCTATATCTGGAATCTAAGAGCATTTTCACACCTGGCTCGTTTGAAGACTTTAATTTGGAAACTGGCACATTTTCTCTGATAGTTTGTTTCATAGGCATATTGACACAATAGTGCAACAAAATAATCAGATAATGACACCGTAAACCAAATTTGTTTTGATTTAAATAGGCAAATGCTTAAGAGTCTATGATTGGATCATTATTGCCATGATTATTATGTTTCTAGCATGTTATATGTTTGGCAGCAGTTCTTCTAACCATAAATGATGGAGTGTGTAGCTTTTCATTTCTTAAAGAGGCTATGTGTAGGTTTTTACTTAAAAAAATCTTTAAGATAGAGTCTTAATTTGTACATTTATGAGCCAACCATAATGTAATAGAAAGAATGACACCTTGACTGTCCACCACGGTTGCCTCTATCAGCCTGTAGGCTCAATTGTGTGTGGAAGAGTCGGGTCCGAATTGGCATGAAAATTCACAAAATGTGACGTCATGCGCGTTCTTGTCTACTTGGGCTTACATCCGTACGGCAGCCATTAGTAAGCAGCGGCAATCGCTAGCAGTAGTGTTTCAAATGGACTCTGCGGACGGAAAGAAGTGACCAGCCTCCAGCACAATCCAGATACCCACGGAAACTCTTCGTAAGTTTTAAAAAAAATAAGCCTTATCTAGTGCGGCCAACGAGCGTGCGAGCGTCCGCACCGAGAACGAGCATGAGACTGGCTGCAGTTTCTCTAACGGCCACTCTCAGTAACGGTAAGAAATTTCAGAACTTCCGCAATGCTCCTTTAAACATGTACGAAGACACATCATGGCTATATTCCAGAATGACAATGTCCATATTCATCAGGCTCAAATTGTGAAAGAATGGTTGTGAGGAGCATGAAGAATCATTTTTACACATGAATTGTCTCCTCTGAGTCCAGACCTTAAATTTATTGAAAGTCTTCGGGATGTGCTGGAGGAGGCTTTACAGAGGCTGGACTCTTGCATTGTCAATACAAGATCTTGACCCAAAAATGTATGCACCTCTTAAATAGAAAAAAACCATCACAACATGTACACTCACCTAAAGGATTATTAGGAACACCATACTAATACTGTGTTTGACCCCCTTTCGCCTTCAGAACTGCCTTAATTCTACGTGGCATTGATTCAACAAGGTGCTGAAAGCATTCTTTAGAAATGTTGGCCCATAGTGATAGGATAGCATCTTGCAGTTGATGGAGATTTGTGGGATGCACATCCAGGGCACAAAGCTCCCGTTCCACCACATCCCAAAGATGCTCTATTGGGTTGAGATCTGGTGACTGTGGGGGCCATTTTAGTACAGTGAACTCATTGTCATGTTCAAGAAACCAATTTGAAATGATTTGAGCTTTGTGAAATGGTGCATTATCCTGCTTGGAAGTAGCCATCAGAGGATGGGGACATGGTGGCCATAAAGGGATGGACATGGTCAGAAACAATGCTCAGGTAGGCCGTGGCATTTAAACGATGCCCAATTGGCACTAAGGGGCCTAAAGTGTGCCAAGAAAACATCCCCCACACCATTACACCACCACCACCAGCCTGCACAGTGGTAACAAGGCATGATGGATCCATGTTCTCATTCTGTTTACGCCAAATTCTGACTCTGCCATCTGAATGTCTCAACAGAAATCGAGACTCATCAGACCAGGCAACATTTTTCCAGTCTTCAACTGTCCAATTTTGGTGAGCTCTTGCAAATTGTAGCCTCTTTTTCCGATTTGTAGTGGAGATGAGTGGTACCCGGTGGGGTCTTCTGCTGTTGTAGCCCATCCGCCTCAAGGTTGTGCGTGTTGTGGCTTCACAAATGCTTTGCTGCATACCTCGGTTGTAACGAGTGGTTATTTCAGTCAAAGTTGCTCTTCTATCAGCTTGAATCAGTCGGCCCATTCTCCTCTGACCTCTAGCATCAACAAGGCATTTTCACCCACAGGACTGCCGCATACTGGATGTTTTTCCCTTTTCACACCATTCTTTGTAAACCCTAGAAATGGTTGTGCGTGAAAATCCCAGTAACTGAGCAGATTGTGAAATACTCAGACCGGCCCGTCTGGCACCAACAACCATGCCATGCTCAAAATTGCTTAAATCACCTTTCTTTCCCATTCTGACATTCAGTTTGGAGTTCAGGAGATTGTCTCGACCAGGACCACACCCCTAAATGTATTGAAGCAACTGCCATGTGATTGGTTGATTAGATAATTGCATTAATGAGAAATTGAAGAGGAGTTCCTAATAATCCTTAAGGTGAGTGTATATCCCTCAAGAAGTGCATACATTTTTGGTCAAGATCTTGTATATATTTACACTTTGAAATGTTAAAAAGCTAACTAAACCAATGAGAAAGTGCAACATTGTAAGTCTCTGTTTTGTAACATAGGCAAAATCTAAAGTTCTGAAAACACTCTATAAGGAGCCATTCACCCAGAACACATTTTTGCAATTAAAAACGTGAGACGCAGGTTACAGGAACTAAAAAACGAGTGCAACGGTTGATCATGTCCAGTCTAAATTAGTGCTGTATAATGGAAAATTATGGAAAATCATGCTCTGTGTGAACCTGCCCCTAAGTAAATATATTCTGTTCCACCAAACTCACCATCATAAAGACATATGGTAGTGCGATGAGGATGTTAGCCATGGCGAAGGAGCCCACGCTGGCACTGACCAAGAAGGCCAAGCTCACCGCTGACAGACTGACCATGCTCATGGTCAAACAGTACAGGAAGAACGCCTCCACGTCAGGCTTCAGACCTGAGCTCATAAAAAAGGGCCGTTTATGTTCATACGTGTTATTTTAGGAGATGCTATTGCTAATCATTTGTGACACAATGGGATTGCCTTCTTGGAAAAGGATACATGTGACATTTGGCCAGAGAAGGTATCATAGAAGGCAGTGCCACTACTTACCCATCATGAAGTACGGGATGGCAGAAAAGATGAAGACGGGGAGGATGCGGTTTGGAAAGAGGTCAGCAAACACTTTAGACAGGAAGTAGACAGAGGTGCGGTAGAAACCACTCGAGTTCTCATGGCTGAAGACGAGAGGAACATGTGTTGATGGTCTTCATCTAACAGGTTGGAAAGCTCATGTTTAGAGGTTGACTCACATGAAGAGCACTCTCTCGCTGATGAAGAGCTCCACCGCAGACAGGTTGCCAAACACCATGTTGATGACCAGAAAAAAGAAAGCTCCCGTTCTGAAGAGAGAAAAATGAAAAACATTTGTCAATATGTACATATTTTCTAAATAACCTCTGCAATTCGCTCTGCCATGCTGGAAATCAGCTTCTGGGCCAAATCCTAAATGATTGTGAACCATTCTTGCCTTATTTAGTGCTCAGAGTTGATCACAATTTGTGGACTTGTCCACTCACCGTTTGAGGATTGACCACAGGTTCTCTATGGGTTCTCTAAGATCCAGGGAGTTGCCTGGCCATGAATTTAAAATTTGGATACAATGATCTCCGAGCCACTTCATGATCATGATTCACCTTGTGACATGATGTTACATGTGAGGCTTTTGATGCAAAGCAATGATGGCTGCAAGTCTTTCTTTGAAAGTCACCATTGCTAACACAAGCTATATACATTCACCTAAAGGATTATTAGGAACACCATACTAATACTGTGTTTGACCCCCTTTCACTTTCAGAACTGTCTTAATTCTACGTGGCATTGATTCAACAAGGTGCTGAAAGCATTCTTTAGAAATGTTGGCCCATATTGATAGGATAGCATCTTGCAGTTGATGGAGATTTGTGGGATGCACATAAAGGGCACGAAGCTCCCGTTCCACCACATCCCAGAGATGCTCTATTGGGTTGAGATCTGGTGACTGTGGGGGCCATTTTAGTACAGTAATCTCATTGTCATGTTCAAGAAACCAATTTGAAATGATTTGAGCTTTGTGACATGGTGCATTATCCTGCTGTAAGTAGCCATCAGAGGATGGGTACATGGTGGCCATAAAGGGATGGACATGGTCAGAAACAATGCTCAGGTAGGCCGTGGCATTTAAACGATGCCCAATTGGCACTAAGGGGCCTAAAGTGTGCCAAGAAAACATCCCCCACACCATTACACCACCACCACCAGCCTGCACAGTGGTAACAAGGCATGATGGATCCATGTTCTCATTCTGTTTACGCCAAATTCTGACTCTACCATCTGAATGTCTCAACAGAAATCGAGACTCATCAGACCAGGCAACATTTTTCCAGTCTTCAACTGTCCAATTTTGGTGAGCTCTTGCAAATTGTAGCCTCTTTTTCCTATTTGTAGTGGAAATGAGTGGTACCCGGTGGGGTCTTCTGCTGTTGTAGCCCATCCGCCTCAAGGTTGTGCGTGTTGTGGCTTCACAAATGCTTTGCTGCATACCTCGGTTGTAACGAGTGGATATTTCAGTCAAAGTTGCTCTTCTATCAGCTTGAATCAGTCGGCCCATTCTCCTCTGACCTCTAGCATCAACAAGGCATTTTCGCCCACAGGACTGCCGCATACTGGATGTTTTTCCCTTTTCACACCATTCTTTGTAAACCCTAGAAATGGTTGTGCGTGAAAATCCCAGTAACTGAGCAGATTGTGAAATACTCAGACCGGCCCGTCTGGCACCAACAACCATGCCACGCTCAAAATTGCTTAAATCACCTTTCTTTCCCATTCTGACATTCAGTTTGGAGTTCAGGAGATTGTCTTGACCAGGACCACACCCCTAAATGCATTGAAGCAACTGCCATGTGATTGGTTAATAAGATAATTGCATTAATGAGAAATTGAACAGGTGTTCCTAATAATCCTTTAGGTGAGTGTATATTCATAATTCACGTACCATGAATGCAAATTTTAAAAATGGTGGCAAAAAGTTAAGTTAGAACCTAGTGAACACTAATTTTGAGCCTTTGGTCTGGTAGCAGGTACTCACCTGTTCTGAAGAGCCTCTGGTAAAGTGTGTGGGATCTGGTAGTATATCAGTCCCACTAAAATACCAAAGAAAATGTTGAGGAACAGTTGAGCGTAGGACGTCTGAGGATTCCTCAAGATGTTTCTTACAGTGCGGCCACTCACTAAAAGGAGCTGCAACATATTAGACATATGCTCATTACAAATGTACAGAGTTCAAGTCACCTTTAATTTTATAGTGTCTTGTACTAGGGATGCACCGATATGAACATTTTGATCAATGCGATCATTCTTTATATTTGAAAGCCAATAACCGATATATTGGCCGATAAATCTAATTCCAAATTTGTATCAATTTTGAAGGCCTGATTACAAAAACGAAAATCTCACTATTAAAAGCCGTGTCCCAAGTACACAATTATAATGTGCTCATTATATTTTTATGTAGCCTATATGACAGACTTGCGCTGCACGTTGCACTAAACTCTATTTTACTTTTTCAATCATATTCAAGCAATTCAAAACCCATCATGGCGAACAGTGCGCATCTGAAGTGTTTCAGTTGAAGGAAATAATCCATTATTTATCGGCTTAAATATATCTGCCAAATTTCCTTATCGGGCCGATAACGATAACATTAAAAAGATCATATATCGGCTGATACCGATATGGTGGCCGATATATCGTGCATCCCTATTTTATACAATACATATTGTTTCAAAGCAGCTTTGCAGTGATAAACAGGAAAATAATGATTCAATGATGCAAACAGACTTCAATTCTGCTCTAAAGAAACTCTAAAAAGAAAATAGTAAACTGTCATTATTCAGTTGAAATCAGTGCAGTGTTGATTCAGTTTAGTTCAATAACTGTGTAAAGTTCATCAATTATGGAAGGTCATCTATTGATGTCATTCTTGGTTATATACCTACCTGATGAGTCAACATAGGTCAAGCTAACCCGTTGCTTCTACGTACCTGGTAATAGAAAGGTGTGGCGTAACCGACCCGGTCACCTTTAGTGACCTCAGGGTCAAGCCCATCTGAAATCTGACTGAGTTGTTCTTTCACTTTGATGAAATGAGTGGACTGTCTGTAAATTACTGCCAGAGGGTTCTCGTTTTCCACAGTCTCCTCACTGCTGCTGCACTTTTCTATAAACACCCCAAACACAGATGGTTAGCTGATCACATATAGTCCAGAAATGTAAAAAAAATACTATTTTAGAGTTACCACGACTAAAACCTTAGAAATGTCCATGTGAAGTACCAAGAATTACAACCATTAGTGGCCAAACGTATTGGGGATATTTGTTTTTAATGACCATACAAATTCAAATAAACCATCAAAATATGAGGAAAACATTTTATATTTATTAAATATTTTAAATAATAGGGAACACACAAAACACTAAACTTGGTTTAGGTATTTATCTGACAAAATTATTCGACAAAAAAGGCAAAAACTACAGCTACAGGTTTTATTTTACTATGCAAAAAAAGAATGCAAAAACCCCCCAAAAAGCTCACAGGAAAAAGCATACATTTTGGCTACGTTTACATGCAACCAAATAATCTGTTAGTAATCGGATTGACGGCTCAATCGGACTGAAAAACGCCTTCATGTAAACACCTTAATCGATCTGATTTAGCTCGATCCGAATTGAATTTGGATCGAATTGAAAGGGGTGGTTTATTCCTTTTCTAATCTGATCGAGAGGACATGTAAACACTCGATCAGACTGAAAACCGAAACAGAAAGGACTGCGCATGTGTAATGACGTTGAAATAGCGTAATAATGTATGACGTGCGGAATGAGCTGTTTCTCCTGTTGAATAAACTGTCATATAAATGAGTGTCCCATTATTCTAAAATTCTCCTTTCACTCAGTGTCTGTGAAGAGGAGCAGGACAACGTCCCACCAGTCCTGGTTTAGGATTCTCATCCATAGACGACTGGTTTTGGGCATTTTTACTGCGTGATAAATATAAGCAGCACGGCACAACAGTTCATATGCTCATTGTCTCCAAATTATGACCAGAAATGGATAAATATTAAGTTTTTGAAAAGTATTTTATGCTCACTATTTGATAAAAATACAGTAAAAACATTAATATCATGAAATATCATTTAAATTAAATGTGTATATATATATATATTTTTTTTTAAAGTAATTTATTCCTATGAATTTTCAGCATCATTACTCCAGTCTTCAGTGTCACGTGATAATTCACAAATCATTCTAATATACTGATTTGGTGTTCAAGAAACATTTCTTATTATTATCTGCATAAAAAGTATAAAATAACAGCATTTATCTATATTTATATATTATTTATATTATTATAAGCATCTTTACTGTCAGATTGGATCAATTTAATCTGTCCAATCCTTGCTGAATAATTTCTTTTTTTTAAACCACAACAGCACCTGATTTATTGTTGTGAATTTGAGGAAGGACAGTTCCATTTATGACATCCAGGAAGAAGTCTGCCGGGTTGTTGAATGGCTCACACTTGTAGCCTACGACACAGCGACACAAGTTTGAGAATCATAGTACACATGCAATGATGTAATTAGCGAATCACAGCTTATTTGCTTTTGAATTTTTGGATTATCATCAGTATGTCAGTACCCAAGTCCTCAAAGTAAGTAATGGCTTTGTCGGCGGCCCCTGCGTAGATGATTTCTCCTTTATTCATGAGGGTGAGGTGGTCAAACTGGCTGAAGATGGAGTAGCGTGGCTGGTGAATGGAGAAGATGACGGTCTTACCCTTTTTGGAGATCCTGAGTAACACAACAACAAGTGTAAAACCAGTGTAAAAACTAGTTCAAGTAAATGATCAAAACATCAATCAATCTCTAACTTGCCCATGATCAAAACTGACAAAAAAACACCTTGTATGTGCCTGTGCTTTGACTTTGAGTGGAATGTGGTTTCTCCTGACAGCTACACAGTACAACAACCCTGAAGGTGAAAACACGGTACATGTTTTGCAACTTTCCGGAAGTTTCAACAAAACTTAAAATCATCTGAGACAGGCTGGCATTTACCACACATCATTATTTTGACTTGTCCCTCAATTTGAAGCACAGTAATACGTGTAAATTATGCATTTTGAATGGATGTCCATGGGAAGAATTCACCAGAATGGTATCAAAGCAGAAATATGAAGCTTGTACTTTCTTTTAAAGCACTTAAAGGGTTAGTTCACCCAAAAATGAAAATTATGTAATTATTGACTCACCCTCATGTCGTTCCAAGCCCGTATAACCTCCATTCATCTTCGGAACACAGTTTAAGATATTTTAGATTTAGTCCGAGAGCTTTCTGTCCCTCCATTGAAAATGTATGTACGGTACACTGTCCTTGTCCAGAAAGGAAATACAAACATCATCAAAGTAGTCCATGTGACATCAGTGGGTTAGTTAGAGTGTTTTGAAGCATCGAAAATACATTTTGGTCCAAAATGTATAACAAAAACTACGACTTTATTCAACATTGTATTGTCTTCCGGTTCTGTTGTGGATCCGCGTTCAGTGCCGCTGCTGACGTAAGACGCTGCTGACGTGTCTCTGGTGCGTCCGTGTATTCGGGTTCAAATAAATATGGCTGGGCAAAGAAATGCAAGTCTTCCTCTGTGTCGAAATCCTTAGACATGCTTGCGAAGATTGTTTTGTTTACAGCGTGCGTCTCCCTCAGACTGTGAACGAAGCTCGGGCACACCAGACACACGTCAGCGGCGGCACTGAACGCGGATCCACAACAGAACCGGAAGACAATACAATGTTGAATAAAGTCGTAGTTTTTGTTATTTTTGGACCAAAATGTATTTTCGATGCTTCAAAACATTCTAACTAACCCACTGATGTCACATGGACTACTTTGATGATGTCTTTATTTCCTTTCTGGACAAGGACAGTATACCATACATACATTTTCAATGGAGGGACAGAAAGCTCTCGGACTAAATCTAAAATATCTTAAACTGTGTTCCGAAGATGAACGGAGGTTTTACGGGCTTGGAACGACATGAGGGTGAGTCATTTTTTGTGATTTTCTTTTAAATGGCTCAATTGTAGTGAACCTAGAACACTGTGTTTACAGCAGAAGAAGTAGGTATATTTGATAAGAGCGTGTGGTACTTCTGTAGTAGTTCCATGATGGAGTTGGCAGTGTTGGCGTCCAGGCCTGTGGTGGGCTCATCCAGGTACAGGAGAGAGGGGGAGGTGATGAGCTCCATACCGATGCTGCACCTCTTCTTCTCTCCACCAGAAACACCCCGCAAAAACATCGTCCCAATCTGAAACAAGGACACATACCTACTGTCACACAGTATATTCTGACATAGCGCCCAATCGTATTGTTAGAAATTGTTTGTGTGTGACTGAAGCACATGTGACCTTGACCAAGTTCTTTCAAACACTCAGTCTGAAGAAGAGAGGATGTTTTGTTCATACCAACACAACAAATCATTTTCAACATTCCTCTTCACGAGGCTGAAGTCCATTACCTTAGTGTCTGCGCAGTCTTTCAGGCCGAGCTCCTGGATGACGGAATCGACCCTCTTCTCTTTGTCGGATGAGGAATACTCATTTCGTGACAAACGAAGATTGGCAGAGAAGGCCAAGTTTTCTCTTACGGTCAGAGTACCCATCAGAATGTCATTCTGAAAGACAAACAAAAGGAAATGTATGATTTCATCATTTTTTCTACCAATTATCCAGCAATTCTTATACAAATCATACTGTAAAACAAAAACATTATATACACTACCGTTCAAAAGTTGTTTTTTTTAAAATAAATAAATACTTTTATTCAGCAAGGACACATTCAATTTATCAAAACTGAAAGACATTTATATTGTCACAAAAGATTTCTTTGTTAAAATGCTGTTCTTTTAAACATTCTATTCATCAAAGAATACTGTAAAAATGCATCACAGTTTCCACAAAAATATTAAGCAGCACAAATGTTTTCAAAATGGATAACTTATAGAAATACAGGCTGATGGTCGACCTGCTGGGCATTGCTGCCTGACACACCTCCACCGGTGCCTTTTGTGCAGGTGTGCTCCACCTCTTTGGGCTTAAACGGGTCATCAGCTGGGGACCACCAGTCATGGATGTTTCGCTCCTTTAACCCCAGATCACTCCCTGCCACCCCCTGCTGATACCCTAGATGTTACTTGGCCCCCATCCCCTATGCTTCCTCCTTAGCCACAGCCAAAAGCTGCCCCTCTCTGCCTCCTCTGCCAGTTCTTTAATGGCTTTTCGACACCCTGCTCCTGTACATCCCATTTCGCGGAGCAGGCGAACCGTTGAGGACCCAACGAAGCCCCTGCATCCCACTTCGACGGGAAACATAGTGGCTTTTCAGCCAGCCTCTCTGCAGTCTTCTATCAAGTCTGCATACTTGACACGCTTCCGCTCGTTGGCAGCTTCCATTCCCTCCTCCCATGGGACAGTAAGCTCCACCAACAAGATGGTCTTGCATGGCTCTGACCACATGATCAGGTCTGGCCGGAGCAAAGTTTCTACGATCTCCCTGGGGAATTGGAGCTGCTTCCCCAGGTCGACCCTCATATTCCACTCACTGCCAGATAAGAGGACTCTAGATGTTGCTCTCTGGTGAGGGTGGTTGATTTTTTCTCCGGCCCTTGCAAACAGGATGGGACTTTTCGTTGGCACAGAAGGTATTACTATTAGCCTCCTGTCTACATGATTTTACCACCTCTGCTAGCTTCCTCAACACCAGATCGTGTCGCCACCTATAGCGGCCTTGGGACATTGCTGTCTTGCAGCCCGACAGGATGTGCTGGAGGCTTGCATTGCTGGTACTGCAAAGGGGGCAATGTTCTTCGGTGCCAAACCACTGGTGGAGGTTTCTGGGACAAGGTAGGGTGTCATAGGTGGATCTAATCAGGAAGCTGAGCCTGGCTTGGGGGATCTTCCACAGATCAGACCATGACAAATGCTTGTATCCCAGGCCAATGGATCGCAGTGGCAGCTGTATTGTGTTCCTGCTGAAGAGGCCTACCTCTGATAGGCATCTTGGTAGACCCAGCCACTTCCTGATGAATGAGTTTGCTAGCCCATCCATCTTGTTTGCCACTGAGGAGGGAACTTCGCTCAACTTCAGAGGCCACTTCACCCTTGGGTACAGTATGAACTGGTAGCTCCATACTTTATACTTGCCGGGGAGCTGGCTGTGATTGATCCTGGCGAGGCCATCTGCGAGCTGCTTCCTCACTGTTTTTTCCCCCATCTGCCTATCAGAGAGGTCTACTGTGTAAGTGCGACCCAGGCTACGGACGGGCTGAGTTACCAGCAAAGGGATTTCTTCACCGCCTGCGACAAAGATGGTATGGTCGCTTCTAACCCCTTTCCTGAGGGACAGGCTGCGTGATTTGGCGAGTTTGATCTTCATTCTCGCCCACCCCACAAGCTCGTCAATCCTCTTCAGCAGTCTTGTTGTACATGCTGCTGTCTGGAGAATGGTGGTAATGTTGTCCATATAGCCTCTCACTGGTGGTAGCCTTTGGCCTGATGGTAGCTTCATACCTCCAACCATCACCCATGCCCCCATCAGGATAACCTCGAAGGCTGCTACAAACAGGATGGGAGAGATCGAGCATCCCATGGCAATGCCCACTTCCAGCTGTTGCCAGCCTGTTGTGAAGTCCTGATGGGTGCAACACATCTTGATGTCCTCAAAGTACTTGGTCAACAGGGCACGAATGCAGACAGGGATGTAGAAAAAGTCCAAGGCATACTCGATGAGTTGGTGGGGGACGGACCCGTATGGGTTGGCAAGATCCAGCCACACCACATGAAGGTCACCTCTCTCTCTTTTTGCTCTCTGGATCTGCTCCCATAGGACTGCAGAGTGTTCCACGCACCCTGGGAAGCCTGGCACGCCTGCCTTCTGGCAGCTAGTGTCGATGTACCCATTGCTTATGAGGTAGGTGGACAACCTCTTGGCCAGGATGGAGAAGAAAATCTTGCCTTCAACATTCAGGAGTGCAATGCTCCTGAACTGGCTAATGGTGGTAGAGTTCGTTTCCTTCGGGATGAACACTGTAACCGCTCGTCGCCACTCTGAAGGGATGACCTTGTTCTTCCAGGCCACTCTCAGGAGCTTCCACAGGTGTCTCTGGACCCCTGGGCAGTACTTGTACAGCTTATAAGATATCCCGTTGAGGCTTGGAGCTGAGGCTGCTCTCGCTTTCCGTACAACTTCTGCTACCTCACTGAGTTTGGGGAGATCGGTGTTAAACAGGAAGGATGGGGGGGGGCTGGACGAGGAACATAACCTGGTGATCCCAGCGGCGTTGACCTCGCTGCGTCACTGTACTGCTCCCTGATGAAACTTTCCAGCTGTGATTGTGTGATCTCCAGCTTCCTGTTTCTCTTATCCTCCAGTAGTTGTCTCGCATGCTTGAAGGGGTTTTTGAAGAAGTTGCTCCTCTCCTTCCGCCTTCTGCATTTTGCGGATGCGCTCTGCCGTCCGAAGGCTGGCTAGGTTCTTCTTCACCTCCTCCCACAGTGGCTTCAGGCCCTCCTTCTCCTCTTTACTTGCCTTCCTCCACTGCTTTAGGAGCTGGCGCCACCTCTTCACCAGTTTCTCGATCTCTCTCTCCCTCCTCCCCTTCTGCTTTGAACCCTTCTGCTTCTCAGCCACTACTCCGAACCTGCTTCTGCACTCCTCGTACAGGATGTCTCCAATGCGATTCAGCTTGGATTCCACCTTGCCACGCAGTGATTGCTCCAGAATGAAGCTAAGGTCCTTATCGAGCTGCTGCCACACTGCCACCTCATTTGCTTTCGGCCAATTAAATTGATAATAATAATAATAATCATAATAAATGTTTCTTGAGCAGCAAATCAGCATATTAGAATGATTTCTGAAGGATCATGTGACACTGAAGACTGAAAATTCAGCTTTAGGAGGAGTCAAATATACATTACAGAATTAAAAGAAAAATTGGATGCACTTAGTCCAGCTGACTTCCTACAAATTTCACAATAAATTCGTAACATTTACAGAACCTGAATTATTCACAACAAAATAAAAATAAATAAATAACGTTGAGAACAAACAAAAGAATATATGTATAATTGTGCATGTATAATGAAAATAAAAATAATAGGGTACAGTACAGTCAAGTGGAAACTTTACATAATTACAGTGTTTAATTTACAACAATATGAATCTATGATTATATAATTATTATATTATATAATTACTATTTCTCAATTTTCCAAAAATTCCTTCCATCTTTTCGACTACAGATCCCCTTTTTGCTTTTTTAATTCTGAAGAAAAGGTAAGGAATTCCATCTTATATATACAATTGCTTTCCAGTCCTCTATAGTGTGTGAAGTAGGTTGAAGCCATTTACGAGTAAGAGCCTTTTTAGCTGCAAGTGAGATGAGTGAGATTTGCGTGTTTTGTTATTGCTTGAGTATCTTCTGAATGGCGGCGGGGAGCAGCAGCTCATTTGCATTTAAAGGGACACATACAAAAACGGCGTGTTTTTACTAACACGCAAAAAGGGGCAAATTTGACAAGCTATAATAAATGATCTGGGCTGGGGGTATTTCGAGCTGAAATTTCAGGCACATTCTGGGGACACCATAGATTTATATTACATCTTGTGAAAAGGGACATAATATGTCACCTTTAAAATATTTAGAAAGCCAGAGAGTTTTGTCTCCTCACCTGAACTACATATGCAGAGCAGAGCCTGAGGTCAGAGGTCACGATGGCGTTGTCAACTAGAACTTGACCTGATTTTAAGCCTTTAGGATCTTTCCGTCCTGCAATCACATCCAGAAGCCTGAAGACAGACACACTGATATTAATAATAGCATATATTATATGCAGATAACTACTTAAAAATAATAGTAAAAAAACAAAAAAACAATTGAACACTTAAAGGTATAGGGAACCAAACAACATTGGACTTCCATTGTAGTCATCGAGGATTGGAACGACATACAAATTATGACAAAATTTTTCTTTCTGGGCGAATTATCCTTTTATGAGACGATTGAAAGTGAATGAATCTCACTGTGCAGTGACTAAGAAAAATGTATTTATTTTGTAAAATATTTTATATATAAACTTGTGCTTGTGATATTTTTTTCCTTAAAATGAATCTAACTTATTTTGATATTTTGTCTAATGCAATGAGATTCAGATATTTTTAGCATCCAAATACTATTAAAAAGAATCAACAGAAATAAATTAACATGTGCTTACGATGTCTTTCCACTTCCAGTAGGGCCCATTATAGCATTCATTCCGGGGTTTATGATACCACTGCAACAGATTGAAAACAAAAAATGAAAACATCATTTGAACTGCTTTTAACTAGACAAGGAGTTATATGGATTTGCGAACAGCTGTGAAATGTATTTCACTGTTTCTTCTTCATACACAGCTGATATAAATTTTTTGTAATAAAAATTAAAAAGACATCATTTTTATTACAAAATGAAAAAACTCATTTTAATATATTTGAAAATTTAATTTATTCTTTTGATGGCAAAGCTGTATTTTCAGCATCATTGCTGCAGTCGTTAGTGTCACATGATCCTTCAGAAATCATTCTAATAAGATTAGGGCAGTCAAGGCCTAATGGTTAGAGAGTCAGACTGGTAACCCAAAGGTTGTGGGTTGGGTTCGATTCCCAATACCGTCAGGAAATGACCGAGGTGCCCTTTAGCAAGACACTAACCCCCAATCACTCCCCGGGCGCCACAGCAAAAATGGCTACCCACTGCTCCGTGTGTGTGTTCACCACTTACTACTCCTAATGTGTGTGCACTAATTTTGATGGGTTAAATGCAAAGGACAAATTCCGAGTATGGGTTACCCGTATTGGCCTTCATATGTCACACAAAAAAAAAAAAAAAGATTTGGTGCTCAAGAAACAATTCTAATCATTATCAATGTTGAAAAAGGTTTTTGTTGCTTAATATTTTCATGGAAACTGTGAGACACTACGATTCAAAAGTAATATTTAAAAGAAGAATACATAAATAAATGCAAGGATACATTAAATTGATCAAAAGTGACATTTATAAAGTTACAAAAGATATCTGTCAAATAAATGCTGGTCTTTTAAACTTTCCATTCATCACTCATGTCTCATGGTTTCCACGTAAATATTAAGCAGCAAACCTTACACTGATAATAATAAGAAACATTATTAATAATTGAACACCAATAATAACTGATAATAATTGAGCACCAAATCAGCATATTAGAATGATTTCTGAAATATCATTAAACATTGACGACTGGAGTAATGATGCTGATTTTATGAATATATTAAAATAGAATATTTTAAATTGTAATGATATTTCACAATCTTACTGTTTTAACTGTATGTTTGATCAAATAAATGTAGTCTCGGTGAGCAGAAGAGACTTCTTTCAACAACATAAAAAAAATATTTAATGTGTTCAAACTGTATTGTAAAACCTACCAGTCAAAAGTTTGAATTTTTAATTTTTCTAATTAATTTCACAAATCACTGGTCAGGAAATTAGCAAGAATTGCACAAATACTGTAGATAAAGTAACTTAGCACAGAATAGCCTTCCCCAATTTGCAGACAGGTTTTTACAGGAAGAAGAGCCAGTCAATGTTAATGGCTTCAAACAGTTCATGAGTAGATGAAAAATGTCTCCCAGTTCAGTTGAGTCTAATGTGAGACCAAATATTCACTATAGGGTTCAAATCTGGACTCTGACCAGGCCAAAGCATGAGCCTGATGGACTTGTTCTCAAGCCACTTCCTTGGTTGTCTTCACAATTTGGGCAGGAGCATTGTCTTGTTAATAAAAATAACTTCTAATCACAACTTATATATATTGCAATATGCAATATTCTTCTGTACTCTGAAGCATTAAATGACTTTTCACAGTGAAGTAGCTCACCAATACCAGCAGCTAACAATGACACTCTTCCTCCATGCTTCACTTTGGTAGAGATACATGTATTATATTTCTCACCAGATTTTCGATACCGCTCTGAAACATCACCAAACAACTTGTGTTCCAATGTAATTCATCGTACAACTTCCTATATTCTGCCTAAAACTTAATTCGACCTTTGATGTTTTTCTGATACAGCAATGGCTTTTTAAGTAGTGCATTTGCTTGAATTGCCAATCATTTGTGGTTAAGACAATTAAAAGCTTAGAGTTTAGCCATTTTGGACTTGGCCCATATTTTTGCCCTGGAGTGTACATGCTTAAAGAACCAGTAGGTGTGCCCAAACTTTTGACAAGCAGAACACGTCATTACCTGACATCTTTGAGGATGTCCTTTACAACCCACTCCCTACTAAACATTCCTAATCGTTCTTTGACACGGTAACGGATTTGATGGAAGGTGACAGTGGGGCCCGGAGTCTGGAAACATGGCATCGACTCCTCTGTGTCTATCGACGACTGATCGTTCACAACCACCTCATCCAGCATGATGCCTTCTGTCTGTGGGAGATACGTGAGGATTTCAATGAACACCTAAACAAGTACATTTCATTTGTACCACTGACAACATGTAAAGTGCATAAAAAATACAAGCAAAAGTCATAATTATCTGCATTAATGTGTCAAACGTATACAACATATAATTGTGTCATTCCTGATTGTAACTGTTACCTCTTGAAAAATCTGCTTAAGTTTAAGGATGTTGTATATGTTTGATATTTGAACCACCTTTTGGAAGATTTCTGACATTTTATCAAAACAACACTCACAGACTTGATTACGCCAGGATTAAGCCGTAGCTTTTATAAACGAGCTAGAAAAAAACTACTGGTGTGCATCAGTCTATGGTGTGCATCTTGAGACAACATATTTTAAGATATGTCAGTGCAAGAGAATTTCCATGCATTTTAGTCTGGGACTAGGCTTCAGCCTTGTCTGTGAAAACGAGGAGTAATGTTTTAAAGTTAGACAACCAACTAATAGCACAGAACATTCATTAAATCCATTGTTACGACTTACTGATGCTGGTGCTGTTGTTATCCTACAAAAATGATGTCACTTCCTGGAGTATGAACCTGGCTTTTGTTACAGTATTGCACTGCAGTAACGATTAGGGTTGATAGCCGAAATGCGGTTCTTATTCAGGACAAGTTTCATTGTTTAGTACGAAACACCGTGTTTACTACAGTATTATCTGGCGCAGAATCACCGCTGTTGAACAACGTGAAATCTACAGCATAGCGTGTGTGAGAAACACACAGCGCCCGATTGATTCCCGAACGAATGAATCTTATGAGCCGGTTCATATTAGTGAATCATAAAGATACATCGCAGTCAGTTTATTCTGACTCCCGAACAAAAGACTCGTAAGAGCTGGTTAATTTTAATGACTCAAAAAACATACTTGCATTCGTTATTGGCAGTAACTTAACTTCCCGATTTACTGAGTTCCAAACGACAGATCAGAAATTAAAAGCAACTGTGAAAAAAGGGCACATCTGCTTGGCTGATTTTAGGTTGTCTTCACTTTTCTGACAAGACAACATTGCCGTTTTATGCGACTTTAACGAAACAAGTCATGCAGGAATAATATCGATCACGTTTTATAAAATAGCACGTTCCTGTGTCCCATTAAATCGCAGGCGAAATCGTCAACATAGCCTACAACTTTCGTTCTCAGAAAACGGTGACGACTTGTGTAATTTATCATTAGCCTGTTCTGTTAGTGAAATAATGCCGACGCTTCTCACTCTTGGTAAACACACTAACCTAAAGTTAAAACAAATCAACTAGTCTAATTCTCAAATAGAACTTCGAGAATTTCCACGGAATTTCCCCCTTTTTTCTTTACTTTAGTCGCTAAGTAAGTTAGGCTACATTCTCGTTTTTAAAAAATCCCTAAAATAGATGTTAACATACCATGTCTTCGAGGAAATGTGCTCCTCTGGGTTTATTTAGTCCACCTATGGTGGTCCTGCCTTTGGTCAGTTTGTGGTTTGTATGGGTGGGTGGGCTTTAACTCACACTTCTAAGAACATCACAAAGTCGAAACAAACAGCTGGTTAATGTATCTCTCCATATCTGCATTCTGTACATCAATGTAGGCTACATCTAGGGTTGGGTATCGTTTGGGTTTTATCCGATTCCAGTACCTACTCGGTATTTTTTAAACGGTTCCGGTGCTTAAACGGTTCTTAAATCGGTCCTTAAGAAAATGAAACCGCACACACTTTATCAAAAAATAATACCCTTTAATTTACAGGGCCAAACTGGACACAATATTAACTTAAATCTTTAAACAATATAAATACAAGTAACATATGGTAATAATAAAACCAATATAAAATAAAAATTAATATTTACATAATATCAAATGAAACAATATTGTATCAAACAATGTAATAATACTGGAGATTAATAGAGATTACTAGCAGGCAGAGCTGCCAACTCTCACGCATTGACCGTGAGACTCACGCAAATGACCCTTTTCACACAGAAAAATCGCGGACAAAGAGGACACGGACAGACAAGACAGAGAAGGTTACTTTTGATATGGAACAAATCCACAGCTGTCAGATTCTGTCAATATTTTTACGAGATTCACACAATAAATAACGTTTTGGCTCTTTGAAATGTGACAGATCGCTGTAGCGCGTCAGTTCAAACGGCACGTGATACAGCAGCCTACAAATCCACTGCTTCTTAGCTACGCAGCGTTGAGTGAACCTATGAAAGAGAACATCTCTGGTTACTGGTGTAACATATCTCTCAATAGGGAACGAGACGCTGCCAAGCTCCTCGCGCTGCCGACCAGCTTCCTTTTTCGGCAAAGAAATCTGAGGAGCAGATGGCGCGCGCGCGCCAACATAGTATGACGACGTAAGTGCGTCGATGCGGCGCCCGCGCCATCAGCCAATGAATTGGCTTGATTCTATATGGGATTCAGACTATCGGCACACCCAGAGGGCGTTCTGACACGTAATTTTACACGTGAAATGCAGCCAAACCTTGCGAGAAAGAGCGCGCTTGCGAGACAGAAGAGACTGTGCTCCAAACTGTGTAGCACACGCACGGCGGAGAGAGAGAGAGCGAGAGACCTTGTGTGTGTGCGTGTGTGCCTAATGAAGTTAGGCACCGAAATCAGGCACCGAAATTTTCGTTCTTATTCGGTCTGGTTACTACCGTTTACGTCGGAACCGGTTCCCTATTGGCACCGAGTTTCGGTACCCAACCCTAGCTACATCACAGCATTACTATCACACACAACTGCTGAAGCCTGCAGGATCAGAGGAATGAACAGGTGTGTCTGCCTATTAAGAGTGTTGAAGAGATAGTTCACCCAAAAATGAAAATTCTGACACCCTCAAATTGTTCCAAACCTGTATAAATGTCTTTGCCTGCAGATAACAAAGGAAGATATTTTGAAGAATGTTTGTAACCAAACAGTTGTGGGGCAACACTGATTCCATATTATTATTATTTTTCATTTTAACTGTGCTATCCCTTTTGAACTATCCTTTTACGTTTGTTTCCTCATGCAAAAGGCAAATAAGTGAGAATTAAGTGAGGTCAGACAGAGTTGACACTTACAGTCTATAGGTACGGAGTGTGAAATTTCAGGTTAGTAGGCTACTGTATGTTTTCTATTTGAATTGTCTCAATATTTAAATAGGCTAATTCTTAAATCATAAAGGAATGGAAAAATGTTAATGCTTATATTACTGAAAAACTAATATAATCCCCAATCTTTCTAAATTGTAACAAATGTATTGGTAAAACTTTACAATAAGGTTCCGTATCGATTCGGTTCACTTGTATTGCGTCGCCAGACGCGATGGGAAAAACTCCTTTTTCTCCAAATGTTGAAGCCTTTTTTATTAAATAACGCCGTGAAACTGCACTAGCCATAGCAGTGCAGGAATTTGCGTGAGTCTATTGGCTGAGCAGTGACAACTCCACAAATCTATGACGACACAGCGTATGTGCGCGAACCAATCGGAGCAGGCACAATCGTCTACAAGACGGGGCTCGTCTCGCCATAGGATTCAGATTAAATCTCCTTCAGCAATGGTCGACATCTCTTCGCTGAACTCCTGGAGAAGCTGAAGTAGTAGAACGAGCCTTGTAGCGGAACGAGCAGATTCAGCGCCAACAAGCTGACTCGGCGCTCTGCAATCAAGCAGACTACAGCTGCAAGCAGCCTGTTGCCGGATATCCAGCTTGCATTCAAAGAGCACATTTTTAAAGAGCAAATTTCACGGCATTGTTGCAAATGTCAAGCCCCTCTGCACCCATCTGACGAGCACAGTAAGTGTGTCGCCTGTCTGGGGGAAATCCCATGCAGAAGCCGTGCTCACCGAGATGTGCTGCTCTCACTGCGAGAGCATGAGTTTCTCCTCTCTACGCTAGCGGGACGCTTTCTTTTCAGAGACCGGCCCTGCCCTTCGTGCTCTCCCGTTTTCTTCCTCCCAGGAGAAGAGAATTGATTTCCGGGTGGGAGTTCTCGACACGGCCTGGATGCGGGACTGGCTTACATCAGAGAATGCTTTAACGATTCAGCGGCTCGCAGCATTGTTCAGAGTGCCCCCCCCCCCTCTCAGAACCTTTCAGAGGATGATGAGCCCCATGGCCTTTGCATCATCAGTACTCCCGCTGGGACTGCTACACATGCAGCCTCTGCAGTACTGGCTGAAACCCCAGGTCCCAGCTCATTCTTGGCACTCAGGTCGCCTCCGCGTCAAGGTAAACCCCGGCTGAATCAGAGCCCTGGCCCCTTGAAAGGACCCCAAGCTGATACCAAACCGTTGTGAGCATGGGGTTGGTCTCGAGGAGGAAGGTGGTCTCGATAGACGCTTCCAACACGGGTTGGAGAACTCTGTGCGAAGGCAGACCGACTTCCGGCTCCTGGTCGAGTACGGAAAAGCGCTACATATCAACTGACTGGAAATGCTGGTGGTTTTTCTAGCCCTCAAAGCCTTCCTACCAGACCTGATAGGACACCCCGGCTTAGTCCGGCAGTGGTGTCCTACATAAACTACCAGGGTGGGCTCAGATCAAGCCCACCCTGGTCCACCCATCAGGTAATTAAACGGATCAGGGAGGACAGACGTTTAGTCTTTCTAGTGGCCCCTCTCTGGCAGACACAGCCTTGGTTCCCTGAGTTGATGCAGCTGTTAGCAACAGCCCCATGGCCAATTTCCCTGAGGAAGGACGTCCTTTCTAAGGGGAAAGGAACAATTTGGCCTCCATGGCCGCTCAACAGGAACTTATGGACCTCCCAGCGGGAGTCCTGAACACTATATCTGAGGCTAGAGCCCTGTCCACAAGATGCCTCTATGCCCTTAAGTGGTCTGTTTTCTCCAACTGGTGGTGGTCGTACCCCTTACACACTTAAAGTGTATGTGGTGGCCATAGCAACATACCACACTCCTGTGGCCGGCCAGTCATTTGGCAGGACCTCAATCCCTCATCCCCCCTGTCGACAGCCCTTAGGGGACCTCCCTTTGAGTCGCTACAGTCGGTCAAATTATGGCCACTTTTGCTTATGACCGCCCTCCTGCTAGCATCGGTCAAGCGAGTGGGTGATTTGCAAGCGCTCTCCATGATGGCATTTTGCCTTGAGTTTGGGCATTACGACTGCTAAGTCATCCTCAATGTGCCTAAAGGGCCGTCTACTCCATTCAGGGAAGAGGTCATTTTACTGACTGATCTGCCCGTTTATGAAGATGAGCGAGAATTGAGCTTACTTTAAGAGTATATATCAAGTGCTCTGCCCAGTTCAGACAGCCAGAGCAGCTTTTCATGTGCTTCGGAGGCCGCACCAAAGGGCACCCGGTCACGAAGCAGATTATCCCGCTGGATATTGGACTCTATTGCTTTGGCCTATACTTCGATGAGCCTTCAATGCCCCATCGGTGTAATAGCACACTCCCCTTCTTGGGCGTGGTCCAGTGGTGTATCTATTGGCGACATCTGTGGAGCGGCCAGCTGGTCTTCGCCATCCACCTTCACCAGGTTTTATAACCTGGACATTCCTAAATTACAAGCACGAGTCCTCTCTATTTAGCTGTAGTTGACCTCGGTGTGACCAGCTAATATCTCCCTGGAGGCTCAGACTCGTTAGGGAACTTACTCTGTTACTAACGTAACCTCAGTTCCTTGAGATAACGGGAACGAGTATTGCGTAGCTTGCCGAGCTATTATGCTACACGACTAGGCGTCCGCCGCATCAGTCGAGTTAATCTGAATCCTATGGTGAGATGAGCCCAGTTTTATAGACAGATGCTCCGCCCATTCTGGCGAATTCAGGGACCGCTGGGCTGGCTGCCCACTGATTGGTTCGCGCACATACGCTGTGTCGCCATAGGTTTGTGGAGTTGTCACTGCTCAGCCATTAGATTCAGGCAGATTCCTGCACTGTTATGGCTTGTGCGTTATGAGTTATTTAATAAAAAGTCTTCAACATTCAGAGAAAAAGGATATTTTCTTCATCTCAGTACTCGTTCCCATTATCTCAGGGAACCGAGGTTACGTTAGTAGCCGAGTACGTTTCATTTGTTAAAGGAACACTCCACTTTTTTTTGGAAATAGGCTCATTTTCCAACTCCCTTAGAGTTAAACAGTTGAGTTTTACTGTTTTCGAATCCATTCATTTTGATCTCTGGGTCTGGCAGTAGCACTTTTAGCATAGCTTAGCATAGATCATTGAATCTGATTAGACCGTTAATATTCCTCTCAAAAAAATGACCAAAGAGTTTTGATATTTTTCCTATTTAAACCTTGACTCTTCTGTAGTTACATCTGACTAAGAACAATAGAAAATGAAAAGTTGCGATTTTCTAGGCCGATATGGCTAGGAACTATACTTTCATTCCTGCGTAATAATCAAGGAACTTTGCTGCCATACCATGGGTCCAGCAGGCGCAAGGATATTAGTGCCGGTCACGTTGGAAGTTACCTACTGGGACTATTTTCAGGCGCTGCGTAATATCATTGCACCCATGGTACGGCAGCAAAGTTCCTTGATTATTACGCATCAAAGTTCCTAGCCATATCGGCCTAGAAAATTGCAACTTTTCATTTTCCGTCGGGCTTAGTACACGATGTAACAACAGAAGAGTCAAGGTTTAAATAGGAGAAAAATCGAAACTCTTTGGTCATTTTTGTTTTTGAGAGATGCTAAGGGTCTAATCAGATTCAATGATCTATGCTAAGCTATGCTGAAAGTGCTACTGCCAGACCCAGAGATTGGATGAATGGATTCGAAACCGATAAAACTCAACTGTTTGACTCTTGGGGAGTTGGAAAATGAGTCTATTTCCCAAAAAAGTGGAGTGTTTCTTTAACATTAGTTAACTACTTAGTTAACACGAACTAACAATGAGCAATACTTCTACGGCATTTACTAATCTTATTAAATGTTAATCTCAACATTTACAAAAAGTTGTATCTGTTAATATTAGATAAAAACACAAAAGTGTATAAAGGGGAACGTCATATAATTATGGATACCCTGAATGTTTTTTTAAGATCTTTCCACTGTAATTGATGTAATGCATCAAATGGATTAAAAGAGTTTAATTGCAAAAGTGTAAATACACTTACTAATTCTTTATTGTAAACATTTCCCAATTTAAAAAAAAATAGTAATCAAAACTAAGAAATAATCAAAAATGTATTTGACAAAATATATTTGAGCTGCTTCTTTGTCCAGAGTCCAGCACACTTCCAGCTCTGCACACTTTGTCTTTACACCCAACTAAATGAAGTGCATCATGGGAAACTTTTTTTTTTTTTTTATCAGCATTGAAGGACTTCAGATGTGTGCTGGACACTTAATGGCTGCTTTTCCTTCCTCTACTTCAACTCATCAATTAAAAATATTTATTAAAAAAGGTCTAAATTCATGTGTATAATTAATACCAACAAAATTATAAGCATTCAAGCATAACCTGTCAAGAGACAATAGTATAGCTGATATGCTAATTTTTTTGCATTCAACATTAAAAATGTAACATCACAATAAAAACAACAACACTTTAAACCCTTAAAGCACACTAAAACCCTTCTAGTTTATGTCTGTGTATTATGGCAGGAAAATAATATACAATGCTTCTTTTTATACAAATATTTTATTATAAAAGGTCTAAATTGGCCCCGAACATGACCACATATATTCTATTAAAAGATGACAATAAAAATAAAAAAAGTAAAAGAATAAAATAAAGAAAAAACCTATACATGTCATTAGGACCATTAAAATGCATAAAAACTGTAACAAAAAAATATGAGAAAAAAATGGTGTGCTGTAGTGTAAATGATCAGTCCTGAGGCAATCCTTTTAAAAGTCTGAAGGGCAGCCTGTCTTACAGACTCAGATACAGTGAACGAGCGCCACAGAGACGGCTGAACCCACAGCTAGCCCAAGCGTGAGGAAGAAGGACATGACGACACCTGCAGGTTCAGCCAGCTCCCGCGGCACGACTTTGGGCCCGTAGATCATGGGCAGTGTGCCCAGGTACCCGTTAGAAATCCCAAGCAGACAGATGAAGACCACGGGGAAGAGGTCATGTGCAAAAAATACATTGTGCAGGTGATACCGCGGCTGATAGTTGCAGAACATGAACAGAGGAACTAAGACGGTTCTGGAGATGACCAGTAATGGCAGCACGCGACTGGTCGGACCCGGCACTTGCAACCAGGCCGTGACCTGGCGGCCACAGAAGTCTGCAACATTGTACAGTAAAAAACTAGTCAGAGGCACAAAGTATGTGGTAGTCAAAGGGTTTCCAGAGTCTTTATTCATTGACTGGACTCCCGAGGAGACGGCCGGGAAAATCATGATGGAGATGAAAAAAACGTAGAAGACGCAGGCGCCCAGCACCCAGGTCTTCTTCAGGATGGGTCTGAGGGGGGGCACGGATACGTCTGACGAGTCTGAGCTGCTGGTGTGGCTGTTAGACTCACTAAAGGGGGCAGCAGCCAAGTCCATGTAATATCTGAAAGACAGATTGACATCTGGTATTATGGTCAATGAAAATGAAAGAAATAAAATTAAATTAAAGCTGCAATTCATACAGACAATGACTGTGATGAATACGTTTTCCAATTCTGCGTTGAAATTGTGTTGTGGGTCTTAAAGTAAAAAAATATTTAGGTGGTGTAACTGTCTGGGTACTGAAATAAATGGTTTCATTGATTATTATATATTATTGTTATATAATAAATAACGGACTACTAATATATAATAGACTATAATAGTATTTTGTCTAATCTTTTATCATTTCTATGAAATATTATACATTTCTATTGTCACAGCTAGTTGTGTTCGTTTCTGTTCAAAAACTCGGTAACACTTTACTTGAAGGGGTGTGCATAAGACTGACATGACACCTTTATAATCATGACATGACACGTCATGAATATGAAGGAGGTTTTATGCTTATTTATGACAACTGTCATTAAGTGTCATTCGCTCAATTATGACATTTTTAATGCAAATATGACATTGTTTGAGATGTCTTTGTTATGACAACTTGACATAAACCAATACATCATAACCTGTCAGTGTCTTTGTCATGACAACTTGACATTACTAAGACAAAACAACCTGTCATAAATATTTCATAAACATGACATAGCAGATTAATTATCAAACTTAAGAAACCACTTAGCTTTATGGGTTAACATTGCATTAAACTGTCAGGTGGTTGGTTTTGACATTGGCTGTCATAAGGCCATTATAACTGTGTCATGAATACTTTTCTTGACCTCAACTACAGTGGTACAAATTGAATTTGTCATTAAAATTTTATAATGGCCTCGTGACAGCCAATGTCAAAACCAACCACATGACAGTTTAATGTAATGACTAGGAAGCCTTTTTGTGTTGTGACAAGAGAACCATAAAACAGTCAAATATATTAAGCAGAAAACCTCTGTAGACCCTCATGGTTGTGTGTGAAGGTCACTATGTGGACTGTAAAGTGAGATCAGTTGATTTAAAAAAAGGTGAGGAAACACGTTGCCTTAAAATTATTACATTTATTCATTTTAGCTGACGCTTTTATCCAAAGCGACTTACAATTGCTATATATGTCAGAGGTCGCACGCCTCTGGAGCAACTAGGGGTTAAGTGTCTTGCTCAGGGACACATTGGTGTCTCACAGTGGATTCGAACCCAGGTCTCTCACACCAAAGGCATGTGTCTTATCCACTGCGCCATCACCAGCCCTGCCCTATTAAGTAAATAAACTTCATGCGTAATTGAAAGAATTCATTTATGTGAACTTGACCATTCAACATACGCATGGTTTATTTACTTAATAATTTTAAGGCAACAGGTTTCCTCACTTTTTTAAGTTGTCAACTGATCACTTTTTACAGTGTTTAAGAATTATACTGATTAAAAAAAGGAAGTATTTAACAATAGACTCTCAGTAACCATTTTGAGCATTTTGCCAGTGATTTGTGTGCTGTTGTTTTGTTATTGCTTTATTATTTTCCAAATGATCCCAGTGATGGGAATGGACCACACATATTTATGGGTTTTTTTCTATCCGTTACTGTTTGGGGTCAGTAAGATTTTTAAAATGTTTTTGAAAGAAGTCTCTTCTGCTCACCAAGACTGCATTTGTTTGCTCAAAAATACAATATTGACAAATATAAATACAATTCAAAATGTTCTATTTGAATATATTTATTGCTGTGATCAAAGCTGAGTCTTCAGCGTCACATGATCCTTCAGAAATCATTCTAATATGCTGATTTGTTGTTCAAGAAACATTGTTATGATTATTCAAAAACAGTTGTTCTGTTTTTTTGGGAAACCATATTTTACAGTCCTGTTCCCCATGTACATATGTACGTATTATAGTAATTACAATAATTGGGTAATAACTGTACTAACTCTGAACCTAGTCCTAAACCTAACCCATGTATTTACCTTACATTACCCAGTACTTTCTTAGGTAAGTACACTAAGTAAACATATTGTAAAATAAAGTGCAACCTAAATGTCTTTACTGTTGCTTTTGATATATTTAATGCATCCATGCTGAATAAAAGTACTGTTTTCTCTTTTTTAAAGTCTTACTGTCCCCAACATTTTGAACAGTAGTGTCTTCTAACCAAAAAAAAAAAGAAAAGAAAAAGAAACCAATGCTATGTGCCATGAAAATAGTGCTGACAAAAGAAAAGAAAACATTAAAATTATCTTCTTAAAAGTAAGGATTTACAATCAATGATTTAGACAAAAACACAAAACAGAAGTGATCAACTCTTGTATTATTACTTAAATAATTTCTTGTGATTTAAATAAGTAATAATTAAATGATTTAGTGATAGTGTGATATAATCGCATTATGTAAATTCAGTACTCTAGTAGTGCCCTAATGGTATCTCGCAGTACTGCATTTACACCAATAGTTTTAATCCAAAAATTCTTTCATCATTTACCCTTATGTTGTTCTAAAATCTTCTTTGCTTTCTTTCTTCTTTGGAACAAAGGAGATATTTAGCAGAATCTCCAAGACGCTCTTTTCCATACGATGAAAGTAAATGTTTGAATCTGAATGAGATTTGAGAGCTGTTCTTCAAACAATTCCATCACATGGTTTCAGAAGATTTGTAATATAATTCACAAAACATATGAACTTTACTTATACTTTCATGGTTGTTTTACTGAATTGTTGGGGTTTGATAGTTCTGTCTCCTTTCAGTGACATTATATGGAAGAGAGATTCTGCAAAACTTCTCGTTTTGTGTCTGGCTGACCGACAGATTTGATAATCAGCAGAAATGAGGCACATCGTCAACTCCTGATCTCAACACCACAACTGTGTCACGAAACTGTGGTGTCACGAAACCGCTGATGAAACTCAAGGATTCACTACCAGCAGCACACTTCCTCTTTCTGCTCCCTTTCAACAAACGACACTGTGAATATCATGTGGTGAGGGTTTACGGCAGATACTCATGAGACAAATGAAAGTAAACTATGTTCATAGGGTCCATGTTTAGTGTAGTGAAATGTTCATAATGGTTATCAAGTGTTGGGTGGTATGACGATATATAACAGTGCAACGATGGAAATGTGTCAGCTGGTCTGTTCATACCTGAAATGTGTTTGTGCTACATGTTATGGAGACTCACTCACCTCGAGTAAGGCAGTATGGGCAGCAGCAGGTACATGATGATACAGATAACAGTGAAGACGTCAGCTGTGATGAAGTACACCAGTGCGCTGTCGGTCACGTCACTTGAGGCAGCCAGATCTACTATCGACGCCAATGCACTCAAAGTGCCGCCCATGGCCTGACCTGAAGTCAAAAGATGCAAGATTAAGCCTGGTTTGTACTCGCCACGTCCTCAAGTTCACTTGGTTGCATGTAACAGAAAATAATGTCATCACAGTGCTGGCAGACATGCACGTTGACTTTGCTAGATCCAATTTCGCACATCGGTGTGCATCTCATTTGTTTTTGTAACTTGAGCGAGCATGTTGTGGGAAGAAAGATTTGGAAAGAACATGTGATGTGGGAAGTTATTCAGTTTAAGATTACCTGGGAAAATGAATTAAATAGGTAAATCATTTATAAATACTGCAATATTACATAAAAAAACAAGAATTGTTCATTTTGATTTCATGGTGACTGGGGGTTAGAATTGTTGGATATTAATAGAAAATAGTATTCGAAAAAAGAGTTGTTGCATATTTCCAGATAAATAGCCACAAATAAATGTAAAGCGATTCACAAACAATTAGAATGAGATCCACAAACATATACAAAAGTTTTACAAAAATGTATTAAATTCACAAATAAATAAAATGGGTGAACCACAGCATGTTTAAAACTAGCAGGTACAACTCCATTCGCTAGAAAATTGTTAATAATAGCTTTGACAGCTGGGCTCAAGGTTTCAAACACTTCCTTGAAAAGACGAGTTGGGATGACATCAGACTCGCAGCTGGAACAATATCAGGTCGCTGAGCAGTGGTAACTGGATGAAAACAAGTTAGCGAATCAGTTGTTGAGCAAATCAAAGGGGGATCAAAAGTTACTGGCTTAACAAAACTTAATTATCTAAACATTTTAAAAGGTTCTCAAAGTTTTCCCGAGATGAAGCACGAGAAGGAGCTGGTAAAGGATTTAGCACTGAATCAATTGTCTCGGTCGGTTAGCATTTTCAGTGATGAGTTCTGTGAGGAATTCAGACCTAGCCTCTTTCACTGACTTTTGGTAACTAGTCACGCATGCAGTTAAACATTCATAAGATACGAGAGTTTGTCTCTTTTCCACATTCGCTCTGCCTTCCGACACTCTTGTCTAAGAGAGCGGGTTTTTTTATTTAACCAAGGCTGAGCAGTGCCCTTTCCCTTGGCTTTCCTGGGCTTAAGGGGAGCAACAGAGTCTATCGAAGTGGAGCAGGATTTAGTCAAATCTTCCACCATCTCGTCAATGTTTAATTCGTCAAAGAAGATGGCATCCGCAAAGTTAGTTTGATAGTACTCTGAAAATAAACTGGCAGTGGAAGGTTGAATGAAACCAGAATAACTCCCAGACTGAGAGCAAGTGGAGGTGGGAAAACACAGACAGATTCAAACACAAAACGGTCAGAGATAGCAGCGTATAAATGCGTGAGCTAATTACAGATTAAATCGATTGTTTTGGTTGTCAGCCAGACTCTTGTAGACTTGCTTACACACTGACATACTGACAGAGTTTTCATTTTGGGGTGAACTAACCTTTAAGGTGAAAATATTCATATTAAAAGCTACTAAACTTACATTTTGATTTCAGGGGGTCATTAGGGTCACAGGCGGCATCAGGTTTATTAGGCTGCTGTCACTTTAAGAGCGAATGCACTGATCCAACAGTCTGATACACAAGCGTTTTCTTTCACAACTGTTTATGTTCACTTAAGAAAATACAGAGATAGCAGCAATGAATCACTCTCAGATTTGTTATGGGAAAACCATGAGACAACACCAAATCCAATGTGTGCCCCAAATTGTGAGTAGGGCTAAAAACTGATTGTGACAGATTTAAAGATTCAATGAGACATAAAAACTCTTTCACCAAAGGTTTAGATGGACAGCAAAGGTGAATGTTAAAGTCTTCAAGAATCAACAGTCTATCACAACGAGATACGATATTAGAGAGGAACTCTGAGAATTGTTGAATAAAATCCTTGTTAAATTTTGGAGGCCTGTAAATTAGAGCACATGAAACAGGACCCCCCATGTCGATTCTCATTAACTGTACCTCAGAACTGGAATACACATGTTTTGCTTTACAATCAGGGTGGGAACAGAGTCAGTTTAACTCACTGTATAGATGTATAGACTGTATTTTTCAAAAAGATTTTACTTGTCTAGTAAAAGGCAGTTGATAACAAATGTCTAAATGGATCTACAGAGGTTGTCTGGGGCATTAAATGAGTCATGTTTATAATCACACTCTAGCAAACTATTATAACTCGAACTTTGACGGATTTTTTTTTAAACATAGACTGAAAGAGCTCTCGGAAGCTAGTGACGATGACGCTGAAGTCATGCGACGTGGTGTCATTTGTGAAGATTATCACAATGAACAAAACATGTAGAATCATAAACTTTTGTTAGTCACAGAATTTTTTTTCTGCAATAATCCAAAAGCGTATGGAAAAATTCTAATGGGTTTTTGTCGAGGGGTCTAAGGTGATGCTAACTTCCAGGCTGGCCTATCACCACAGACCAAGAGAAAATAAGGTTGTTCCCTGAACAGAAGATCGCATGGCCACAACATAAGGACGTTGTTACCTTGACGAAATGATTTTGGGCCGCCTATGACTTATCACTAGCCTGACGTCGTCATGCTCAGATTCTAGTCAGAATGTGAGTCTGATACTGCTCCATTGGGCTGTGATTATGGGGCGTGTTTCAACCGAACCAGGAAAGAAAATGCCTCAGCGCTCAACTGGATCGACAAATGCCTTGATCGCGGTTCTCTGTTCCTCTTTTAAAATGAATGCGCTGTCTACATCTTCTATAACAGGCTGAATCTACACATCTAAATTCTCCAGCGGCAGCCATTCTTTGTTGTAAATGAATTCAACACAAGCACTCTTTGGTGACGTGGATGATTACGTTACGTTACGTCATCGTATAAAGCCCGCCCTGACAATTTGATTGGTCCGAACAGCTTTGGTTCGGGCATACTTGCTACAAAACGGATCAAGTTCAGACCGAACTTCCCATCCTCAAATGATGTGGGTGCTGGGTGGGGCTAATTTCGGCTGGCATCCAGGCTAACTTATCACGTTCCCCCCACTAGTTAAAATGTTTTGGCCACAATAAAACTAATTGAACCAAACACGTACCTTTCCAGTAACAGTAATAGTGTGTTTGGTTACTGACTCTGTTCCCTCCCTGATTGTAAAATAAAACATGATTGGTTGGAGCGAGAGCGTGCTATGATTGGTCAGTGGCTGTTATCTGATTGGCTTAAGTAGACAGTGGGTTGAGTCTACCTATTTGCGGATTTGTGTGTTGACGCATGAAATGTTTCAAAATCCACAAATTCGTGTAGCAGAGAATTCATAATTTGTGTTATGCGGTCCACAAAAAAACAGCAGGCAAAGTTATTTTATTTATTTGTGAATTTTTGAAAAAATAATTTTTTTTGTGAATTTGTAATTATTTGTGAATCTCTTTACATTTATTTTTGGCTCAAAATCTATTTATCTGAAAATATGCAACAATTCTAACCCCATACATTTTTTTACAAACAAAAACTAGATTGAAGTTTGATGATTGTTCTGCCAGACTACTACTTCTCACAGCTACTTTCAGTTTCTTTAGATAATTTTTTTCTCCAAACCTCACTCTATAATTTCAGAAAACAGTACAATGGCAAGAGCATTGACAATAAGGCTGTGTCCATCAAATCATTTTTTAGCCAGCTGAAAACGCCTAGCTGAGGGTGCAGTTTTTCAGTTGAGATGCATTGATTGGCATGAAATGGTATATTCACGGCGGTGTTACTAGTATTTGATTTTGCGTTTGTTTGAGAACAAACCTCATTGGTTCTTGTGGAAGCTTGAATGTGCTGCGTAACACGAGAATGAACCTCATTGCTTCTTGCACGTCAAGCAAACATGCTTGAGGTTCTGTTTACCACAACTGATGTGTGAGTTGATCAATGTTTATATGTGAATAAAAGCCTAAACTCAATCTGTTCATCATATAAAGTGATTGTGTCTCTTCAGAGAATTTGGACTAAACCGCTCAATTCATATGGATTAGTTGTATGATCTCTTTATTAACTTTTTGAAACGTCAAAATGGTAGTTGCGTAGCTGTCAATGGAGGGAAAGAAAGCTCTCAGATTTCATTAAAAAGATCTTCATTTGTGTTCCGAATATGAACGAAAGCCAAGCCTTATGGGTTTGGATTGGAGCGACATGAGGTTGAGTAAATGACAGAATTTTCATTTTTGGGTAAACTAACCCTTTAAATATGTGGCGCACCCATTGAAAACAATTGAAAAAATACATTAACCATAGGAAAAAACACATTGGTGGACAAACGGACTAAATGACTGAGGTGTGCGTGAGATAAGCGGAAGGTCTAGCCAAAAGTATTGTAACAATGTGCAGGTGGCATATGGGACATTTTTTATTCAGTTAAATCAGAAGGAAGTTCAGCTGTACCTGATATTATAGCTTGAGATATCCTCATAGGAAAATGGCCACTGATACCGAACACACTGCCAGAGAAGATGTTGGACGCCCCACTGACCAGCGCCACACTGGCCAGAGTACCCCCAAAAAACTGCATCCTACAGCCAGACATGTCCACTTTCACCAGCACTGTGGTCACCACAAACACAACCAAGATCACCAGGAGAGAGAACAGTATCCGGACCCGAGAGGACAACCTGAAAGAAATACACATACAGAGTCACAGAGAGAACTAGATTGTTGTGAGAGGTTGCCGGGGTGATGCTTGGTTTGTTGTTCTGAGTGGTTTTTACACTGAACAAAATTATAAACGCAACACTTTTGGTTTTGCCCACATTTTTCATGAACTGAACTCAAAGATCTAAGACTTTTTCTTTGCACACAAAATGCCTATTTCTCTCAAGTATTGTTCACAAGTCTAAATCTGTGTTAGTGAGGATAGATGTGTTATCTATCACATAGATGTGTTATCCTTTTGGATTTTGGAAAATCCTATGCCTGGCCACAATAAAAGGCCAGTCTAAAATGTGCAGTTTACTGTACACTTTACTGTATACGACAGCGTGTTTCAGGTCCTGCCAAAATCCAGCAACTTCGCACAGCCATTGAAAAGTGGACCAACATTCCACAGGCCACAAGAATCATATGCAATAATCATTCTGTCTAATCAGCATCTTGATATGCCACACCTGTGAGGTGGATGGACTATCTCGGCAAAGGAGAAGTGCTCACTAACACAGATTTAGACAGATTTGTGAACAATATTTGAGAGAAATAGGCCTTTTGTGTACATAGAAAAAGTCTTAGATCTTTGAGTTCAGCTCATGAAAAATGGGGGCAAAAACAAAAGTGTAGAGCTTATAATTTTGTTCAGTGTAGAATATTACTAGCGTTCTGGCCTTTTTCCATGGCATGAGCAGCAAAATAGATACTTTTGCTAAAACGCTACAGAAAACGAGAATGCAGCAAATGTATCTGTTATACATGTGACTCTGACCGTTTAAGTAGACGCGTGGCACCTTTAGATGTTTTTTTCTCTCCATACATTTAGCATTATTAATCAGCATATTAATAGCATTTCATGATAAACAATGTTATGATTTGGAAAATGATTTAAAGATGGCAAGGAATGACAAAAAACTTTGAAATTACTAGTTGACTTTGTTTTGTCCTCAAGATAAGAATTTTGATTATTAGATTATGTACAATGTTTGTTTTTAGTAGTTTTTTACTTTGTGCAAAATATAAAAATGGTCCATACTTTTCTTAAGAGGTAAAACCTGCACCCCCAGTATGTTTTCTCAGTCCCAAGGCTTCTATGTGCCATTCACATATCTAAATGTAAAAAAAACAAAAACAAAAAAACCCCATCTTTTTATATCCATATCCAATTGGGAGAAATATGTTCGTTTTTTGGTAAACATAGATAAAAATTCTTAGACATCACAACTTTGGTTCTCGGGCAGACCAGTCAACATTTGGGTACCAAAATACGAGGAGGGAGACTCCCGGGGAAACCGGGAGTGTTGACAGGTATGCTCGCGGGGCCCAAGAATCTCATCTTTGATGATTATTTTGAGTGTATAGGATGTTTTCTTTTACAAAGTACTACGACTGCCCCAATGGAAATGTATAACTGTTCCAAAAAAGCATTGTCCGCACCTCCACTGGGAAGCAAATATAGAGACCAGACCTCTTGAAACTTTAATTAAATACCCCTAGTAGATGTGTTTGGGTTTTTCTTGGTTTATGCTATATATATATATATATATATATATTGGCACCATACTGCCATCAGCCACCTTACTGCCTAGATACTGATATCAATATTGGTTACTGCTAGTTAAACCTTGCCAATACTGGTGCACCAATTAGGAAATTTGAGGCAGATGGTATATTCAAAGATCAGTGCACTCCTACTTGCCAATTCTTTACTTTTTTTTACAGCAATTTCTTGCAGTGTAGGCTTATTGACATGCTGCTTATGCTCCTTCAGTAGTTTGCAGAAAGTCAAGGAATGTTCTAAAGCCAATTTAGCCCCTGTTTACAGGTCAACATCAATGCCAAGGGTCAACATTATTACTATTTTTATTTATATGACGTTTCTCCTTTACTTGCTGGCCACAAAGGAATGTTGTTTGCAACTGGTATTAGGGTTAGGGTTAGCCTAAATTAGTTAATAAAAAAAAATAAAAAAAAGTGAATCCTGGAGATGAACATGTAATGTTGGAAAACTGACAGTGAATCTTTATTCTCTGAGAGTACAGGAATTGGCAACAGTTACAAAGATACCACAGTACACTTGAACAGGACACTGTGTGTTAACTGATTTAATTTAGGCTGAGACAGATGCTTTGTTTGTGCTGCAAAAGAAGTTGCAACCTTTAGCGCCTGTTTTTATGGGAAGACAAACAAATGCTACTTTTCATCCACTGTAGAATCTGAAATGCAAATCTCAAAGTCCCTCATTGATTTATAGGCATTTGAAATCATAAATCACATGCTCTGGCTGGATAATACAGAAAGTGTGCAGATGTGTTTGTTTTACCTGTTGACCAGGAGGTAGTTGAGGATGAGACACAGCACTGATGGAATTGTGGAAGCGATGGAGATGTAACTCTCAAAGTAATCCTGGAAAAAAAAAAAAACATCAGTCAACTCACGTTACTCAAAATCATACATGCATCAGTGGTGTATGTAAGGGACAATGCCAGTCATTTTTCCTAAATAACACTTCTTTTATGGCTATTACTAACCCAATCAATAAATAGGCATGAAATATTATTATTATGCAAGAATAATTAGAGAGCAGAATGATAAAAGAGGAAACTAGCACAGCTACATAGGGCAGTTAGCTTAAGGTCATTATATAAACACATCTGATTGCAGAATACCACATTGACCAATCAGAATCAGATGTATTGCAGAAAGTATTCAGCTTTAAATTCATATCAAGTTGACAGACCAATAGGCTGCCTTGGATTATTCATTTGCTGCTATTTGACATGAGATCATTACCTGATAATAGTGATTCTGTGTTTATATGTCCAGTATCAGATTTGTAAATAGATAACCCACATTTTCTGTTTCCAAATATTTTTGAGAAACCTTGTGTACAATAAAGGTTAATTTCAGCAATTTTAGCGTTTTTTATTCGCAATCATTAATTGTATTATATAATTTATTGACATGTATTGGTCACCCAGGTCTCTAGATATCATCCACTGAAAAACTTTTCACAAATTACAGACAGAAAAATACAGTAAAAATAAATCTTTATAGTTAAGAAGCCATAGGTATGCCCCTGTTCTGTTGTTTTCATTGTGTTTTGGTCCTGTCCTGTGACCTAGTTTTCCTCAGTAATTTGTATTACTGTTGGAAATGTCAGAAGCGAAGACCAGGAGACTTTGTTGTATCTTCAGTAGGACTTTTCATTGAGAACACGTGCTGTTGGTAGCAGCAGTCATCAAGTCTGAGTATTTTATAGGTTTTAAGTGTGCAGTCCTTAAAGGTGTTGACCTTACACAGCCTTAGAAGTGACCACTAAAACAAAAGCATCTAAAGACAGACAATACAGGCAATTATCCCCGACTGTGAAGAATATAGTACCCCAAATGGTATAAACAGTAGCTGGTCACGAGAACTAAGACTATGTAAACATTCACACATAGTTTGACTCTCAGTAGGAAGATCAACGACTGACAACCCCCCCCTCACTGGAAACTGATGCCATTATATTCATCTTGAATGCCCAATACAGTGTAGTTCCCCTTTGTTTTTCATGTGATGTCATGTCAAGACATAGGATCAGCAGATCTTAAACAGATTCTTAACTTTGTAATCCCAAATTACCTATTACTATCTGTTGTCATGATGCATGTGAATCGCAGAGCTCGTGCAAACATATCCACATCGCTATTCCTTAACTGCTGCTTTCTTACCGCTGTGTGCAACACATATTTAAATATTCATCTAAACGTCTCTGTCAGCAGCGTAAAAGGCGTCGGGATGTTCGTTAACAGTATATCGCTGCAAAGGTATTTCCAACTTCTCACATTTCTAAGTGAAGAACAAAAAAGAACTTCACAATGAGTATATCAGGACCTTGAATCACGTTCAGTCTCTTTATGTTACGTGTGCACAAGTACTAGCACGAGCATTAAGTTGCTGGCTGCAGTTCACTTAACCGCCACCGGTGTCGCTAATAACAAGGGTTTCTGAATTCTGCATATAGCCCCTTTAAATATGCCAGTCATCCTTAATGATGCCTCTTACAATTCCTAGAGAAATATGCCACATGCTCAAAAGGCCAAAGCTCATGTGCTCCTGATGACTGACACGCACAAACACAAGTGGAAGAAGCTTTACTTTTTACCATTCCTGCCCTGTCAGATAAAACTAAAGTTTGAGGAGAAGTGAGAGTGACAAACAGGGAAGAAGAAAAATATTCAAATCATACTTTTGAATTTGCAACTTTAATCTCTTTGGAAAAAAGTGTCCAGATTTCTGTTTATGGCAACTTAACCAAGAATGCTCAACTTAGTTTAAAAATGAATGATCCAAATACTAGAACTGACGTAAAAACCTGATGGTTTTTCTTCCTGTTTAAAATCATGTGATCTGCCTTTGACACCCCAGCAACTAAGAGAGAAATACAAACATAAAAGCTATAAAAGCCTGCTAATTCAATATATTTAGAAACAAACATTAAAATGCAACCAGTGGGCGTCATTAGATCAATTGCAGTCTAGAAGGAATGACAACAGTAGACTAAGGGGCCATTCAGACAGAATGCCTTTTTGCTTTGAAAAACGTGAGACGGGCAGTGGAATGGAAAAATACCGCAAGGTCACAAGAAAGTTTTTTTTGTTTTTTGCTTATTTTAACTTGAGGACCACATTTTTGAACACGTGTGATGCACAAGACGGTGCAAAAGACGTGAGCACAATGGTGCGTCTAGTGTGTTTACATAGAAAAACAATGGAAAAGTAGCGTAGTGGAAAAGACACGTTCTGTCACGTGCAAACCAGCCCTAACACTATAAATCACACACTAATGCAACTAATGTCCTCATCTAAAGGGGACATGTTCTACCCATTATTACTTTATTTTACCTTGAGTGACCCTAGAAAACAAAAAGAGGTCCTGTGATTCTGCATATGAAAAGAACGTCAGTTCTGTCAAATATCACAAGACCTTGAGAATGCTGGAGTGAGCAGAAAGCGCAGAAACGTTGTGATTCCTTTAAATAGTTCTTCAGCAAGTAGGTGACAAACACTTTCTCTGTCATCTGACACGCTTTAGCAACATCTGGCACATGGCTGTGCAATGTACTGTATATGCTGTGTAAAACCTACTATTCTTCAAAGCCGCACTGTCATTTTTTCCGGTAATTTTACAGAAGAAAAAAAAAACCTTTAAATTGCCACGGTAAAATCCTGTCCGTTGGTTTACTGTAAGTTCTGTCATGACAACTCTTGAGTGTTTGGCTTGGTAATGGGTATGACATATATATACTCACACTAAAATATTGTCATCATATTTTTCATAGTGAATTTCTGGCAACCACCCTTCTGGCAAACAACCTTTTCTTTTCTTTTTTTACAGTGTGCAAATAGATAAAATCATGTAAATTATAAACAAAAGATTTTTTTTTTTTTTTAACACACTTACGCTGAGGTCATTGTGAGGTTCCTCCTGACCAGCGGGGCTGGAGTTGTTACTGAGCTTGTACAGCCAGTACTGTTTGGCTGTGATGAAGACATTCCAGGGCAGCAGAGAGCCGATGCCCATCAGGAAGAAGATGATGTACACTAGATTGTAGGAGTCCTCCGGGCAGCGACGGGTCTCCAGGGGTCCCGCTGGCTGCAGTCGGGACAGCAATGGGGAAGTGTCGTCCCCCGCCGCCTCACCTTCTGAATGCTCTTCGTCAGACATGGAGGAGATGGCAGTGGGAATGTAGGAGGAGTTCGTGCTGCCCTGAAGAGACTGCTTACCATCCATTCTCAAAGAGAGAGGATGGAGGGAGGGAAATCCAACGGATTGTATAGGTGAGGGTGACCAGGATAAACTAATGCTGGAAAAGAGAGAAAAATAGGAGAAGGGTAAAAACTAGAAAGAAAATGTATCGATTTTCAGAGTAAAAAAGTGAGTGGTTCCTGTCCTTGCAAAGCTTGCTAATACAATAATGGGGGTAAACAGGTGTGATTCTTACAAAAACGGTCAGGAATATAACTATATGGACATTTTTTGCCCCAAAATCAAAAGACAAAAAATGTATAAATAATATTTTGCTTATAAATTTTCATTTAATCTTTTAGCAGATGCTTTTGTGTAAAGCGACTTACAAATGAGGAAATCAATAGAAGCATTTGAACCAAAAAAAAGAGCAACAATATGTATGTCTTTTTGTCTTATTTTCAGTCCACATATCTAAAAATTATTAAATCAAGATGCATTTACTAGAAATGAAGTGGGTTTTTGCTTAAAACAAGCAAAATGATCTGCCAATGGGCTAAGAGATCTTATTTTCAGATAATTTTGCTTGTTTTATGCAAAAACTCACTTAATTTAGATAATTTTTTCCTCCCAGAAAACAAGACACAGGGCCAGATTTACTAAACAGGGCAAATTATCCTGAGAAGACAATTCCACAAAAGCCCAGATGGGAGTGGAAAGTTCAGCGCTTGATCTACTGATGATGAGCAAATTAAAGAACACAGACGCAGCCGGAACATTTCCACAATGACCAACGCAATCCACCAATAGCAGCGCTAAATTAGCATCTGGTTTAAGACATGCTTTTTTTGGGCATTAAATAATTGCACAAACACCTGTAAATTGACTAGAGCAAAACTTAGTAAATTCTGACAGAAGTTTTTTCACACCAAAAGAGGGTTAGTGTCAGCTGTTAGTAAATCTGGCCCAATATATCTTATGCTATTTTACTTATCTAGAAAATGCATCTTGATTTAAGGATTTTTAGATATTGGGACTGGAAACAAGACAAATTCTAAGTAAGAAAAGCATCTTTGGCAGTTAGTTTAAAAAAAAAGAAAAGAAAACAAAGATACAATAGAAATAGAATAGAAAGTGGTACTATTAATGAGTCAAGTGTTAAGTGTTATATACATATATGTGTATATATATATATATATATATATAGTAATTTTGGGGTGAAATGTGAGCGGATCGTTGAGAACCACTCATGGATTGTTGCTATATGGTTGCTAGGGTGTTCTGGGCAGTGGTTAGGTGGTTTTCATTTGTAAATATAGAGAAACAAAGCTGCAACCGTGGGAAGCAACTAAAGCTTTTTTTTTTGCCTCAGATATTTTAGAATGACTAAAACTAATTTTTGAGATGGTGTCCAATGAGATTTGTATGCTGGTTAGTGCAGTTATCTAATCACATGAATTTTTTTGTTGCACATTAATTGGTAAATGCGTTTCCACTGTAGTTTATAAGCATGTCTTTATAAAAAAAATCCACTTCAACTGAGCGCAGTTTTTTGTTGTTGTTCTTTTTTAAGCACACCTTGGTGTTTCCATTCAGTTAGGTGAAAACATTGGTGCTTGAGAAAGGCTATTCAGATCTCTAGACATGGCTCAGGTTCTCCCTTTTGGGATATTTATGCCAGTTTATCATTCACCAGGCGAAAATCTAATATTAAAAAAATGTAAAATAAGTAAAAAAGTAGGCTAATAGCATGCCTTACCTCCATAAGTCACATGATCATGCATGTCCATGTTTGCTTAAGCAATAAAGAGGAAGGAACTTCAAAAATATAACAACCACTTCATTAAAACACAGAACCCATAAAAAACGAAGGAAAGAGTGTATCCAAACTTACTAGACTGTCAGCGCCTCTGCTGCTGTGAGATTACTGTCAGTCTGCTTTTAAAACCAGTCTGCCATTCTGGAGATGCTGGCCACTCAGATCCCAAGGAAGAAAGAAGCAAACACTCCGTCAGGACTCACAGCGCTGCAAGAGACATGAGAAAACACCTCCACCACATTACTCAAAGTACAGCATGTGAGCCAGTTACACAGAACAATCTGTCTCTATCCCAATCCCCTCTGGTGCGTCACTCAAGGAATGCTGGAGTAACTGGTAATGCTTTATGTGCATTTGCTCAAACTAATTACAAAATTCTCACATGCTCCTCCTGTACTCCACTCAATCACATGACACCACCAGACTAACATTTACCTAGAAGACTACAAACATACTCACTGTGTTATTAACAAATACCACACTCTAATATACCGCTGATAATATGATATCCTCCTCATCAATGAACAGTGCACATTTACTATTTTTTATTATAATTTGAAATAAATATTGTGTAACATAAGTCTTCATTTAAATTCACCAATTTTGCCTTTATTTACTAGCATTACATTGCATTGTTGCCCATTGCTCACTCTCCCAGCTAACAGGGAGCGTTCTCAGAACTTTCGCCAACATTCTCTCAAAGTTATGAGCAAGCATTCTTCCAGTAATGTTGATATAACGGTCGTTATTTATACATCGAGTTTTTTTTTTTTTTTTTTTTTTTACATATTAGTTGCACATTCGTTTAATGCTTTTTTAAATGTTATTACTTGTTTCAGAACGTTCAGAAAACATTGAGAAATAACTTTTTCATAACTAATAGGAATGTTAGCAGAACATTCTTAGAACATATTTTTGTTAACTGGGCTGCTCTATCAAAAAAAGACAATGGTCATTCACCAATGGTAACGGTGGCAAATATGATCACTACAGTGCAAAAGGTTTTATGCAGAGCCATTAGAAAGATAAGATGTCATTACAAAAGGGTACAGTTGATAGTGTCCGATGGTAATATCATGGAACTAAATGCACATGGTACTACAAAGAATACTTGACAATATAGACACCAAGAAAAACATTGTATTGTTTGGAAGCTGCTCATTCATTTAGTTCTAAAGTTCTCAAATATGAGTACATAAAAAAAGGGAAATAAATAGTATTTGCTTTTCTTGACAAGTTCCCCCCCCCCCCCCCCCCCTTTTTTAGTAAAATTTACAGTTTTTGCTGTATTTTATTGCTACCACACTGTACATGCATACTACATTAATATTATTCTTACTTGTATTGTTTTGTAATATACTAGTATGTTTGGAAGCCACCATTTATAATCCTTTTTTTTTAGTTTGTTTGTTTTTGTTTCATTTGTTTTGTTGTTGTTGAATCAGAGTAAGAAATACCTCTGCTTAATTTCATCCGTATTTCTTGGTCTATATGTCGAAACAAACACTGTATTGTCTTTCTCTTATTATCTCTCTGATTGGAAAAACATCAATAAAAAGAGTTAAACTAAAGTTCTCAAATATGTTTTACTGAAAAATGAACTTTGTCTTAGAGTTTTTTCCTCAAATTCATTAGAAGAAAAAGACAAACGAGACAACTGTTGGCATACAGTAAAAGAGTATAAAAATATAAAATTAGTGTGAAGAGGAGCTCAGATCATTTGTTCTTAGTAGAATTTGCAGCAACATGTCTCAGTTTTCTCTCTCACTCTCAATGCTGTCTGGGAGAAACAAATGAGATAATGAAGAGGGTTAAATGTAATTTTGTTCTTTCCTATAGGTGCTCCTATAGGCAGCAACATTTCTGGTTATCGTGTTACCCATAATAAATGTTGTGTCGGTAGTCAGCTGGGTTTCGAGACAGTGAAGGGAAGTGTGTTTCAGTATGACAGGAAAGACAGATTCAGCATTTTTTTTTTAAATGTGTAGGAAAATTGCATTTAAAACAGAAAACCAGTAGGCTAACGTTATAGCTAAGAAAATAAATCAGAAGTCAGACGAATGATATACAAAGTTCAGATAAAGTAACTGTATAGTAATACATTTAACGTACAGCCGTTATGAGAGAAATGTACAGATGTTATGAGAGAAATCTACACAGCTGTTAGAGACGAAACAGCTGTTTTGGAGGCTATAAATAATGACAATATTACACTTACACCAGATAAAAGTCTCGTGTGTTTAACCTTGTTTAGTCTAATGTTTATCGCAATCAGGTGACTTATGACACTCCTTCACATATGAATCAATTCAAACCTGCTGAACTAGGTTTAACTGTGAACTGCAACAGTATGACTTTTCGCGTAGATTTACTTTTACATTTTACATGTGGCACACGCTTTTATCCAAAGCGACTTACATTGCATGTCAAAGTAACGTTACACATTTAACGTTACATTCTTATCAGTTCTTCTGTATCAAGAGTCTCACTCACCAAAAGCTTGATTTTAGCTGAATTCATCTTTCTTGTACCTGGTTTCCACATATAGACTACAACACACTCTAGTAGACGTGGTGCCCGTCACACAAACATAGGAGCGTTCACAACAACAAAACCATCTGTATAGTGTGTACAGTACAGTTTACTTGGTGAACATTAATAACACGATTTCAAATTAAAAGCTTTACGGCAAGTTAAAAGTCATGTAACCAAAAAAAGAGACACATTTATGATAATGATTTCTGTGTTCACGAAATTGCAATCAGCAAAGGATTTTAGAAATAATATACGCAACTTTAAATTAAAGTTAAACCCATTTTTTCCTCTTACAACCTGAAAAATCCACTAATAAATTAATATTTATGAATATTTAAATTATATTTAATATTTAAATAATAAGTAAGTTGATAAATACTATGTAAGCACAGCTTTTTATCCATTTCATGCAAGGATGAGTATCTGAAAAGGAGGATGAGTAATAAATAATAATATATAAAATAATATTTTTTACAGTAATACATATTATTTAAGTGTGCCGTGTTTATCAGTGTAATATTTACTTAGTGTGTTATTGTAAAAACACTGCTAACACCCAGTAAATTGAAATGTTTAGATTTAATTTCGCAATCCACACAACAGCACATTATGGGGTTTGCTTATAAAAGTACTCTTGCGTGGCTTTTATTTTGAAATACACGGGAATTGAACGTCGCTCATTTTGGATTTTTCTTGTGTTTGCCGGAAGTGCAGTGTCGTGTGTGTGATTACAGGTAAGGGCTTTTTAAATAACATAAACATACTTGTGTGAAAATGTGATTGTAATAAGTGTTTAATGGACTGTCCCGGAGGGCGTCGGATTGATCTTGTTTTTCGTCCAGAAAAGCAATTGTGCTGTAAAAACACGCAGTCACCATTCTCACCAACACACACACACGTGGATAAAGACATCTCCATACTGTCTATCACATTCAGTCTGCACACTTGTTATAATCTTGTATTTTTTGTGTATTATTGATTAGATATGCTTTTATTGTTATATAATATTATAACATTAACGTGGTGTCCACAACTGTATATTAAAGCATCTCTCATGCATTTCCCCATTGTCAAATATCAAGGAATTTAAAACGTCCAGCCTAGACCTGAAAAGTCATGCTAAACTTAAAATATCATGTAGACGTCTAAATATTCCTATTCAAATGTGTTTTTAAAAATGTATTTTTTCAGGTAATTCAGTGTCAGTTTGTATAGGAACCCGGATTTATATCAAATTGTTTTAAATATATCATTATTTTTTTCAGTCAGTTGTTAGACAATGGCTGATGACGGCCCAGCAGAGGATTATCCCACCGAAATCGAGGAAAACCTCAATGATTTTGACTCCTCTGTGAGCTCTGTCCAGAATATGGTCCAAACACTTGTGTCTGTATCCAGAAGTGACCATCTGCGTAAGGTATGTGGAAACAAATGCATAAATCAACAGTTAAATTAACTTGTTACATTATGTTATTATGTTTATACATTGTTACACTTGTTATTGGAATGTTTTGATCTTTTTGTACCTCATTTCCAGCTGGATCCTCTTGATCAAGCTAAATTGGATCTTATGTCTGCATATGCCCTCAACTCTATGTTTTGGAGTAAGATTTTACACCACGTGTTTTACTTGTCAAGTGTAATAAAAATTTAACAGGTTATGACAAGATTTAACTTTCCTCCTTAGTGTATCTGGTGACACAAGGAGTCAATCCGAAAGACCATGCGATCAAACAAGAATTGGTAAGAAAAGACTGTCATTTTACTTCAAATTACAAGTTAAAATTCATCAGTAGTATTTGTGACGTTGTGGATAACCACAGTAAATAATTTTAATTGCCTATCATTTAATTTTTAATTAATTTAACTCATGATAACAGTTGAAATATTGCATATAATTTTGTATAGACAAGGTTAGGAAGTTATTTTAATCACTCTAGTGTCATTGTCGTCAAACTTTAAATGTGAAATTGTATGAACTAGCTTGTAAACAATGTATCACCACAAAAAAAAAAAAAACATGAAATAAGACATTCCCCTTATGTAGAACCTTTTTTGGAATAAATGTTCTTTAAAATTGAGGCCCTGTTTACACTTCTCGTCATACTGGTGCTTCCATTGCATTTCAGAAACGATCTCCGACCACACTTCACGACCGAAAACGCATTTCACATAACCATTCATGCACACTGGGCATGCGCTTACAAGTATAAACTGTTGCCGATTGCTCTAATAATAATAGCTTGCCTCTTGCGCATGTGGGCAGCGGCAGTATTATAAATGCAGAGTTTAGCTGCACAATGGCTGCTAAAAAAAGGACAACAAAGTCAGCAAAGCTTGCTTCTGTCTCCATGTTATTGTTTACACGGTCGTCGAGGCTGGTCTATTAAACCATGGAAACACCAAAGATGCTTTAATATATTGTGTTTTATTAGACAAGTGAGCAACTGTTTGGATACATTTATCGACATGAAACTAATCATTGTTAAATAGCTCAATACAGTTAGTCATATTGTTTGAATCTCTTGTTTTCACCGCGAGTAACATGTTTGTATCATGCCTCAGAGGCAAAGCTATTCTTTCAAGTGGCTAACATAGCATAATCAGGGCTTTATTTGTAGTAACAGTAATTCAGCATTTTCCACACCATACAATGTTTTAAAATGAATTGCATGCTATTTAGCAACACAAGTCATCCAGCTTTTATTAATATGATATTCTAATATCAATCTAGCTTACGGCAATGTGCAACAAGTGTCTCATACCAGCCACCAAGCGAAAACACAGTAACGTTATAACTTTCAACACACTCAAATGTGTTTTAGTATGATTGTTTTGAGTTAAACAGCGCTGCATTACCCCACAATTTTAATACGTCAAATAAAGTGACCTGTATGAGTAGTAATTCATCACTTGTGTCTGTTTGATTGGAATGAAATAAAATAATGTGAATTTAAGTGATGAAACGTAACCGTAACAAAGTTCAAGATTGGGGAAGAAAGAGGCAGACCTTAAATGTAACTTTAATCGTAAAATATTCATAAACAACAAAACAAAAGGATGACTGCAGCATATAAGTATAATAAAAACAGTGTCCCAAGGTTCTCGCCCCGCCCTGCTTCATACCATAGTAACGTCAATACAACTTTAATAGCCTACATCAGCTCCTACATGAACATGAGTCCCGTCAGATTGCTTTCTATTGGCTTGAAGGTGAAGACGACACATCCCATGATTCCACGCTCATTCACGGGGTCATCAAGCAACGCTTTTATTATTGTTTTGAATAAGCGACCTCTAGTGGCCGAAATTACTTGCTGTGGCTTTAACAGGGTTTCTGCGGGTCTTAAAATGGTCTTAAACCCCCGGTTTCACAGACAAGGCTTAAGCCTAGTCCCAGACTAAAAGCAACTTGCACTGACATATCTTAAAATATGTCAGTGACATTGTTTTGTCTCAAGATGAACACCAGTGATGTTTTTTTCTAAGGAAGGTTTATAAAAGCTACTTAAATGTCCAAATAGAACCAAGTCCTAATCTTGGATTAATCTAAAAACCAGGCCAAAAAGTCTTAATTCAGGTCTCTCAATTATGGTCATAATTTACGTCAATTAAGGCTTTAAAAGGGTCTTAAATCAGAGCAGAGCATTAAATGTTGCCTGCATTGCAAAGATCTTGTTTCCCAATACACATACAGTATCTAAACATCTTTAAATTAAGATACATTGTTTTGAAAAACTGAACCAAATTAAGTGAGTTCATGCTTTAAAAACAAGAACAAATATCTGCCAATAAGCTATGAAAACTTCCCTTGATTTTTCTGAGATATCTCCGTTATCTTGTTTTAAACAAAAACACTGCGTTTTGATTAATTTCACAAAAAGCAGGAACATCACTTTTTTGCAGTGTTATCAGAATGTAAAGTAAAAGTTATATCCAAATTCTAGTGGTTGGGAGCTGAGGTATTTAAGCTACTTGTTTTGTAAAATGAATAATAAAAAAAGGTATATATGTTGGAAGTTATATTTTCAAACCCTGTAGTGTTGCTAATACAACTCATTGTGTTTCTCCCTAGACATTTACAAAACATATTGTTTTCCCTTCAATGTATTCCTTACATTTTTTTTACTTGGTCTTAAAGATCTTTTAAAAAAATGTACCTTCGTAAAACCAGCAGAAACCCTGATTAAATCTGTGAACAGAAATCCAGTATGTGAAAGAAGAATTCTGTGTAAAGTCACTACTTGTCTTTGTGAATATTGGTTTGGTATTTGTACTAACAGAGAAGGGAAACTAACATCCTCCTCCACCTCACAGGAGAGAATCAGGACATATATGAACAAAGTTAAAGAGATCACAGACAGAAGAAAAGCTGCACGTCTGGACAAAGATGCAGCATCACGGTTTGTCCGGAGTGCACTGTGGGAGCCAGAGGACAAGAAAAGAAAGGACACGAAAAGAAAGGACACAACTGAGCATTCCCACAAAGGAAAACACCTAAGGTTTTCTTGATTGGGTTGACTGGTGAAACGCATTGAATTTTCTCTACAAATATTTAGCAGACTTTGAGATTAAGCGCAACAAATATCTCAATGCACTTGGACTTGCTCAAGAAGCGTGCCATTTACCATGTGACTGTCTATGATGCCGTGTTGTTCACGGTGTACATGTGTTGAGTAGCAGCATTCTTTTCAAGATGGCTTGTTTTAAACTAAAAATCAAAGTTTGAAAACCACTTAAGTTACTCACCCCGTGTTAGTTAGATACTTTTTCAGCATTTCTTTAATTGTTTTATTCTTTCCTATAGTCTTAATTTTGTTTTATATTTGGGGTTACATAATCTGAAATGTGTGATGCGGACCATCAATAATACCAGTCCCATTAAAACTACTAAATCCTATTTTTCTTTTTCAATTCATTTGGATGTATTGTCTTCTGATTCAATGTTTTTCTTTCTTTCTTTTCTTTCTGTTTTTGTATTTAGATTTCTGGAAATTATGAATACTTTATGTAGTGATGGGAGAAATGAAGCGTTTCGAAATTTTTAATTAATTTAACTAACTGCTTCGCAAAATGATTCCCTGTATCGAAACGCCACCTGCCGGTCAGAACAGTGTAAGTGCCGACCAAAAAACTCTGCACAAACACATAACAACGTTTATTACCAACTGCAAATATTTTATTAAACCTGTATTCTATTTAATGCAATTAACAAATCATTTAATACAACTAAATATAAAGTGTTTCTATAATGTTATTTTATTAAACTGTAGGGCTTGTTTTATGGAAAGCTTGGTTAATCAGCCACTAAGATACTTTTAACTATTAAGGCCTGTTCACACCGGGACGAATTTCGGGCGCGATATTCGCCGACGTTGAACGCCTCGTGACTAAACAAAGGGCGCCAATGTGAGTGTGCACACCAACACGAAAAACGCCACGCGCAAAAGCGTAATTTTTTTTAAAACGCCTCGGGTTCGTTTTTTTAGTTTGACGCGCGCGTCAAAAACTATCCAACCAATGAGATTGGCGCTTTTGCTCACGTGTCTGGAGCTTCTGAAGTTACAGTAAAACACAACTTGGGGGCACTCAAACACAAAACGGTCTTGCCGAGCACACATACGTAACGGCGAAGATATACGTCAAGTAGCGTCTACACTCCCGGGAAGAAATAAGACGAGGAAGATGCAAGGCAAGATGAATGTAGAGCTGCTGGTCTCGTTGGTGTCGGAACATAAAGAACTATATGACAAACGCGACAGCGACTACAAAAATCTTGATAAAAGAGAATGTTATGGAGTGGTATTGCAGAGCAAATGGGCGCCATCTAATGTCAGGGAATGAATTTGCATGTTCACTCGGCTCATCGTCAGCGAAAATCGCTTGGGTGTGAACACAAAAAACGCGTTGAAAAACGCTGACGAATAACGCGCACCGATATTCGTCCCGGTGTGTACGAGACTTTACTCTTCCTTTTTATTATACACATGTTATTAAATGTCTACAAATGTATCATATTGATCCAAGATCAAATCATATCTGGTTAGTTTTTTTTTCAATTACTAACAAGCATCGGTCAAATACTGAAGCCACAATTTCAAAACTCTTCACAAATTCAGCGAACTAGAAGTCTATACGGACCAAACTGTGAATAATTTTTCAGTGCTTTCCCACAAAATAAGCGCCTGGGAGATGGAAATGTTGGGGATACTGTCTTTCTGGCAGTTTGTGGGGTATGTATACCACTGTGGGGAAGAGGGTGGCCTTCCACCTCTTGGCCCACCTCCCATTCACCTCACAAACTGCCAGGTCCCCAGTCCTCATATGACCCCTTCAGGGAGAGGGAGGAGGAAGAACGGGTCCGCTTCAGAGCCGCCTAAATGTCTTGCCCTGCCTGCTCCACCCAAACTCCCTGCACCACCCTGGCCCTCAGCCAGGACTCCAGACCTGTCGGAGCCTGCCTGGTCTGTCCCTCCGGCACCTCCCTGGTCCTCTCCCAGGATTCTAGACCCGCCGGAGTCCCCCTGGTCCGTCCCTCCGGTAGCACCCTGGCCCTCTGCCAGGACTCTAGCCCTGCCTGAGCCTCCCTGGCTCAACCCTCCCGTCCCTCCCTTGTCCAACCCTCCCGTCCCTCCCTGGCTCCACCCTCCCTTGTCCAACCCTCCCGTCCCTCCCTGGCTCAACCCTCCCGTCCCTCCCTGGCTCAACCCTCCCTGGCTCAACCCTCCCGTCCCTCCCTGGCTCAACCCTCCCGTCCCTCCCTGGTCCAACCCTCCCGTCCCTCCCTGGTCCAACCCTCCCTGGTCCAACCCTCCCTGGTCCAACCCTCCCTCCCTGGTCCAACCCTCCTGTCCCTCCCTTGTCCAACCCTCCTGTCCCTCCCTTGTCCAACCCTCCTGTCCCTCCCTTGTCCAACCCTCCCGTCACTCCCTTGTCCAACCCTCCCGTCCCTCCCTGGCTCAACCCTCCCGTCCCTCCCTGGCTCAACCCTCCCGTCCCTCCCTGGCTCAACCCTCCCGTCCCTCCCTGGCTCAACCCTCCCGTCCCTCCCTGGCTCAACCCTCCCGTCCCTCCCCTCCCCTCCCTGGCTCAACCCTCCCGTCCCTCCCCTCCCTGGCTCAACCCTCCCGTCCCTCCCCTCCCCTCCCTGGCTCAACCCTCCCGTCCCTCCCCTCCCTGGCTCAACCATCCCGTCCCTGCCTGGCTCAACCCTCCCGTCCCTCCCTGGCTCAACCCTCCCGTCCCTCCCTGGTCCAACCCTCCCGTCCCTCCCTGGTCCAACCGTCCCTCCCTGGCTCAACCCTCCCGTCCCTCCCTGGCTCAACCCTCCCGTCCCTCCCTGGCTCAACCCTCCCGTCCCTCCCCTCCCTGGCTCAACCCTCCCGTCCCTCCCTGGCTCAACCCTCCCGTCCCTCCCCTCCCTGGCTCAACCCTCCCGTCCCTCCCCTCCCTGGCTCAACCCTCCCGTCCCTCCCCTCCCTGGCTCAACCCTCCCGTCCCTCCCCTCCCTGGCTCAACCATCCCGTCCCTGCCTGGCTCAACCCTCCCGTCCCTCCCTGGCTCAACCCTCCCGTCCCTCCCCTCCCTGGCTCAACCCTCCCGTCCCTCCCCTCCCTGGCTCAACCCTCCCGTCCCTCCCCTCCCTGGCTCAACCATCCCGTCCCTGCCTGGCTCAACCCTCCCGTCCCTCCCTGGCTCAACCCTCCCGTCCCTCCCTGGGCACCGGTCACCGCGGCGCGACGAAGGCTGTCCCAATTCAAAGGCTGCATCCTCGAAGGCCGTATTCGAAGGCCGGTTGCGTCATCGGGCCGCGACGAAGGCTACCCTGATTCAAAAGCAACGCCAAATGCACCCTTCGTTTCCCCGTGAAAGAGAGGATACATAAATGGATCCTAAGCTGATCCTAAGCGGCCTATCCTACCCCATACGTCATTGCGCTGGTGACGACAGCATTTTTTTTTTTTTTTTTTTAAAGGGAGGCCGAGAGTTCGGTGGTGGACGGCAAATTCACATTTAAATGTAAAAGTATTATGTTTTCATTTACTCAAATAGCTAGAGAAACCAGAGTTAAAAGCCACAAGTTTTTTTTTCTTATTCATCTTAACTCATTCGTCACAATTGCATGCGTCATTTGTCATGTGGAAACGCGAAAACGAATAAATTATTTTCTGTACATTATTTCTTTATTATTCATCATTTTTTATTATTTTATGCAACTTTAAATGTGTAAATAAAATAAAATTCATGGCTCTGGACATTTTATTTTTGTAATGGTATCTGAGTGTTTGCAAGGTTGATACATTTCAACTATATACTTTTGTGTAGTTTAATGTAAAACAATGCGTAGTGTTGCTGTCCTGTGAGGGAAAAAGTAGGCTACTTCACATTTGTACGCAGCCTCTGAATAGGGACGCAGTAAACCAGCTCTGGCCAACTCTTGGCTAAGCCGAAAATACATGACTTGGCGGCGCCGGGGCTGAAACATCCTTCCATCATGTCCTCCAGTAAAATATAAAACAAAAAAATTACAGCCAATTCTGGCTCCATAGCTCTTTACTCAATTTTATCAAATGAATGATCAGGGTGGCAGCTGTACTCTCGCACTGTTGCTTGGCGCCTGGAGCGGTAATCGGGAACACCTGGTTGCGCAATTAGGAAATCCTACGAAGGCTACATGGTGCGTCCTTCGAAGGACGAATAGGCTGCATCCTTCGAAGTCCGCGGCCTTCACATTGGGACACAGCTTGTGTTTCCCTGCAGTCAAGTCAAGTCAGTTTTTGTTGTCTGTTGTGTTTTATTTTATTATCATTAAAGACCCATCAACTCTGCACTTGAGTCCTAGTTTTTTTTTTTTTGCAGACACATTTTTTACAATTCCAAACCACATTAATCTTATACTATTAATTTTCCATTTAATAATTTATAAGTGATATCATGTCTGCAAATGTTCATGAAGGCTGGAAATGAAAACGCCTTATGTTCAGGTGTGCATATTTATTAGGCATGTTTTCTTTTACAGATAACATAATCAAAAAAATATGTTGAGAGTTCTATATGTCAGTAATAAGTATAGTTATTTTGATTGTTGTTCCTCCTTTCGGTCAGCAGTAAACTAACGTTATGTATCTGTCCCGTGCTAAGAAGCGAGCGATAGCACTGTTAGCACTACTGATAGCACTATTCCTGCTAATGAGAAGAAATCAACACACGAATCATGAGCTCAGTTCTTTTTTAGAATAAAACATTTATTCAAACATTAAAGCTGACACAAAGGAACCAATTATATATATATTAAAACACACCTGACATGCCAACTTGAATGGAGATATGTCTCCATGACACAGCTTTTCTGCCGATGTCCCTATACGACCTCAAACTTGTATCATAGAGCTCAGGAAATTCCGATACACACAGTACTAGCCGTTCATCCATTTTGATTTCCGTGTTTGTTTGGATGTCCCGTTTCTATTGGCCGCGCTGATAATCGTCACAGCGCAGCGGCAAAAGTTAAACTATTTTGAACTTTGACCGCGGCGTGCGCGCGAGCAAGTCAATGGTGCGCACCGCTGCGCTTGCGCTTTGCTCGACGCAGCAACAAAACGTCTTCGCGCGGCGCAAGCCATTGAAATGAATGGGTTTCATAGCGCAGCGCAGCGCTTTCCGCGTCCTGTGTGAAAGGCCCATAACGCGTCTTTGCATTGAAATCACTCGCGCCAGACGCTCTATTCTCGTCTGGTGTGAACGCACCATGATGTTTTCTCTGCAGACCTCTACGCCTGCGATGTAACGCCACATTTTGTTTGAAGGTGTGCCTCCTCTAAAAGTGTCCGCCGTCCGGGTGAAACAGTATGCTATTTTTATTTACCCGCCACGGTGACCGGTAGGTGAAGCGAGTTTACCCGCCACAACACAAAATCACCCGCATTTGGCTGGTGGCGGGTGCTAATTTCCATCCCTGTTTGAGATGCGTTTTCTCTTGTTTGGTGGGCGTGTCAGAACTGCAGTCCAATCAGCAGCAACATGTATATAAAGCACACGGTATTAAAGAGAACTCGCACAATGGAAGTAATTTACAAATGTGTTCGATACGCAACAACTAAGGATATCAGAAGACATGTTTGTCATAAGTATTATTGTAAAAATATAGGATATCAACATAATGATGTAGTTGTTTATATTTTTAGCTTCATTGCAAGTGTGTGACATTTGGTATAGAAATAAACAATGCATGTAAAGTGCTTTTCCTAAAAATGAGAAAGAAAATACAGGGTATTAATAAAACATTATGAACAACAAGAATGTGAGGCTAAATAGATGTGTTTTAGTCTTTATTAGGTAAGATGTGCTTCCATTTCAGTTTCCACAAATCCCTTCACTCGATTGGGATGTTCTCTTGTGTTCTGGGCGGCAAGTGCAGTAACTGTTACATCGGGCATATTTTGTAGTATTAAACATATTTATTCCGACTTCATCAGGCTCCGAAAATTCTTCACAAAGAACACAAAAAGCCTTCTCAGCTGCCGTAGTTGCAACTCCTGCGTTATCACAACAGTGCGTTCAACGCATCACCGTTTCTGTTTAAAAAACGTTCTGCAACGTTTTGTCGGCGCTGAACGCAGCCAGGCGCAATATCTCTTTCAAGATTAATTTAAATTCGGTTTTATCTTTACAAAAATCCTTTCTCAGGGCGTTCAAAAACGAAGAAAAAATAATGATGATGGAGCGACGTAAGTCATGCTTTTTTTAAATTTTTTTAAAAAAAATTTTTATTCAACTTTCATAAAGGCTTACAATGACATTTAACATCAAACAAAGGACAAACAGATATTGGGGAAACATGCCTTTTATTGTTTTACCTGTTTGCTGTTTCAAAGTCCTGTCACGTAAGCGTTGTGGGCAATGACACGGAAGGTAGCAAATGAAACAATGCAGTTTAACTTGAGGCGATCGCGGGGTTCAAGCACTGGCTTGTGTTGATGATATATAGTTATACAATGGACATGTCTCTTTTCAAATAAAATATGAGTTTAAGTGTCACTTTATGGAAGTATTAATATATGTGCTATATAAAAGTAGACAAATTAATATAGTGCCTCTTCTTCAATTGGACATTCTGTCTGCAACTTGACATGTTGTCAATATCATTAAAATTTAAATAAAAAAATGCATGGTCTGTAAGTTTTTTCAAACTCATTATTGGGCTTTATTCAACTTTACGAAACTATAATGAATTTATATGCTATTTTGATTACAAGTTATTGTAAATTTTCTTTTAACTGTGATCTGGATTTGCTATTCTGTGGCTCCTCTGGTGGACAATATCAGTATTCATCTCTGAATCGCATTGACATAAATGTCTGATACTTTTTTTTGTACATAACAATTTTTTAAATATATATTTTTTATTACTGATATAATAATACCCACGTCAAATTCACTGATTCGTGGTAACGTTACCTTATTTCATGCTTTAACCATAGACTGTAAAAAAAAGGCTTTATTATTTTTAGCTAAGCAGTAATGATACATGATTATATCAGTTGTTAAATGGTTATTTAACGATAACATTCAGTCCTGCATTCCTGATTCAGTTTGTTTACAGATGCGATGTGCGCTCACGCGCACGTCTTCAGGTATTTCGAATAATACGGTTGCTATGACGACGCGTGACTGCAAATATCAACAGGCTAGATCGCTTTCTGTTGATTGAGAGACGAGGCGAATTCAGAGACTTGCTGAATATTTTCTGTGCTGATCTTGCGATTTTGAAGCTGTTCGGAGGATTTCAGAGAGGAGACTTTTATTCTAGAAGGAGATCGGACGATAGATCCGTTAAGTTACATAGTTTTATTGATAGTTTTATCATATTATTTCTGAGGACAATTCTATTTGATTGTTATTTTCTTATTTTAGAGGGAGTTAAGAGTTTTATTTATTTAATTATTAAATTTTTTTTTTTTTGGGAGGGGTATTTCTGAGGAGAATTGTATTGTATTGTGTTTTGTATTTTATTTGTATTAACGTTATTTTATTGCAGTTTATTGCTGCTTCCACACATTCTCCACCGGACATCATGTCCACACCATCTTTGTCCCGCTCTGTGGGGAATGTGGAGAGGTGGTTATGTGGGTTGTCGAGCTTTAGCAGCAGAGGCACTTACATCACCGAGAAGAGCAGCAGAGGCACTTACATCATCGAGAAGAGGAGCAGTGACAACAGATCTGAGAGCCAACATGAACAGGTCAGTCACGGAAACAGGACTTTGTCCAGATCCGACAGCCTTAACAGGAGTTTGTCCAGATCCAACAGCTTCCAAGAGTTGATGTGTCCTCCACTGCCTGGTCAAGTTCCCGTCGAGCCAACCGGCACTTCTAATGTCCCGACTGCGACTGCTCAGGGTGCCATGGAGGCTTCACCTGTGAACAAGAGCTCAACAGGTGAGACTGAAATAAGGCAGAATGATGACTGCTTAAAAATTTGATAAATTAAGGTCTGGTCACATTTACTGTTTCTCAGCGAAATTTTTCTGAAATATTTTAGTTGGACAAAACGTTCTTAGAATATATTTTTGTTAAGCCAATAAGCCATGAACTCACTCGTGCTGTCTGACACACACCCGAAAACACACGCACAATCCCACGTTGTTTCAGACGTATTGCGTTTGAATGGTCAAATACTGACAAAATTGTCAAAATGGCTGTTGTGACCAGTGTTCATGTAAACAGAGTCGGTTAAGTTATGTCTTTAATAAGACATTGCTGTATTTAATAAAATAAATGTTTATTTAAATATATTATATTTCATAGAAAATAAATGTGAAATATATTTTAAGACATAATGGCTCATATGACCTTTACCATTGCCAGAACTGTGCCAAATGAGGCCTGGAAATGTATGCTCTATTTTTAATAAAAGATTCAAAGAAATAACTATCGTTATCGTGAAATAAACAACTATTATTACATAATATTGTGAAAGAAACTTTTGGTCACCCTTAAGGGACATTTATGCAGGTATTGAGCAGAAACAGATCATCAGGCGGATAGCTTGGAAATATTTGCATTACTTTGGATTTGGGACATTAAAGATAAGAATTTAACAGTAAAATGGAAGTTATAGCATTATATCATTGTTAAATGTGAGGTCAGAGATGTTTCTAAATTTTGTTTATGCTTAAATTTTTCCCCCTTTGTTTCAGAAAAACCTACAAAACGTAAGAAGTTGGAAAGAATTTGTTCGCTCTTCAGGAACGTGTGGACGGCTATAAAGAGTCCGTTCCTCTGCTGTTCTGACAGTAAAGCTGTGGATGTTGTGGAGCCTTTCGTTCCTCCACTAGATCTGGACTCAGAGCCTGATTCTGATCCAGATCACTCCGGTGTCGAGCCACATCATGGTAAATCTGCAGTCATTATTTCTCAAACATTGTTTTAAACAATATTATCGTCTTGTTTTCCACTAAAGATATCTTGAGGTTTGTTTTCAGAGAATATTTATTTTATTTTTTCGACCAGCACTGATATTTTTAATATAAAACAAAGGATCTAGCAAGCTCATATATTTCTCTTATTTTTCTGTTTGTTTTTCAGACTCCTTCGAGTCTCTCTATAACGCGGGAGAGATGATTGGATCCGGAGGATTCGGAAGAGTCTTCAAAGGAACACGGAAATTTGATGGCAAAAAGGTTTTCGCTGATTTTGCTGAATTGTATAAACATTTTGCTCTTGCATGTATCAAAACATATTTAATACACATGGCTTAATACTTAGATGCTCAAATCAAAAATGTTATGTGCAAGGTCAGGCGCTTGAATGCTGTTACTGTTATTGAATACTGTTTCTTTTTTCATTTTTGCAGGTTGCCATCAAGCGGATGCGCAAGACTTGCAACGATCTTTATCTTGCTATTGTAAGTTGGCCAAAAGCTGAATGTGTATTTAGTTGTTTAAGTGCTGAGTACTGTAGTTAATACACCTGTAGGGAGCATTAGGTGTAAATGTAATAGACAAATAAGCCTGTTCATCGTATCTACCAAAATCAAAGAAAAATGATGTTTTCTTCAGATTTTTACCCAGCTAACCTTCTGTCTTCTACTTTTCTCCAGCCTGGGCGTCCCGAACCTCTCATTACAGAAGTGGCTCTGCTGCTAATGATGAGGCAAGAACCCATAAGCCCCTACGCCATACAACTACACGATTGGTTTGAACACCCTCGAAAATTCACCCTGGTGATGGAGTATCCCGAACCCTGCGAGAGCTTGCTGGACTTCATCATTCGTAATCCTCAACTGGACGAAACAACAGCACGGGTCATCATGCGACAGGCTGTGCTGGCAGTGCAACACTGCATTGAGCATGACGTTTTTCACAATGATATTCATGCGCACAATTTCCTGTTGAAGAAAGACACGTTAGAGCTCAAGCTGATAGACTTTGGCTCTGGACAGCTACTTAGTAGTGATGGCTATGACAGCGACATTTACATTGGTGAGCATTTTGGGAGTTTGGAAACCTGGATGTAACGACTTGCTGAATATTTGACACTTTGAAAAAATTGCTCAACAATGCACAAATGTCTTGCTTACAGGACTCCTGGATTACTGCCCACCTGAAGTCTTCACAGAACCTCGATTTCACGCCGTCCCAGCAAATGTCTGGTCTCTAGGAGTGTTGCTGTACGAGATGGTGAATGCATGTCCTCCTTTTCACAATCCAACGGAAATCAAAGAAGCCAAAGTTACATTTCAGAACGCCAACTTATCCAACGGTGAGTGAATAATATTGATAACATTGATAAACACACAAAGCAAAGGCTCTGTACAGAAACAGTTAAAGGTGAAGTATGTAAGGTTTTTTGTTAAAATACATTCTCTTAACCCAGTTTATTGTTCATCAATTACTATTAATATGCCATTTGTGGGTTTATCTCCCCAAAAGTGTAAACATTAAGCCTCCCAGGCTCCATCTAAACACTGAGAGCCGTCAATCTTTTTCCAGCTCAACCTATAGTGTTTGGGGGCGTGGCTACTGTAGCAGGCGGAGCCTGAGGGTGTTTAGCCACAGTGGGATAATAGGAAAAATTCACTGCATTTATAACTTCAAAGACGAGTCATGAACTCGCCAAAGCAAACGGGGCATTGAGATGCTGCACACAACAAAGGATGCTTTAATACCATACAGCATCATCATGCACCCGTTCATAAAGACAAATGCAACACAGCTAAAAGTATTCCTTATATGTTGGACCTGAAACATGGCTTCACACGGACCAGTAAGAGCTGCGTTTGTGATGTTTGAGCTGGGGGAGCCATGACACACGAAAGGGACGTTTGCAAGATTGTTTGAAATATGCTTTATTTTTTATAATTCCCCAAGGTGCCACTAGTGCAGCAGAAAATACATACTTCATCTTTTAAGGAAAGATGAAGAACACTTTACATTATATTTTTCATGTTTCAGATGCTGTTTTCATAAATGCCTACATTAGTGTCACATGGTCATGACTAACCAGCTCTATCCTTATTAAAATGTGTACAGAATGCAGTGATCTGATTATCCAGTGCCTAACCCTGGATCCAACTAAACGCCCGACGTTAGAGCAGATCTTACAACATAGATGGATTAGAAATGATCTACTGTAGAATGGAGAAGTTCAGGAGATTCACTCGATCAGTGATTTCAGGTGTGAAGAAGTGTAACAGGCAGAGTAGGATACAACATTTGTGATGTCATTTATCTTCATTTCTGGATTTTTTTTTGTAGTGAGATTTTCAAATATAGTTTGAGTTCATTTTAATGTTCTTGTTATAGCCAAGTCAAGTCACTTTCATTTATATAGAGCTTTATACAATACAGATTGCTTCAAAGCAGCTTCACGGTAATAAACAGAAAATTAACAGAATCAATTAGTAAAACAGAATTTAATTCTGCTGTAAAGAAGCTCTAAAAGAGACATTCATGTTCATATAATCTTTGTATTGGATATGATATAACATATTTGGCTTGCTGAAGTCCAGCCCAAAGACTGGGATGTAATAGACTGTCAGCCTAAATAATTGTTTTGCTTTTCTTCCCCAGGGTTGGACACACACCATCCAACAAAACACACTGGTTTAAACGCAGGATTGGATGGATATCATCCTGACAGGAAACTCAAGCCACTCACGTGAGCCGCTTCACCAGAGAGATCTGAGCCTGTCCACGTCTGAGCAAGAACATGAGACACTGAACACTGGAAAGAAGTTAAGTCATGTCATCACAGCCACATTTGCTTTGCTAAGTCAAGTCACCTTTATTTATATAGCGCTTTATACAATTCAGATTGTTTCAAAGCCGCTTTACAGTGATAACAGGAAGATAATGATCAATGATGCAAACAGAGTTCGATTGTGCTGTAAAGCAGCTCTAAAGCCCCGTTCACAAAGCCAGTGACTTTTGCTCAGGTCGCTAGTGGGTGTTCCCAATACTGTAGTGATTGGTCGGTCATGAATGATTTGTTCATTTTGAACGAATCTTTAATATGACTCGGGACTACCGCGTTGTCTCAGAGAGTGATTTGTTCACCGCATTTGCGCAAAAGCTTATAGGTTCTGTACTGGAAACAGAAACGATTAGTTTCACCTCTCGAGTCTTCGGGTTCGGGTCCGAGTTCGAACTTCCCACTTCTACAATACTGGTTTCTTATAAACGTCATTAGCAAATGTCACCCCTCCTACATTATTGACATTGACATTGAATTATTTTTTTGGATCGAAATTAACATTTTGGATGGAAATTACTCAATATAAATGGAATCAGTGCTTAAAGTGCTTAATATATGAACAATGAAAGTGGAATAACACATGCTTTTGGCCATTACGGCTACATATCTGCGGCGAAAGCGCAAACGCCAGTCTGTCTGGGTTCACGAAACCATTCGGGCTCGGAGTCAGCACGGCGAGTACCACCGGCTGGTGCAGGAACTGCGGCTGGACAGGACCCAGTTTGATGAGCTGCGGCGGAGAGTGCAAAGGAGAACACAAACTACCGCCGAGCCATTTAACCCGGCGAACAGCTGGCAATTTGTTTACGGTGAGTAACCTGTTTATTAAAGGTGCAATGTGTAACATTTTTGAGTATCTATTAACAGAAATGCAATATGACATCCATAACTATGTGTTCAGTGGTGTATAAAGAACTTACTTAATAAACCGTAATGTTTTTATTACCTTAGAATGAGGCATTTATATCTACAGAGCGCGTTTCGTCACTACCTTGTAAGGGGTGTACAGTCAAAGACCCAGAACCAGATATGAAGAATGAAGACCCGGAGTCAGAATTATAAAAAATTAAAGAAAAGTTTTACTGAAGATAGTTTGCATTTTCATCAGCAGAAGTCAGCTTCAAGACTCACACAGGAGTTCGTAGGCCGCCCCGCTTACAGTTACAAAGATCACAGCAGTTATACCATTTCCAAGGTCTAAGCTACGTCATTGCTTACAGGTTGAATGATTCTCATTGGCTAAGAAACATGAAAGCCTAAACAATTTAACACATGTGAGGAGATAGGGGTGCCTATCGCCATTAGTCAAGATAGTTGTCGTCCACTCATTGGATTTAGGTCTGTGGTGGCCTCGCAGGTTAGAGAAGGGCGCCGGGGTGTCTGGTCCAACCGTCCAGAACCTACATAGAATGTCATACGCACACACACACAAATAACAGACACTAGCAAATAACAGCTCCCATCAAGGCTGAAGAGAGTCTGAGCTCCTTATTATCAGTTAAGTATACCAAAACATAATGCTAAAACATTCACTCGTTTGGGAGAAAAACAGATAACTGACATTTACTCCCAAGGAAGGAAATATACTGGAAAGAATACATTTTAATACAACAATTAAAGTTTGATAGTAACGCTCAATATAGCTTGACCATATGTCCAGCGAAGAATCATATGTGCCCACGCTGCCTTTAGGACCCTTTAACCTTTCTACTGATCCCAGAGAAAGAGACAAACGGCCTTGTGGGTTACGTGGCCTTCGTGTCCTGCGTGTACTAAGTGCAATCTCAAAGTAAGATTGGAATGCACCTAAAAGAAACTGGTTACTTGCATCCATGCATTTAAGAAAATATATTTTCACAAGCACAAGAATATAAAAATTATTATGTGATAATGAATATATTTGATTATTGATTTTTATAAAGGAAGTATATAACCATTCAAAATGATATATGATTATATATGTATTTGAAGAGGCAAGGGATTTTGACCAACCCTTCAACCTTGAAAGAGAAGCCGCAGGAAGCTAGAAGAAGCTAGTCATAAACACCGTGAGTAGTGACTTTTCCCTTGTCAGTGGTGTAAATATGTAGTTGGATTGTTTCATGTAACTTAATTCTTCTCCCTCGCTGTGTTATGGCTTTGCTATGTGGGGATAAATGTGCTGGTTAAGTTCGTGAGACAGCGGATTAGTAGGCTACTCTTGTCATTGACCGTAAAACAGTTACAAGAATCACCAACCCGTCGATCTTGGAAGCATTTTAAGTCGATCGAGTTTCCAAAATCAGAGAAAAAAAGCCTATTGTGTGTAGTAGTGGTGTCTAGGGGATGCGGAGGCGTGCGCGCTGTTACAATCACGTCATTTTTGCCGCACGCACCTTTGGGCTCATGCGGACGCGTCGAGTTTAAAGTCCCTGTAAAGTCAAAATTTTGTATGTATTCTGAGTTTGTCACACCACAGAAAAATGTGTTATTAGCCACCCTGCCAAATTTGAATGATAAAAACAGCCAGCAAGTACATAAAATAAGCTATCAAAATCTTGAAAAAATGAGCAGTAGTCTCTGCTCTCAAACGCTGGGGGCGTGTCCGCTGGCTGCGCTGAAACCACGCCCACTCGCGGGAAAGCTGCCGTCGCCACACTCAACTCTACAGCCGGAATAGATGCTCGATGATGGCACCAGTTGTCGGCGCGACGGGAGGATGAATAGTCCGAGGCGGAAGATAGTCGGTTCGGCCCCATTCACCAGTAACAACGGATTATCAGTGAATGTCTCAGTTGTCTCCGAACTATCCCGTGTAAAATGATCACTAACTATCCCGTGTAAAATGATCACTACACAGAGGCGGGTTTTGGCAGTGATCCTCAGCTCTCCATCAAGGTTGGCTCTTCACAAAATTAATCCACTTCTTCTTGATGTAATCGTTTTTGGGAAATTTAAATAAGGACTCCGATCTGTTTTGTATGTGATCCGGTGATCGCATCCAGGTAGTAGCCTACGCATTTCTGTGACGAAGGCATAGCTAGCTAGCAATCTGTAGGCTGCTGTAGTAACTAATAGTACTGACCGTAACTCACGATTGAGCAGCAAAACTGATGCGAATGTGCTCTATTGTTAGGGGAGCGGACAGCCTCAGTGGCTCCAGTGCGTCATCAAGTAGGGGCGTGTCCAGGAGCTCAGGGGCTCCAGTGCGTCATCAAGTAGGGGTGTGTCCAGGAGCTCAGGGGCTCCAGTGCGTCATCAAGTAGGGGTGTGTCCAGGAGCTCAGGGGCTCCAGTGCGTCATCAAGTAGGGGCGTGTCCAGGAGCTCAGGGGCTCCAGTGCGTCATCAAGTAGGGGCGTGTCCAGGAGCTCAGGGGCTCCAGTGCGTCATCGAGCCCCGTTTTAGCCCCGCCCAAAAAATCCGGAAAATAGCAATGGTGAAAAACTGTTTAACGGTCTAACTCCACAATTCAGTACTTCACAGTTCACAGTCTTTGTAATATGTTTTAGCAATACATTTCTAACATTTATAATGTGTTTAGAATTTTTTTTTTTAAATTGCCTTTACAGGGACTTTAAACAAGGCTTTACGCTTTAACCAGCTCAGCCACAGTAACAGCTCATATAAGCCAGCTAAACTTTTACTATCCTGTTAGAAAAAATATATAGTTGCATAGTTTCATGTGGTTCTTCTCCCTCGATGTATTATGGGTTTGCTATGTGGGGAGAATGTGCTGGTTACGTTCGTGAGACAATCAGCTGATTACTATTATTATATTATGTATTAAGATCCTCACCTGAAACTTTATCCATGATGTGGTTTATAATGGACTGTGGTACAGAAACTTGGTTTACGCTGGCTATTCTCTGCTGTCTCAGACTACGATGTTTGTCCCGTTTTAGCCACTGTAGCTTCTTCGAAAGGGAGGGGTGAGCGGTGGGCTGAGCCCTTAATGTAAACTCGCAACCGAACCGCTAGATGTCGCTAAAAATCACACACTGCACCTTTAAGCTTTAATTTTAACACCTACATGAAACCCTGTGTGTGTGTGTATGTATATATATATATTAGTGCTGGGCCGTTATCGGCGTTAACGTGCTGCGTTAACGTGAGACTCTTATCGGGCGATAAAAAAAATATCGCCGTTAATAAAAGTTGGGTTGGGATCATAAATAGCTTTTTCGAATATCGTTATATTTTCGCGCAATTCTAATGTGTAGTATGACGCCGCGCCTACTGTCACAGATCGCGCAGTAGGGTATTTTCCTGTCAGGGACACAAGGTGTACTTTTACTTTGTTACGTTGGGCGACGTTCCTCTCGTAACTCGTTACTTTATTTTAATGCAATACGTTGTTAAATGAGTTTATTCCAAGCGCGCTGTGTCCTTTGTATGGGCATGAGCGATGCTCATTTACAAATGAATCACTCTTTTGA